ACTCTATCCTCTCTGAACTCACTCCAGAACCTCGACACAATCGATTTCCGCTTCATAGGCCCCGAGCACAGCCTCGCCGAATGTCCTTGGAAAGGTCCGCACTCCTGCCAGAAGAAGTGGATAGACCTCTTCTTCGTCGCTGCCTGGGACGCTTTGAACATGCTCAAGGGCTCCAAAGGAGTTAAGTATAGCATGAGTGGATGTATAAAGAACTCTGCGCGGCACTATTGGACTCGGCTTCTCAACGACAGGAGCGTCGACCATACGGCTGGTGTCAAGGCGATGGAAAGACACATGCAAGCGACTATGACGAACGATGCGAGTCTAGAGTGCGAATGCACGAATCCTTGTATAGGTGGGGGTGGGTTGTTCCAGGTTGAGCCATTTGAATTGAGGTTGATTGAGGGGTTACAGGCGGAGTTGGATAGGGCGTATTGGGATTTTGAGGATTAGGCGGTTACGAAGGTGGATGAGACATGATGCGAGGCATTTCCTGTTATTGTTGTCATCTGGCACACACTGCAATTAGATTTGACGCGTTCTAACAAGTTAGCAGTAAGACGAGTGTGATTGGTATCGATTCTCGGACGAGAGTGCATTCATAAGATGGTGATATGCTACGTCATGCTCTAGTCTCAACAGGGTAAGTGCAATCGCGCTGTCACGTGTGGCGTCAGAAGCTTCGGGTGGCCTAAACACTTCCGCTTTCGACTCTCGTTCATCCTTCGCTCGTCTAAACCATGATTGTCTGCACACAAATTTCTTTCCTTTAGCATTTCGTTGCATATACTGATAACTTTTTCTTATACCAATGAATTATGCTCTTCTGCTCGCAAAGCAAAATCTGGAAGACGAGTGCAAGTGTCTTCGCAGCAGGTTGAGCTCAATGTGTCGACGTGCCTTCCCTCGACACGAACTCAACATTGCGCATCATGCGCTTTCTTGCGATGCACTGCCTCATCTACGACAAGCGTGTCGCCGTCGTCTCTAACAGAAAGCGACGCGTTTTGCGAGCTCGAAAGCGCAGCAAAACCGAGAACCGCCAATTGGTAGACAATCCACAAAGCCACCTACAAGGTCTGATCGGATACTCCCAATAATTCTTCAATCTCTGCCTGAGAAATGCGTTGCAGCTTGCCGATGGCCAGACCAGCGCACAGCTCTCGGAGATGTTTACCTTCTGAGTTGCAGTCCTGATAGCCGCAGCATAACGGGTATATGGTGGTTGCACGAACGCGCCGTCAAGAAGCGTTACTGGCTGGTGTTCTCAAGACGATTGTTGGTTTCGCCCTTTTATCCGATCTGGACGGTTTCAAGTGGCCGTCAAAGAACCATGGCCTCGAGAGCGCATCAATCAGCTCTTACCTTAACGAGGCAGCCGCAGTCTGCATTAAAACTCTGCTCGCATCCTTGCGCCATTGCCTTTATCGGACGTGGGAGTGTTGCGCAGGCACACACACACACACACACACACATATATATATATATATATACGACCAACAGTTGCGTTGGCGTTTCAAATGCTGTGCCGTCCTGCGTTTTAAGGACCGGTCAACATCGCTTGCATGCCGGCGGAGGAGAATATCAGCCAATGACCGTCTATCTTTACCTATCACAGCCACACAGTAACTGGCTCACCGTTCCTGTGAAGCTCGTGCTTCCTTCTAGAAACAAGGATTGCACGCATCAATCACGCATACGTACAAGGCGACGTTCCCGAGGCCAATCAGCCTGGGAGACGTGCAGGAGATGCAGCGACGGAGCGAGGTGGCAAATATGTGGGAAGCTTACTTGAGTAAATGCTCAACAGGGACCGTGCAACATCACTACACTTGGAGAAGTGAAGACGATGCTTTGACCATCGTGCATGCGTCAACTGAGGACGCCGGGCGTAGGGCCACACTGCGTTGTGCATGGAAGAACCTACACAATGTTTTGTGGGAGAGAACCTTGCTGCGTCCGCTGCCATATGGGCTGTGTTCGCAGCAGGATCGGGACACCAAGCAGTAGGAAATTCAGACGACACCGCCGTGCTTGCGATGACTGCGCGGTTCAAAGACGACACCAAACCGCTACCGGCGCTTGCAGCGCTCCATTACACATTTATCCGGGTGGTAGTTTTGTGGCGCTGTTCGCTAATTTGCTGACCGCAGCTCTTTTGTGGTGCCAGCCTGTGCAGTCTTGTACCACTTCGATAACGCAGAACCCTGATGGGCGTCTCTTATCGATTTGTAAGGGAAAAAAGATTGCAAGACTGAGAGTTTATGGTGACCTTCCGAGCATCGCTTCCTGCTTCACATGTCGCCTCGGCTCTAAGAGATGGGCTGAAGTTTTCTGATCACCGATGAAGAGTCCAGGAAAAGATGCCTATCGCTGTAGACATCAGCGGAATTTAATCTCCCGAACTGCTTCCCCTGAGCAAACTTGATTCTGGGCCACGCAGCAACTGATCTTGCACGTTGACATATCTCGCTAACGTTGGACGCATTTTACCTTCACTCTTGTCGTTGAGACTATGCTGTTGGCTTGCTTGGAAAAGAGAGAAGGCTCTGGCTGGCAAATTATTGCTAACTCCCAACATACTAGTGACCTGTGGTACTGCGCGTCCCCGCATCCTGGAATTTTGGGGTCCGCATACAATTGCGACGGTGTGAAGATACGTCGCACGCGTCAGGCCTGTGCCATCGAAACTTTGCGTCTTAGCTTTATTCGGGGTGCTCTCTCTCCGACTCGGCCTGTATCTATCCCAGGTACGCCTTGGCGCCGACCGGGAGGAATGCCTTGTTCAAGCGTTGTCCCGAGGCAGCGATGAGATTGCGTACGCAAAGTGCACGCGACGACCAACAAAGTTCTTGGTGCTGCAGAATGACGAGGAGAAAGTACGAGAAAAAGAAAGCAAAAGCGTAGATTGCTGCAGCGCATAGACCTACTACCAGATGACAAAAGTCCATTCCTGCCAGGCACGTCCTTCGGATGTACAGTCCAATAGATTCGTTTACATCGTTTGGCGCGCTTGTGTATTCCCGACTCGTTGTGAAAACGCCCAAGGAAAAAATGTAAGATTACATCTATTGCAGAACTTAGCGTGGTAACAATGAGCAAACGAGACGAATCTTGTTGGTAGGCCCTGACTAGTGACGCGGTAAGACACCTGCAGAGAGCTGGAGGGCTGCAGCCCCGCGCTTGCCGCTACGCCCACCATTTGAGGCCCACGCGTTCTTTGCTCAAGTTTTTGTCAGCGCACGTAGTATGCACATGCAAGGAGTAAAGACTCCCAGCATCTGATGATGTAGAAGCAGTGCATGGCGAGATTTCAGCCCCCCAATCGCATGCGTTTCTCCTGCAGCGCTCTGCCGGTGAAGGTCTGAAACTGCAGCCACATTTTCGCCAAACGCGGTTCGGCAACATCACCACCTCCGGCTATGGGGACTGACGGGCGTCTCTCTATCGCGAAAGATCCCAGATTCTATGCATGAGCCCTACCCATCGTACCTGAAACGAATCTCCGTCTTTACATCGGACGTAACGCTCCCTGCCAATCGACTAGGCTCGGTAAGCAGCAACATAGGTCGCCAAAGCTCCACTACACAATACGCAATGGCCAAGCGCTCGTTCGGGAAAAGGGTATGTGCCTTGGTCGTGAGGCTTCAACGTGGTCACGAAAATGGCCACTGGGATACTCATAAGTATGCTATGGACGCGTATGCGCATTTCCCTCTTGCTCGTTCTGCGGATATACTGATTTGCATACGCAAGCTGGAAAGGTCTCTCGCCAACCACGTTCTCACCTTGCACATCAACTCTCCATCTACGCCTTGAACATCCGGCCACTACTCGACAGCTACCTCTTCTCAGCGCTTCCATCCGAACGATAAACCATATAAAGCGAGGCACCCGCCACACGAAGCTCACCATCAAACGTTCACTCAGACTTCCTGATTCGCAACACCACACTTGACGACAGCCCAACTGCTTGACCTTTACGCCCAGCCACGTCCAAGCTTCATACAAAGCATCTACCTCGGTGTAAGATGTCTCGCAATAGTAAGCCAGCCTATCATGCCGTCTCCACCTCCGATCCCACTCCTTCCCATTACCGATTTGCAGCGCCTCACTGTGGCGCAACATACTTCCTGGAGCCTAGCCTTCTATCTCAGCCGCACCATCAACCAATGACGGTTTGGCTTCCTCGATCGCTCTGCTGACCCACCTGTTCCTAGCCCATCCTTACGCTGTCAAGCTCCCGTCCCGTCGCTCACTCGCTTTTATCGGCATCCCGGATCATCGCGACGCGCTTGCCGTATACTTTCGCTGGGTGCGACAACGATACTATCGCGCAGAAGGTGTAATGCGTGCAGATTTGGCTTCCTCCGTGGAGTCAGTGGCCAGTTCATGCGACGCATCCAGTGGGGATGATGAAAGCGACTTTGCGCAGCCTCGCACGAGGTTCCAACGCGATACCAAAATGCTTAGCATCGATCTACTAAGCATTGGTGCGAGGTTTGAAGATGAAGGTATCGCGCTCGCGTACCCTGGCGAGATCGATGTTCGTGGCTGAGGGGTTTTCGCTTGAGGAGTTCAGTGAGGGGTACACGAGTATATGACGAATCTGCGTTCTGGGGCCGCCAACTTTGGCAGCCATTGAGTTCCATGTTTGAATCGCGGGTAGACTCTAGCTATTTGTATAACACTTGTACGATATTGAAATGTTGAAGGTATCATTACAGACATCATCTGTGGTATGCAAGCCTTCCAGTAGTGGGAGGCAGTGCAATAGAGGCGTTTCTGCGTGGAGCGATGCGTTGGTGAAATGTGCTGCGGCTGAAGCCTGGGCATTCTCACCCGCCCTGCACCAACCCTCTTTCTCTCTTTCCTGTACCATGTTCTTGTAGCCTTGCGACACAAAACGCTCCTATCGCGAGACCCCAACAACCCTTTACAAAGCGCATATGCCAGACTAGACGGCGCCGAACGCATACACGTGCTGAAAACACGCAATTATGGACGAAGCCACGCTGCTGGACGAGGCTATGCTAGCCTGGTTCCCTCCCTTGGGTACAGTTGAGCTCTCCACGCGGTCGACTTTCACGGAAACCGATCTGAGAAATATCTCTGACTTGCTACACCGGAGCGGCAAGCCCTCATGGAGTCGCATTCCCCGCATATATACCACGCTTCGGCTCATCGACGAGCTAGACGTTATCGATTCGTTCCTAAGCTGTGGCATCAGCGATCTGTCGTTACCATTCAGCCAGAGAACATTGCCAGGACAACTCAAAGACCAGTCATCCCGGGTCCGGTTCCTCGAAGTTCAGTCTAAAGTTCTCACGAAAGCGCTTGACCTGGAGAGGGAGAGGGGCAAGCATCGCCATTTCTCCAATCCAGATGATCTTCCGTTCAAAAAGATCGCTGAACTTGGGAAAGGAGGATATGGCTTTGTCGACAAAGTTCTCAGTACCGTCACCTACCGAGAATATGCTCGTAAGCTCATTCCTAGGGGTCGCACATTCCGTCAAGATCGAGATCTATTACGCGATTTCGAGAATGAGTTACAAGTGCTCAAGAAGTTGTCACACCAGCACATTGTCAGGTTGATAGGAAGCTATACAGATCCACGGTAAGACAAAGTGATTTACTCTCTGTGGGCTATAATTAACATGTACCAGTTATGTTGGTGTCCTCATGGATCCTGTCGCCGATTGCAACCTCAAAGTTCTACTGAACGCTCACCCTTTGTCGTCGGATACCCGTTCACTTGTTCGAACCTTCTACGGGTGTCTTGCTTCTGCTGTTCTCTACCTTCACGAGAACAAACTGAGACACAAAGATATCAAACCCGAGGTGGGAAACATATTGAAGAACCCTGAGTCTGGCTACTAATCTGTCATCCAGAATGTGCTAGTAAAATCTCACCACGTATACCTTACCGACTTCGGCACCACCTTAGACTGGTCGGATACCGGACATGATACTACGACTGGACTTGCATCCGGATTGACGCTACGATACTCTGCTCCAGAAGTCGCCACCAATCAACCCCGGAATACATCAGCAGACATTTGGTCTTTAGGATGTGTCTTTCTTGAGATTTGGACAGAGCTTTGCGATCACTCCACATCAGAACTCAAGTCGTTCATGGAAGACCAAGGCACAAAATCAAGCTTATACTACGCCAACATCTCGGCTGTGACAGAATGGTGCGACATGTTGTCGTCCGGAACCAACAATGACGCTCAAATACCTAATCCATGGATCAGATCAATGTTGAAGGACGACCCTTCGACCCGCTGTAGCATCCAATCACTTACGGAGGATATTCAAGTTTCGAATTTCGGATCCGGTGTTACAGATAGCTTTTTGGGACGTTGTTGTGACGGAGGATATGTTGTCGCCGAAAGTGTTCTTTCCTCCGACGATGAAGCAAGCATTATGAGTTTCAACCAACGCGATGCAGCCTCAAGTGATCTTTCCTCAGCAGACACCGTCTTATCACCAATAGAGGCCTTGGAACACGAAGCTGTGAGCTCTCTTCTGATAGTTGGAGATAGAGGCCAGAGTGTCCATTCTGGACGATTTGATAGAGAGCCATTAACAACACCATCAAAGACTACACAATCCAAGAAGTGCATCGGACTATCCGAGACCCAATCACATCAGGACCCAACCGAAACCATACAAGAGGAATTTGGGGCCGCACATTATGTAGACTGGTCACCAGACGTTGACGAGTATTCAAGGTCGAAATCTAAACATAGTACACGACAAGCTCAATCAACACAACATGCGACCAGTCTGTATGATATCGAGGTATCGTCATTGACTCCGAATTCTCCGCGAGATACTCCTAATGAAAAAGCGCACGGGAGCGATTACCTGCATTCTGATGTAGAGAATGTGCAACGATACACCCATTTCTCAGATGGCCCGAGCAAAGCGACCTCCATCCATCCCATCGAAAGCCTGCTGGCTCCACATTCTCGACAAGGAAAAGTTGAAATGGGAACTTTCCAGATTGGTAATACTAAAGATGAGCCTTCCATGCTACGACCTCCATTAGTCGGTGACAGAGGCTATGTAAATGCGGTCATACGTCTATGGCTGGCCAACTTCGATCCTTTATCATATCACAAAATCATGACGATCGAATTATTGGGGCATCACATTGTTCCGATGTATCGACTAGGAGAGTCCAAAGTGGAGCCTGAACTTTCCTCATTGTCCAAAAAGCTCACCGATGACTGGTATAACCGCGGTGTTTGGGAGGATTTTATATGTCGCATGATGGGTACTGACATTGCTGACCCGCGCAATCTTACTCATTATTGCGTTAGCTTGGTGAAGCGCGTTACTTCTGCGCTGGCTTACATTCATGTTCCTTTTGTTGAGAGAGAAGGTTCTCTCGTCTGCTTCTACCCTAGAGGTATACTTCCGAAATATGACGATTATATTACTAGACATGCAGAACCGGATCGATCATTCCGACTTTTGGAAGGGAAGCGCCATGAGGTTCTACAGTGGTGGCACAATTGTTTGACAAGTCCCCAAGATACCTGGGCCGAGAAACTTAGAGAAAACGAGATATTCGAGATTCAATTTAGACCTCTAGATGGATGTGGTCGTATGGCAATAAAGCTGACCACTCTTCTTACAGCTCAGGATCTGAGTGAATCGTCTAAGACGGGGCCTCAGTATCAGTCGAGTGAGTATAGATTTGTGAGTGCAGCGTTATTAAAAGGCTGTCTTTTTGATCCAAGGGGGACAACTGTGTTAGATAAAACGGAATAGATATATCCAGCATGAAAGTCTAACATCAAGGAGTATCTTTGGAGTTCATATGCTCAAAGAACCTTGGGGGAATGATCGATTGTCCCACATGTATATGTGATTTATTGTAATCTTCTAGAAGATTGAACTCCTTTGAACCTGACTTCTACCAGTGTTACGTAGAAAGCACATTTACTATCGGACACAATATATTCCGCACCTTAATTAAGTGCGGGCATTTCCCAACTCTCTTCATGGGTTGTAATCGCGGATCGGCCATGAGTATGTATTGTTCTCGCTTCGAAGAACGGTACCATTTGCTAAGGTGTAAAAGTATCTCAGCCACTCAATGTCCGTAGCTTGAATTGACCTTTGAAATAAGTAGCCCATGATCGACAACGGGTTCTTCACTCCTATAAGGATGGCTGGAGTCGGTTCGTCGGAGGTGTTCGCATGCTCGTGTCGCAGGCCCATCACCTAATGTGGAAGGTCGAGGTCAGCGTGGTCTTCAATAAGTAGAAAAAAAGGTAGGCACGACATCCATGTGCAGGTTCTATGCGATGCCACCTAGGCCTCTTTCGCACCCACTTTGCAACAAGATATTTGATCTTGCCCTCCAGGCTTGACTTACATGTCCCAATTCGTGCTGGAATGAGTTCCTCATTCTAGCCAGACCACTTGGCGTGAAAGTTCCGTCATACACCAGCAATTGTCTGGGTTGTGGCCCGCGCGGCTTGTTCGGGAAGAACGCTTCCGCCACGAAACCTGGATTTGCGCCGCCATATACGACCTCGAAAGCCGCTTCTGCCCGAACAAGCGTCCATTGAAACTTCACTCCAGGATTTTTCGAGTTCCAATCTGTTGCTGCGGCCCACATGGTGTCGCTGATAAGCTGTCCTTGTCCTCCTGGCCATCCTGAATAATATGATATGTATTTGATGACGCTGCCAGGCTTAAATCGAGGAACCTGGTCCGGAAGGCCAACATTGATAGCTTCTACATCGTCGCCAGATTGAGTCACACACTTGTATCCTGTTGCAGTCTCATCAGTAGGTGTTATCGGTACGGGCGTCGCCTCCCGGATTCCGGTTGTAGCGCAGTCGGCGCCATCAGCCCCGTCGAGGGCATTATGGCTTGTTATGTCTGATAGCTCGCCTGCTGGTACAGCAGCAGCTCCGAAAAAGGTGTTGTTACCATCCATTTGGGTGTATGGATTTAGCAGTGAGTGAACGTAGAATCCTCGTTGTGTCGAGTTGCGTTAGTAATGGGGTGTTTGCGTTTATTGGAAAGATGATAGAGGAGGGCGTTTGCATGGCTAGTACTTATAGACATCAAGTTACCACCGATATGTAAAGTAATTCATCCCCGCAGCTGATGCTCCGGCTTCCTGCGGCTGTGGCTGCGATGTCTTGTGATTGTTTTGTTCAGCTTTGTGATACAGGTGTGATACGAAAGCTCAGCTCCGGAGGATCGAAATGTATCATTCGACCAGTTGAATTCCTCAATCCCTTCTCGACTCCAATATGTGCCTACCGATGGCCCTATCCGTGAAAGCCCAGGTTTCAGCTTGACGCAGTAGGACTTCGATCCGTACAAGAACTATTGGTCTTAAACTCCCGATGAGGGTCATCTGATGGAAGTAAGTTCGCATGAGGTGATACCCTTCCAGTGAATGTAGCCCTCACACCACCAAGTTCACCTGCAATTGTGGCGATCAGGTCTGATGTCTTTGTCTCATAAATATGTCGTGTGCGTTACAATGAGCTCTATCGAATGGGTGTACTTAATATTTTGGAAATGTGACAAATTGCTGTGTAATCTCCACCAACAATAAATCGGAGCTCGCAGCACTTAGCGGAAAGCAACCCAGTCGCTATATGATTCCAAAATCGATACACCATATTTGAAGGACACGTTATGATGATGTTTAGTTAGTGAGCTACTAGCATACAAAAGTCTTTCCTAACCAATTAGTGGAAATATCGTTACTGATGGGCTGAAAAACCTTTGGTATGCTGACGGCTGCTTAACCAGCCATCTTTATGACGTGTTGCCCAGGTATGTGGTGAACTCTAGCAGCATTCTGTTTCCGACATCAGGTGAAAAGAGTGACGACCAATAGGATGGGAAGAGCGTTGGTAGTATGCTGTAGGCCGCCGACGTTTCCCCCTATTTCAAGTTCTTCGTTAGACCTAACACTTTCGTTTCGTTGTGGGCCAGTAAGTGACGTCCTGAGTGTTAAATCAATACAAAATAAAGAGACACTGAACGCACAACAGAGTAGAAGTACCCCATTCAGACGGTCACGTGGATCTGCTATTTTCTTAGCTTACGTGCCTCAGATTTTGACACCCAAGGTTTGGCCAAGCAATATAGAATTTCGCCAGGGAAGCCAAGCGCAGCTAAAAATGCGAAAGCTGAGCATTCTCCGTTAGTGCTCAAGCGTGTAGGTATGTTTGCATTTGTTCATGCAAAAGATGGTGTGGTGTGGTATCTGCGACTCGTCAAATCAAGTCCGTTGGTTGGTTCGCCGATGCGGGGTGTCCCCCTCAATGTCTTGAAAAGCAATACTGGTAGAGCTGAAACCCTCCCTAGGTAGCAACATGATGGCTTGATCATGCCATTGATACACTTTCCATTATGACCTTCAGCTGTGCTGACAGGCGAACGCCTTGTTGGTTGAAGTGCACATACCTTGTGCGGGGTTAGAAGTTGGAGGTATCTCAGATGGTGCATCGCCAAACATGTGGTGCTGAAGCGACAGGCAGTCAGCTCAGCTTGAAATACCCACTACAACACTCATACGAGAATTGAGAGCTGATCCCTGTCTACACTGCATCACACATCCAAGCCTCCCAACAACTGTAACATATAAGTCCTATTAGCCCTAGGCTACAGCGCTGTTCTCCTTCATCCAGCGACGATCGAATCCTTTAATTCTCTACTCTTATTAAAAGACTTTATTTTCCGACGTGCTACTCAACCTCCATCATGGAAAAGGTCCAGCAATATCCTATCTGCGGATTTGTACCTCCATACATTCTCTCGGCCATAGCCGACTCTGCCATCGCCAAATCCGATGATGTCGGAGAAAGTTCTCGTACTGCCTGCAAACATACTCTTCAACATGGAATGACCTATGTCACTCATCGTCATGAGCTGTGCGCTAAAACTCAGGTTAGTCCTCCAGATTCTGGGAGAGGCTTCATCACTAGATACGTTCTTTGGGCAATTGCTGAGTCCAAGTAATCTAGCAAACTCTGGTAGCAGAAGCAGCTACACTACCAAGTACCGTGCAAAGAAAGATCTACAATTGCAACGGAACCGACAATCTCCCTGGAACTCTTGTCAGATCGGAAGGACAGGTACGCATCAAGGACCGCCAAGTCAACAATGTCTACGACGGATTCAAAATCACGCATGACTTCTTTTCGAAGATCTTCGGCCGCAACTCCCTTGATGGCAGAGGGTTGCCTCTTACCGGCAGCGTTCATTTCAACCTGAGCAGCACGCCAGAAGGATACAACAACGCCTTCTGGGATGGCGAAGCGAAGCAAATGGTTTTCGGCGATGGCGACCACATCAGCTTTGACTTTCTCACCGACTCGCTGGATGTCATCGCCCACGAACTGAGCCATGGCTTCGTCCAATTCTCTTCTCCGCTTAAATATGAAGTACAGTCAGGAGCCTTGAATGAGTCTTGTGCCGATGTCTTTGGCTCCATGGTCGAGCAATGCCATATGAAGCAGAGCGTGGATGATGCAGATTGGATTCTCGGTCAGACACTTTTTCCAGTGGCGTTTACCGGTTCTGCGCTACGAACTTTCAAGGCCGGGAAAGCATATACGGATGACCCTGTCTTCGGAACTGACCCGCAGCCAAAGCATATGGACAATCTTTACGAAGGAACTAATGATAGGGGAGGCGTTCATATCAACTCTGGTATTCCGAATCATGCCTTCTATCTGGCTGCGAAATCTCTTGGTGGATATTCCTGGGAAAAGGCTGGCAAGGTGTGGTACAAGACCATGATTTCGGGTAAGATTGAACCCACGTGCGATTTCAAGACTTTCGCGAAAGCCACAGTGGATGTCGCCGGAGAGGAATTTGACGATAAGTCGGTACAGAAGGCTATCGGTGATGCGTGGGTCAAGGTCGGAGTCCTTGCTCAAACAGAACTCTGAGCTCATATTTGTTGATGAGATGAATGGTTTCATAACGTAAGCGGCAGCTAAGCTGTGCACCCTTGCTAAGGGGTAGCCTTTCCACCTTCTTTTCTAATGTCTTAACCGCATGGTATTAAACTGCCCCCTCGTGAGAACGGGGTGATCCATGCTATCTGTCACGACGTTCTGACACCACAAGGCTGTTACGATTAAGGGAAAAGAACTTCTAGAAATGAAGTTCTAAGTCATCGACATATTCAAAACGGTGGCCAAATAGCAGTCAACAGTCAATTGAAAGTACCTGATTGAACTCCGCTGTATACACAATACTCCACAGTCTACGTGATGGAGATAGAATACGCACTGGTAGTCAACTTCGCGTTACTACCTGTGAACACCTCCGTTCCTGCCTGTACGGTCTGTAAGTACAAGCTATTCGTAAATCCTTTGTTTCCGTAGTTGGCCAACAAGTACTTGAAAAACAGATTCTGAAACACAAAAGTCAGCATCTCCAACACACTCAACGCGAACGACTTACTAAATCAGCGCTGAAGTTAGTCGCAGCAGCCCCACGAGCGACGAAGCTGTATACTTTGACGGAGCCATTTAGACCATACGCGAGGTCGAAAATCGTGCCACCGACGGTCACGGTGGCAATAGGTGTGAAGGGATATCCATTCGAAGACAAGGGTGATACACCGCCGAATACACCAAGCCAGACCATGATTTCGAAGAGATTGGCGTCACTGGCTGATGCGCCGAGGAAGGTGTCGTAAGCGACTACAAGATATTACATTCACATTAGCTTGTAGTCGCGCGAAAGAGATCAGGAAGGGTGCGCGAGGAGCATACCGTTGACCCGCAGATCTGTTCCAGTATAGCTCCACTTCCATGCCGTCGGCATACTTGTGTAAGAACTTAGCTGTTTCTTCGTGAAAGTCGTCTCAACGTTCGTGTAGCTCTTCACCTGGTTGGTTGTGCCAGACCAAGACCATGTTGTTGAGTAGGCCAGAGTGGTACCAGTCAAACTGTCAATTTGCGAGCATTGAGACCCGGTTCCAGAAGACCAGCCCCAACCATTGGTGTAAAGCGTGTATGGACCGGAGGCTTGGGATTGGTATTGACCGCATTGAGCAGTGGCGCGAGGAAGGAGGTTAGTGGGTGAGGCGAACGCGCTTGAAGAGAGAAGAAGAATGATGGAGGTGGAGAGCAGCATGATGGTACTCGAGGTGCAGTGTTGCGCTGGGTGGACGGGGATAATCTGGATGAACATAAGCAAATCCGAGCGCCTTATATACTTTTCTAGACACTCTTTTCATCCGTCTCGAGCGATGTTGCGTCCACATTTCACAATCACTCATCCCGCTTCCTACAAGATCATCAAACTCTAATGAGCAGTTCTTCCTTCCACATTTTTCACACTGGTCATTCTCTATGTGCGGACATCGCTGTATGCAGCACAGCAGTAGTAACGACCAATCGCACTCACCAACCCACGACCCATCATCGCGAAAGTCCGTAAGCCACTGACATAGCGAACTTCCGCCAGGCAAATGTGGTTATCTGACAGGAGCTTGTTCGAAGTCAATGTAAGCCACACCTGCTGCACGACATCAGCCGGTCCAATGATTCGCCTTCAGGGTCCACCAATATAGCTCGCATACTGCACGCGCGGGACGAACCACGATTGAAGGATCGAGGCCGCGGTGTGGCGTCAATGGATGACTGCGTAACGGGTACGAGGCCGGACCGGAAGACCAATAGACTTGTTTCTATAGAAACGTCGGGAAGGATATGTGCATCAGTGGCGTGGACTTCGTGGTCGATGTGAAATATTGGATGAGAGGATGGGCCCATCAAGTGGTTTACCCGGATGAGGGTATTGGAAGAGTGATAATAAAGAGGTTTAGTTAGTAGAGAGTGAGTCTTTTGTCAGGTGAAGAAGGATCTAGCTCGAAAATCCATCTGCGCATCTTTGTTCTAGAGGGCAATCTAGACCCTGATCTATGAAACCCACTATTCCAGCACGGAAGCTAGGAACACCTCCCGAGGCTGTCTTCACTCAACGATTATGCTGGCCATCATGCAGCATCTCAACGGCACCTAGATGCGTTGCAATGAGCATCTCTTCACACCCAACCTTTAGGACTGCATATCCCAAGGATAGGTCCTCTTGACCCACATGATATCCATCTGACTCGGCTTAGTTGCACGATTCAACAGTGTAGTCCCCTTTCCATGATCATTCCGGTCAATATACTGCTGAACAGGACAGTCTTCGCCATCGTTGTTACAGTCTGGCTTCGCGTACCCACTCATGCTAGGATAGTGCATAATGCTTTCGAGGTCGTACCCGGAATCTGCTTTGATCGGCCAACCAGGCTCGACCATGTTCTTGATGAAGGAGGCGCAAGTGCATTGATACTTCAGAGCGTGGTACATGGAAAGACAAAGGCCATCTTCGATGATGCGGTCGCCTTCCTTCTGGCGGGCGCGAGCCCAACACTGCGTTGATAATGTTAGCATATGAGAGAGCTTTCTTTACATGTGAATGCTACTTGCGTCCTCCCAGTCGGCAAGTTGCTTGTACTGGACTTTGACATAAGTGTCACGATCTTCGCGGTTGTGTTCATGTGCCTGGCCTAGTAGCTGTCAGTGTTACTATCCGTCGTCTTTGCCGAGGACGTCATACCTAGTACGTGGCCAAGTTCATGCAGGACGCCACCAAGCGTGAAGCTATCAGAAAGCCTGACGAGATTCTGCCAGGGCTTGCCGTTTTGCGTCAGTCCAACGGAACCGCCCCAGCCACCGCCATCCATGAACTCGATCGCCACTGTGTCGTAGGGTATACCTGCGTTCCAGCCATCGCGATACTTCTTGACGAGTGCACAGTACATTGGCTTTCCCTTGCTATCTAGGCGCTCTTTGAAGCTGATAGCGTGGCCGGAGTCTTTACCTGCGGTACCACCAAGATACCTAAAGACTGGCGTTAGACAGTCGTCGCACCTCATATCAACTGGGCTTCTACATACTCGATCCATTTATCCATACCGCTCTCGGTGATATGACGGATGTTCTTGCGATCCCACTCCTGCGTGAAGCAGTACGGGATGACGACCTTGTTCTCTGAATTGCGCGGCCAAGGAATCGGTCCGGGGTTAGCATTCCAGGCGTCAGTGGCGCCCTGACCGTTCTGGCCAGAGGTCTTTTCGAGCTCTTCGAAATACTCCACCCAACTAGTGGCTTTGGTACCGTTATTGTAGACTGGAGAAGGAGTGCAGCAGAACGGACCGAAATTGAGTGGAGGGTCGTTGATAGCGACTGCGGCTGCAAGGACAGCGAGTTGTAAGAAGTAGAAGACAATCATACTCGTGGATATTCAACTCAAAGTGGGTGGAGATGATTCAGCTGGTAACGCGGCCAGGAAGAGAGTCGGTAATACCGTGAACTGGCCAAGGCAGAAAGACTGTGAAGGACTGGTGATACGTGCGGGTGGGTGCTTCTCGATTAGTGAAAGTGAGAGTAAGTGTAAGATTGTGTAACGGCTTAGCTGTAAGTATAGTGGAGAAGGCGAAGGCGGCTGGCAATGACAATATAGACAGTGACCACAACGTTCTTCTGGTCAACTCCAGCTTTCTAGTACAAGACACATGGTGTAAGTTGAGATCGCTCTCAGCTGTCGAGGAATGGATTGGCTTTTGAAGCGGAGATATCGCTCGATGGAGGTGGAAAAACTAAAAGGATGGGCACAACCCTTTGATGAGGTCTTTGACGAAGGCCTAAGAGTCTGTCGGTTTGAGTGACAGCAATAGCAATATTGAATGTTCTTACGTAAACAACGAGAGGCACATTGCCAGTCGGTTGGCGAATTATGAACCATTGTGAGCGACGTAGTTGCCGAAGCTGATTTCATTCTAGATGTGAGCTTTAATTGTGGAATTTCGACACACTTCAGGGTTGGAAAGTAAAAATTGAATTGGACATTGCCAACAACCGATCTCAGCGTCTATGTTGTCAGTTGACATAGTCGCCTAGATAGTCTACGTGCATTCAAAAACCCCAAGGTCTCTAGTGATAAGATTGCGCCGACGTGTATGTCAGTGTGATAAATGTTCTTGGTTAAGTTTGACAGATCGAACAGCGATGCTGCATGGAGGCGGGCTAATAGCACCGGATGTAAGCCTTGAGCTATCGCTGCCCGACGGCAAGGGCACAGCGAACGGCTGGCGCGTGAGAAAGCGGGCGGAGCGATCTGGGGAACGTTGGAGACGAGCGGTTGACGCGTCGCTCCGCATTGGCATCGAAATTTGCCAAGCCAATGATTGCGCACGTGAGCGGACCCTCTGCCTTCCCGATGCTCCGGCCCGCCGCACTGGAACTTCTAACTTGTTCCTTCCACATTGAAACACGCGAACGGAATGTTACGAGTTGTCACAGCTTGTATTGCGTACAAGAGAGACAAGATGTCGGAGTTCCTGCACCCAATCACAGCCCCTTTCCGATTGGCCTCATTTGAACGAGTAGAGCATGATGAAGAGGCAGGCATTAGATGCAAACCATAGCAAGACTGACTTCCAAACCTGTGAAATGGCTCCACTGGAAGTAGGTTTCATTCTCAAATTCAATATTTGTCTGTCACGTTGTCGCTACTTTTGAGATAGCAACTCTCGCATCTTCTGGCCCAGATACGGACGCCGATCTCATATCATTCAGCTTCAATTTTTTTAATAGCTACAAGATTTAGACTCATCTTCTACCAAAAGCTGTTGCGTCTCATGACGAGTAAGTGATGATCACAGAGAGAGATGGACTCCATCTAGTTGCTCAGACGAGGATCGTCAGACAACACAAGTAGGTACTGATGTGAAGGCAGCGTGTCATATACATCACTCCTGAAACGACTCGACAAGAAGCAAGAATGACGCGTACTGTCCACGATACAACAACGGGCCCTCCATATTCGTTGCGTAAACGGTCCGATGACTGCCATCCCACACAACAGCAATGACAGTCAATAGCCGAAGTATCCAGGTGGATTATAGGTCGGCCATATTTCCGAAAAGTCCGCATGATAGCAGAGATGTGCATTTAAAAAGACTGCGACACACGAATTTGTAAATTTATCACAATTCGGTATTCTTGCCAGCTAAAGCAGGTCGTCCGCAAATCATGAAAGCACGATGTGGCCTTTGTGGTTACAGCCGCATCAATACCATGACTGGATGACTTTCACGTCCAATTCCGTGACAAAGCACGTTTTCTGTTTTCCGCTTTACAACTCTCCTGTTCTAGAGCTGTAATCAATGAAAGCTAAGCGTGTCGTTTCCTGGGCAAAGTGGTGTAGTGTGCAACTCGCATTTGAACTAAGTGACATTATATTTCCAGTATTTCCTTGACACAGCTCAGGAGAAACGTACAAGCTGCGTGCGGAAACTCGAAGGAAGTGGGTTCTTCCATGATTCCCAAATCGGTCGGTATTGTCATATTGGTGAAAGGTCAGTCAATGTCAAATGAAAAGAGCGAGAAGCAATGCGCGTCCGGAACAACCCGAGGACACCCGCACCATGGTCCAGATGGACACCACGTACCCGCTGTTCTACAGGAAAACCCTTCTTCCAGGAACGCACCATCTCGAGTGTAGTTTGGGGCGTTTCGGGCTGCATGTAGAATTGAGAAGCTTGTCGCGGCAGGACATCGTGGCGACCAGGAAATGGTGGGGCAATAGTGATAGTGGCTGCTTCCCTAATACCACCGCGACCGCTCGCGACCCTGCAGAAACCGACCCATCATTCGATTGATGCCCCCACCAACTAACCCAGACGATGACCAGTTCCCGCAAATTGGCCACTTCGACCGAGCCTGGTGCGATGATCTGATTAGATTAGATGTCATCGTGACCAACAAATCCGGCTAGTGGTGACATTTGGCTGTCATGAGGGACGCTTCGCGTCGCGCGTGGCTGAACGCTTTCCCAACACTCCACCTCTCTGGCTTTGCACCAACACTACCAAAAGCCACATGTGTCAATCGAGAAGCTCACAGGTACACAAATAGCCGCGATGAAGTTTCTGCCCACGCCCGTGGACAGCCTCGGGCTCCAACACAACGTTGTTTCCGCGCCGGCTATACGTGCAGCCAGCTAGAAGGCGCCAGGAACGGCGGTACACGCGATCATGCAACACCACCGCGCGCTTGCTCAACGAGGATGCTCTTCCTGGCAGCTGGTGTGGTTCCAGCATCAGGCGAGGCCCTCAGGCTGGTCCGCACGGGAAAGAAGCTTCGGCGCACACTGCTCGATTCGATGAGCCGGGAGCTACGACCGCCACTGGCAATACGGGCCAAGACCTTGGCCATGCAGAGTTGCGGCACAGCCAAGACAAGCCAGGTATTCACTCAAGGCGAGATTGGATCTTATCTGATCATCTAGCACTTATCTGATCATCTAGCCCGCTACTAATGCTTTCTGGGCATCCCAAGATACCTGCACGGTGGGAGATGATCCCAAGCCACCGGGTGCCGGGTGGGATACACATGGCAAAATTTTCATACGCTGTAACTGAGCTTACATTCCCTGTCCGGTTCTCGGAGAGTGGGCCGTGGGGATACTTAAGAATGGAAGGACTGCCTATGTTGCGATCGTCACCCATCTGCGTCCCAATTTCATACCCTGCCTTACCCGGCATTTCTTCGGCATCCTTGTCTTGTCATGTCGAACTTGCTCGCAACCGATGTGGTGCGGCCCGTAGAGGGTCTCGGACGCCCTTCACTGACTGTCGATATGGAGAAGAATGAGACGGGTGTCAATACACACGCCCGCGAGGCTGGCAGCGATGCCGAGACCAAGTCTGTCGAGTCGGAAACCTTCCAAAACGGTGTTCAGCGTGTACGCGCAATCACAGAGATCTGGGACAAGAAGACCCTGATTACCATGTTTGTCTTGTAAATTGCAACATCAGGATTCAAATTGGTGAGGATCAAAGACTGACCTATTCGTATAGCTTGTACCTTATCGAATTTGTCGCTTTTCTACAGAACGCAATGGACTCATCGCTCGGGGCTTTCGTCACTTCGACATTCGGCAAACACGGTCTCCTTACTGTCATGAGCATCATGGCGACTGCGCTCAGTGGATGCATCCCTCTCGTTATCGCCAAGGTCATCGATGTTTTCGGTCGTGTTGAGGGTTTCTTCACGATGCTCATCATCATTGTCGTCGGTATGGCTATGAAAGCTGCCTGCCTCAATGTACAAACATACTTCGCTGGTCACATTCTCTACTGGGCGGGTCACATCGGTGTTCTGTTTGTTTGCGACATCATGGCTGCCGATATCACCACGCTGAAGAATCGCATGATCATCTTCACTATCAACGGAACCCCTCGCATTGCAGCTACATTTGCTGGACCTAGGATCGCTGAGAACTTTTGGTTCAGTCCTAACTGGCGTTGGGGATACGGTGCCTTCATCATCATCTTCTGTGGCATCTCCCTTCCGGCGATGATCTTGATGATAGTCATGTACCGCAGGGCCAAGAAGGCTGGCTTGATCAAGCAGGTCTCATCGGATCGCAATATCTTCCAATCACTGTGGTTCTACTTTGTGCAGTTCGACAGTAAGTCAGACTGAGCCAGGATCGACATGCACATCCGCTAACACACCGTCTAGTCTTTGGTATCATCCTCCTCATGTGCGCATGGTGCCTCTTTGTGCTGCCTTTCAGCCTCGTCACCTACGCTCCGCAAGGCTGGAAGACCCCTTACATCATCGCCTGCATCGTCCTCGGTCTCTGCCTCTTCCCTGTCTTCTACATCTGGGAGGCAAAATTCGCACCGTTCCAGTTCCTGCCCTGGCATTACCTCCGAAATCCCACCATCATTGGCTCTTGCCTGCTTTATGGCGCCATGTTTCTTTCTGTCTTTTGCTGGAACGGATACTTTTACTCTTACCTGATTGTCGTACACAGGCAAACCATTACAAACGCTGGATACATTCTCAACGCCTTCTCGCTCACTTCTTCCACATTTGGCCCACTTATCGCGTGGTGGATTCACTACTCTGGTAACTTCAAGTGGACGGCCGCCACTGGTGTACCGATCGTCCTGCTTGGTACCGCTCTGTTGATTCCCTTCCGAAACCCATCTACCAACCCCGGTGTCCTTGCTTTCACTCAAATCCTTGTTGGCCTCGGAACGGCCTTTTTCGTCACCTGCGGTCAACTCGCCGTCATGGTTCCCGTCACTCATCAGGAAATCGCCGTCGTCAACGCAATTTGGGGTCTTTTCGGTAGTTTCGGTTCTTCCATTGGGTACGCCATCGCTGGCGCCATGTGGAACAATATTCTTCCTGAACAATTACTCCAGCGTCTGCCCGAGTCCAGCAAGGCGGACTACAGGACCATCTTCGGCGACATCACAATCCAGAGTTCGTTTGCTGATGGTACACCGGAGCGTGATGCTGTTGTTGGTGCTTATGCTGATGTACAGCGGAAGATGGTCATCACGGGTGCTTGCTTTGTGCCACTGTGCTTAGCTTGTATATGGGTTTGGAAGAACACCAACGTCAAGAAGCTCGAGAAAGAGGAGGGCAAGCAGACCAAGGGTACCGTCTTCTAGGCGGTTGCCTTGTTGGTTCTGTGAGATGCTCAGTGCAACTCTTGCAAGAAGCGTCGGTCGAACTCTCTAACTCGTCGTTCATGATACCCTCATCGCTAAGATGATTTAAAATAATACTGTCGTTTCACACTTTCAAACTCGTTGTCATATCGTGATTTCTTGTGCTTGTCACCACGCAAAAGATGTCATTGCTGTAGCGCCTGGTCTATTCCTCGAAGTCGGACCGCCTTACTAGGACTAACCCCTTCCTCACACTTGACCCGCGTACTATTCTTAACATGAGCAGAAACTGTCAACATGAAGTATACATCTCGATTTCTCCCACACTGATGTAAAGGAAGACTAGTCCACAAACATGGTCTGACACGAAACAACCTCCGTGCGCTATTCATCCGACCACAAGCGACGGATCCGCATGTATATATGAAGTGGTGGCCCGAACATATAACATGAATCGAACTTCTTTGAGACAAAACAAGTAGAAGGTTGAAGCTGCGGTACCAGAGCGATGTCTCTTCTGACTGACTTCTGAACACTCTGACGTTGGCGACCTTTATTCAGAATTCGAAGTTGATGCGACACTGATCTTCTAGCTTCGTAAAGAGACTGACCATGGAGAAAGTCTTCTGGGTACGACACTGCGTCATAGTGTCGGCTTAGCCACGGGCCAGAGCAAAATCCGTACATCTGACGAGAAAGGGATAGGTAGAGGGATAGTTGCCACTATGTAAGACTGGATGAACGCCGCAGTGAACAGAAATCGCGGCACCCTTACAATCCAGGGCGTTAGTCATCTATAAGCCCTTCTAATTCAGTCGTTACCTCCAATCCAGACAAACAAAGAATACTAATTCACAAGCTCATTCAGCATCAGTATCGTTCTCAGTTGAAGAAGGCGGACTCGAAAGCGACGACAAATTCGAGCCAAAGGAAACCATCAAGTCTCTCTCCCCACCGCCTCTGCGCTTATTACCTTGCATGGGCTGTGGCTTCTTCCCATGTTGCATCTCGAGCACCTCGAGCAACCCCAACAGCCTCTCAGAAGACGTGTGCAAGAGCTTCTTAGCTATATTCTCCTCTTCAGCGTTCCCTCTCTTGCCCTTGCCCGTCCCAAGCACCTTGTTCCGCGCATCGATACCAGACTCCATAGCTTCCCTCAGAGCGTCCGTGGGCTTGAGGAGTTGCTGTTCCATCGTGCGCAGCACTATCTGTTCTAGAATCAAAGAGATCTTGGCGTTTGCCGCAAAGCTCTTTGTCGTCCCTCGCAAGGGTAAAAGTATCTCTTCAAAGTCCTCTTGTGTGGGCTGGCGGATGAAGTAGTTGGGTGGCTTGCCTGTGATCAGGGGATGGAGGAGGTTGACGGTAAAGGCAAGACGAATCTTATGCGGTAGCTTCATTGTGGATAACAGGACTTGGAATGTGACGGTCGGGAGAGCGTTGAAGTCTTCGAGGATGGTGTCGCAGAGGTCGAAGAGGGGTGTGAAGTGGGCTGGTAAGGCTTCGGCTACGTGGACAAGCTGAAGGTTTGTCAGATGGTGTGCATGCTGGAGTAGGGAGATACGTACAAGTGCTATGAGACGCTGGCGCAGCTCAATCGCGTCTTGCCCGCCAAGGTGCTCTATGGCTTCGCGTGTGTTTCTTGCGGCCAGTCCGCTGGTGTCCACAACGATGCCATCTGTGCTCTCACTGTCGCTGTCTTCCGGTGCGTCCTGCATGTCTTCATCGCTGCCATAGTCGGCCAGCTCCCCAGTCTCAAAGTCAATGTCCCGCACAGGCTGACCTTCATCCTTCTTACGTCTCAGCTCTACTGTCTCCTTGTCCCATATCTCCGGATACTCTTTGAGCGACTCGGATGTGGCCGTCGCAAGTATAGCCTTGACCATTCGGCGCCTCCTGGAGCGGTTCATTGAAGCTCCCTCATGTCCGATAATGTAGTGCCAGACTAGACTCTGTTGTAGGGCTGCCGTATCGATCGTCCCGTCTAGCAGCTTGCTTTGCTTGACGCAGACATCCCAATCTGTTTCTAGAAAGTCGACCATATTCGCCAGCCATAGCTTCCACCGACTCCACCGTTTCTTGTGTATTATTGCGCAGTTGAATGACCATCCTACGATATGCCAGAAGTCGTCTGCGCGATACCACAGGCTCTTCTGATTCGCAGCCTCGCCCGCTATTCGCTCGATGTCGCCAGCCGGCTCTGGCGATGAGCTGGCATCTGTTCTTTTGGCCGGCGCACGTCTTCTGTTGCGCTCGTCTGGGAACGTGAAGGCTTTCTTTATAGTTGGGTATGCGGGACCGTCTATCGTCGTGCGTAAGCATTGCAAATATCGCAGCGCAGCATTGGAGCCTTTGACAGCGTCTTGTGATTGCGCTTTGGTTGTGAATTTGGGATCGACGACTGTGGAAGAGGCGAATGCGATGTATGCAGGCGGTGCGAGAAAGCCTATGTATGGCTTTGCGGGCGTCGAGATGCTGGTGCCAGCTGCGAGTAGGCTGTAGAGGAAGTCATAACCGCTGGCGTCTACAGTTAGTGTAAGCTTGATAGTACAGAAGTCGTTGGTCTCATATACATTGGCCACCCTCAAGATAGGCTTTGGCGTGGTTGGCAAGCTCGTAGGACGCTTGCTTCGTCGGCCGGTGTAGTTCTTGTCGTGGTAGAGTCCTCAATGCTGCCTCGTGCGCAGGAGACGGCGCATGCTGACCATTGTTACCTGCGGACGGTTTTGGTGTCTTGGACTTGGTGGCTGGTGTCGAGAGCCTTGCCATTAATGCGACGCGACAGTTGATGGTGGTGGTGTGGGAGTAGTAGTGTGTTTAGGCGCGTCCTCCGCGGCGTTCAAGCGCGCGTTCACGTGGAAGGCGAGCTGCAGACATAAAACAACATACCCAGTAACTTCTACACTGACCATCGATTGCTCGTCACCCAATGCTGTGTAACCACAGACTGCGTACTGCATGTACTAGAGTCTGCATTAGAGTACAATATCTGCAGTCATCGAATTAACCCCGCCAAATCTACACAATTGAGAAACTTCCGGCGCTTCCAGACGCGATATCCTGTATTCGAGTGCATCACTCGGTCCGTGTGTACACATTACTATTGTCACATAGCAATAGCACAAAGAGAAGATGAAGACGACTTTTGTAACGTCACCAAAGCCCGCAGGTAGTAGCGATGAGCACCACACCTAGATAGGTTTCAAAAAAGAGGTCGACCAGGTGCCACTGCCACCAAGAGATTCACCACTCTCACCCACCTGAGGGCAAAAGAAAAGCAAAAAGATGATTTCCGAATCCGGGAATCGAACCCGGCTCTTCTCGGTGAAAGCGAGATATCCTAGCCGATGGACTAATTCGGATGATCTGATTGATGAAAAGAAGACAATTCATTGCATTAATATCCTCGATGATAACAAAGCTGTCTGCAGTCGACGCGACTGCTCATTGCTTCCATCTTGGGCGTACGTTCTTGTGATATTTCCTTAGCTTTATGGTGCGGGGCAGCTTGCATACCCCACCGTAGGCGTCACAAGCATGGACTAGCGCCTTCCAATGACATGGCAAGCTTCTTCCGCTCTATCCCTATCGCATCTGTATTTCTGATTCAGTCCTCTAAACAGCCTGCCGTTCTCCTCCAACAGGTGCTTGAGTGCACTTTGGCTGTCCTGCTTTGGTGCAAGTCTTGTAGGGTATAAGCCAAAAACTGACTCATGCCGAGATCTCCGCTCAACTAGCTATCGATTCCAGCGAGCATGGCTTCCTATCATTGCCAGATATGCACAGTGGCCATGTCCATAGCACGAATTCGGACTCCGGAAGACCCTCCCGACGCGGCCTGGAATTATGAAGGTCACAGTTATGTGGGCTTTGACGAGTTCCGAGACATTTATGGAAATGCTGTCCCAGATCGACAATGCGAACAATGTACCACCCTAGATCGAACTCCAGCTAGCCTTGACAAAGATATCAAGAACGCAATCTTTGGCGGCCCTCTTTGGCCAGATGAAGACGATGAGGACGGCGAATGGCTACCGGAAGATTATGAGGACGCGGAAGGGGAAATGCTGGAATATGACAGCGAAGCCGATTGTGACGTGGAATCGTCAGACACATCGCAAAGCGATGACGAAAATGCAGATGGCGAGGACACTGATAACAACATACGCAGCGCCTTGCGTGAGCTGCATGCGCCTCCACAGCCAAGACATCTTCCGCACGGTACGTTGCGCAACGGTTACATATATACCAGAGAGTGGGAGGGGCCGCGGTACCTTGGAGACCTTCTACCAAAACAAGCATGCGGCTCGTATAGACTGCCCTTGGAACATATCGCGGCACCTTCTTGTCAAAGTCTCCAAGGCATCAACGGTCATTTTCTGAGCGTAGAACAAATGAAGGGCTGCCGTAACCATAGATTTCTGTTGGCCAAGCCACCGAACTGGCAAGCCGATGAGAGCGATAATATCTTCGAACGTGGCAGTTCTTTCGTCTTGTCCGGCGAATCAAACGAGTCCTACTTGTCGCCTGTGGCTCCTTACGTCTACCCGCCCCGCTATGGTGTGGATAAGGTAGACTGCTGGACCCTGTATATAAATGACGGATGCAACGTATGTGAGATATGCTTCCTGCTTAACTGTTTGCTCCAACTTTTAACACTAATCCAGAACTCTGATGGATGGCGGCCGTTGCCTGTGCATTCGTATTGCCTTGATATGTTTGCAAAGGCATCCTACCGTCGACTTGGACGGAATCTGGCATTGGCGGGAGATGCAGTCCTATCCAGAGTCATACAACCTTACCAGAGATGATGTGCTTCACCGTCCAGAGGTAGCTCAAGGGCGACACGATGATGGCAATCCATGGTGCCATCAGCCGGGCGATGAGTGGTTGGCTGCAAATCCCGTAGAGATTCCGGAGTTCTGCGGTTTAGTAGAAAGTTGCTTTACCTCCAGCACACTTGAACGTACGGTTCAAAACTCCCAAGCACGCCTTCTTGAGCTACCAGCCGAGCTTATCGACCATATCATATCCTTCCTCGGGGAATACGAGTTAAGTGCAGTGGCAGCTACTTCCCGCAAACTCCGCTGCCATACACAATCGTTTTTCAGAGCTCTTGCCGTTGAACACATGGGCTGGTTGTGGGAAGTGTTCGAAGCCGAACGATACCCAAACTCACCAGACTGGCCAGTGTCATGGGATCCCTGCAACCCCCCTGGCCTCGTTCCTGGCCTGCCATACGATCTTGAAACTGAGGAACAAGAGAATGCGCTCTGGGCGCAGATCATAGAAGAAGACCCAGCAATGGAATGTTTTGGAAATGCTGTCAAGACATCCAATTCATCACGTCGTGAGGCCATCCTTGCTCCATATAGGGCAAGAGCAGAGCTCTTGCTTAAAGAATGGCGAACATTCCGCGACGGCGTAACAGAATGGATCTGTCGTCTACCTTTAGGTGGGAAACAAATAGGACATGATCTGGACTGGGCACGTTTGTGGCGCCTATCCAATCCTGATACGACCCCAATACCGGGCATGCGAAACCGTGCGCGGATCTGGAAGGACTGTGAACGTATCCTAGATTACAATATTCGTTTGCGCGAGCAAGGTGTAATGGATGCTAAGTGTGAAGTTGTGAGCGAGGCTTTATCGGAAAGCAGACAGCAATGGTGGCCTCATGCAACAGCAAGCAGGCATGACAGTAACCATAAGGGTTTTCTGAGGCAACTGTGGCATAATGACTAAATTGTGCCTTAATATCACATTATATAGTATCTTACCAGGGTGGACATCGCAACGCCCGACCGCTAATGCTGGTGTCGTAAGCTCTACGATCTTGTTGGATCTGGTCCTTTTGTGGCGCCTTCCCCTGTTTTCCCCGCATCACACTAATGACGTAGCGCGAGATAGCGCGGCTCGGCAGTTACACAAGTCGCTCAAACCTCACTCACCATGATCGTACCATCACTCATTTGATCAAGTATCCGTGCGGTCAGCTCAATCTCAACTAATCCTGGTCAGCATGGCTGAATGAACTGCGACTGTACAGCTCATTTGCCGCACAATTCATCCGCCTCCGCTCGATCCTGAATCCGGGGTAGGAACACCAACCGTGCAGAGCTGCGAGCATGGGTATGTATCGATGTGCTGGGGCTAAAATCAGGCTATCACATATACGAGGCTCCTGAATGGACAGCATCCGCTGATATGAGCCGTCGATGATTAGCTACAAAGGATGAGACGGCACAACCGACCACCAAGTGTAAAGGATGCGGAGAACCTGGCGGCTGGGTGTCAAGCTTTCTCATAAATACTTAGCTGCTCAGCCACGCGTCGGCCCTATTGCTGTGTATACACCAGCTCTTCACTTTGAAAACGACTCCGACTACAATTGCCGAACTATCGTGTCCGCTCGCGGCGCTATTCTACCGACTTTCGACGCTTGATAACAAGCCACCGCTGAGCTCTACCTCGGAATGAGGTGAGAAGTCACGTTGTAGCAGCATCAGTACGCAGTTCGAGAGCTTTGGGTTGCGCGGTTTCGGCTATTGCAGACGACATATATACTCCGCCGCGTTCTGGAACTGACCACCATCCTCGCTACTCTCGCAGAGTAGTTGCTTAACTCACCATGAATGCTCACGACTACAATGAAGATGTAAGGTTCCGTCTTGATCTTCATTTGACAGTACTAAGGAATGCAGGAACGCCGACAGCTCGAAGAGGAGCTTCACACGGAGATCCTTCCTGGCACGGAGGTTATGACAGATGTTGGCTCACATCACTTCGTCAAGGGTACACATCGCGAGGTCCTCGTTCCACAACCTAGTGATGATCCAAATGATCCACTGAACTGGAGCACTGGGTGGAAGCTAGCATGTATCATCTCAGCATCTATGGTCACGTTTACGCAAGGATTTGGTCCGTTAGCTCTTGCACCTATGTTTCCCGCACTCATCGAAGCTTTCGAGACCGATCTTGCGGGAGCAGTGCAATTCACTGGCGTGTGTATCCTGGTACTCGGATTTAGCAATTTCATCTGGTGAGTACGAACATTGTATCATCCAGACTCAAGGCTGACAAGCAATCCCTAGGGTACCGATCAGCACATCTTTCGGTCGTCGCCCCGTCTATCTTGCGTCCCAGCTTATCAACATTGGTACATCAATATGGCGTGCCAAGTCCAACTCCTACAACTCCTTCATGGGCGCCTGCATCGTTAATGGTATCGGTGCTGGACCTGCTGAGACTATAATGCCAGAAGTCATCGCCGACGTCTTTTTCTTGCATGACCGCGGAAAGTGGAACACTCTGTACTGGGTCGTGTACATGGGCTCGCTCATGGTCGGTCCTATTGTGTCAGGATCCATGACCGAAACAGTCGGCTGGCGCAGCTTCTGGTGGCTCAACACTGGCATTCTGGTCCTCTCGTTCCTGATGGTAGTGTTCATGTTCCCTGAAACAAGGTTCAAGCGTGCTTTACCCGAGCACGTTGGGCAGAAGCAAGCCAACTCGCTCGAAGAGAAGACGAAAGCGACCACCAAGGAAGAAGTCAACAACTCTGATTCTGAGAAAGAGACAAGTCAAATCCAACACATCAACACCGCCAACTCTGTTCTTCCTAGTACTGCCGGCCTGGAGATGTCCGAGACTGCACAGCGCGATCCCTTCCTGGGACGTGGCAAGCCTGGCAAATGGCAATGGAAGATGTTCCAATCGAACGCCCACCCGTTCCGTTCCATCTTTCTCGACCTTTGGATTCCTTGGAAGTTGTTCGCCTTCCCCATTGTCGAATTCGCCGCTTTTGTTGTCAGTTGGTCATGCTCCAGCTTTCTCACAATCAACCTTACACAGAGTCAAGTCCTCTCCTTGCCACCGTACAACTTCAAGCCTATGACTGTCGGATTCACCAACTTCGCTGTTATGGTCGGCGCCTTCATCGGACTATTCACAGCTGGTCCGCTGAGCGATTGGGTATCTGCGAGAAGTACCAGGAAGAACAACGGGATTCGCGAGCCTGAGATGCGCTTGCCGGCCATGATACCCTATGTCATCATAATGCTTATAGGTAACATCGTCGTCGCCATAGGCTACGAGCGCAAGTGGTCCTGGGAGGCCATCATCATTATCGGGTATACCTGTGCTGGAATCCAAGTCGCAGCTCTACCCGGTATCGTCAGTACATATGCCATCGACTCCTACAAGCCTGTAGCTGGGTCTTTGATGGTCGCTGTTACTGTCAACAAGAATGTTTGGGGCTATGGCTTTGGCAAGTTCATTACGCCTTGGAGTGAGGAGGCTGGGTAAGTTTTACCGTTTTCTACATGCAACCGATCACTATTAACGAGACTAGATTTATCTCACCCATCATGACGAACGCGGCTCTGATCACGCTGTGGTGCTTATTCGGTATACTGTTCTGGAAGAAAGGCAAGACGTTCCGTCGCTGGAGCAAGAACAGCAGCGTACACCGACAAGGCGGTCTGTAGTGGGGTGCGTCATCCTATCTTCAGTTCTCTCAAAATATATTACAAATATACATAGCTTCTTCACAAGAGCAAAATCGGGCTTGTGGTTTAGTGGTATAATACTCCCTTAGCATGGGAGTGGTCCAGGGTTCGATTCCCTGCAAGTCCAACTTTTTGCGTCTGTCCAGGTCTGGTCGCCGTGGTTGTGGTGGACGATATCGTGGGTGATTTTCTCGTTTTTTTTTTGTCGGGTGTGGAGTCGTTCTCGGTCTAGACGCACCAACCTACCTTTTTCAACCCTCATTTCATCATTCCTCCTCTCGAACCACTGCCCTCTCCCTCTTTCCTCCACCCACAATATTTCTCTTCACATCCTCAGCAATCCACTCTGACTCATCCGCCTTGCCTTCCAAGTCCTCCCATCCGTGGACCTCCATCTCATCTAGCACTGCATTGTTTTGCCTCAACCACTGCCAGTGCAGAAGAACTTGGATTACTGTAGTCGATAGCTTCAAGCCACTCCACCCTGCCACCTCTTCGTCCCCCAATAAAAGGTAGGCGTCTAAGTCCGTGACGTGGTGTTTCATTCGCTCGCGTACGCCATGTGTCGTGAAGCCGCCGGGTGGAGCCGCGATCAAGGTGGGTATGATGTTCGGCAGGAGAGGACGTCGGAATGGAAATCTTCTTCTCACATCCTCGCTCACAGCCGCAAGCGCTGGCGATTTAACTCGCTCCGCCGGTGGTTCCGATGCTACAGTGACCGCTTGGTCACGATGATACGTCCCAGCTTCCATCTTCCATTCCCTTAACATATCGTACCGCAGTGCCAGGCGCATGGCGAGCTGTTTCTTCGCATTGTAAAGGCGCGCCATCAGCCCTCTGTTCTCAACGATCTGCTCTGGTAGAAGGGTGCGCGTGAGTAGGAAGAGCAGCTCTTCGATCATGTCACGCCTATGTTCGGGTGGGCCATCGCGGATGCTATGGACTACTACACACCAATTTGTTTTCGTATCCACTGGCTTGAGGAGCGTGTCGATGAGGTTTTGCATGCCTGAAGAGTTCAATTGACCAGAGTTAGTACTCACCTCGCATATAGTTCGTAGCAGACGAGGGACGGTAACTTGCCTTGCGTAACCCCGTTGGCGGACATGTGGAGACGTCCCCAGTCTTGGATAGCATCTAAACTCCTTTCTAAGCTTCCCTCGTACGGGCTGGGGTGCGTCGGTGGGAGAAGATAATGCGCTGGTAGTAGTCTGACTACAGATTTCTTCTCGTCTATCTCGTTTGTGGTGTCTGCTACGGAAGGTGAGGCAATTTCAATGACGATACTGTTAGCGCGGACGCCGCGACCGAGTCGCTGTGGTGGTGGACGTGGTGTTGGACGCGGTGTGGTGAAGGACGAGTCAGATTGTATGCTTTGGATACTTTGGGCGCGGGCAGGGCGTTGGGAGGTACGGCGATTGGGGGTGGATGTCGCCATTTGAGGTCGGTTAGAGGGGGGTGAAAATGGAGTCGTTTATGTAAGTAGGTTTAGGGTCAGCGTGGTAGGATGGACTTAGATTAGCAAGTTCTCTGCGTAGTTGAGAGTGAGATATTATGATGACGTGATTGTGGGAGGATGCAATGGTTATGAGGGTGAAAGTGAAAGTGGAAAATGTCAATTGTTACTTGTGGTCAGCACGACAGGAAGTGAGTGTAGTCTGGGGGAGCAGCTGATGAGGGGATCGAGTTTGTTGTTTTTTTGCATGATCATTGTACTACTTTGCAACGATTCAACACCACCAGCATGCCGCGTTTAAACCTTGAGAGCCTTTTCCTGCATCATCTTCCCACTATCATCCGCAGGCTCCAGACCCATCTTCGACGGTCCACAAAGCTGCACACCGTCCTTGCTAAACCTTGATCCATGCACTGGGCAATCCCAACTCTTTTCCGTAGTATTCCAGCATACCACACCCTTGAGATGCGGGCACAGCGCTGAGAATTTGTGTATCTGACTGCCCTCATCCTTGTATACAGCCAGAGGCTTCGTAGGATTGGTGTTGAGAACACCACCCTCGCCAGGTACAAGATCTTCGATATCCTTGATATCCGACTGGGCGAAGCGCTTGTACTGTGCGTTAATTTGCAGGTCGTGGCTTATCATACTGGTAGCAGATTTTGCAATGGAAGCAAGACGCTTGGGATCGTAAGCCGAGATCCAGTCGTTGGGTTGCTCGGTGATGGAATCCGCGATAAGTTTACCCGCCAGGACGCCATGAGTGAGACCGTTGCCCGAGTCACCGGTAATTATGTAGATGTGTTTGTTGCCTTGGTTCTTGCCGATGAAGGCCATGTGATCGACTGGCTCGAAGACCTGACCGCTCCACTTGTAGTCGATTGTGGTTGCTTGCGGGAAGCGGGCGCGGGTCCATTCTTCGAGTTCTCTCAAGGGAGCGACAGTGTCAGCTTGGCCGACTTTGTGGTCGCCGCCTCCTACGACCATGTAGTCGTCGTTTGAGTCGCACTCAGTGAGGCGGACGTACTTGTAGATTTCGGCCGAATCGTAGAAGAGAGCGTCTTCGACTGAGCCCTTGGGTACGCGGATGGCGATGCAGTAGGTACGATAGTACTCCTCCTCGGCGATGACGGATAGCTTCTGTAGTGGGACGCAGGTTGCTTCGACGGCGTCGGCACACTTGATCGTGTTTCCGTCGGCGGTCTTAACGTATACGTCTTTGTGGCCAAGGCCCATGATCTCTATACCCTTCTCTTGCACATCAATGCATCGAGTGTTTGTGTAACACGAGAAGTTGGGCTGCTGCTTGAGGAAGTCGAGAACACCGACGACGTACTTGGTGGGGTGGAACGTCGCCTGCTGAGGGTAGATGACAGCGTCGCTCTGATCGATGCTGCCCTCCCAGCCCTTGAGCTTGAACCCCTCCTTGTATTCCGTTACAATGCCAAGCTCCTTCGCCTTGTTGCCGTCCTCAATCAATTCCTTGATGTCGCTCGCATGGTCTTTCGAGTCCTTTGGGTATTGAGAGAAGTCGTAGCCGGGAAGATGGCGGTACTCGCACTCAATGCCCAGCTTCTTTGAGATCTCGCCGACGCGGTTCAACGCCCAAGTATGCGATTCTGCAGCAGCTTTTGCGCCATTGTCTCCGTGCTTCTTCGCGATCGCTGTGTAACCATCGTCAAGATCATTCGCGAGATGACCGCTCGTACGTCCAGTTTCACCTGACAGTACCTCACGGCCCTCGATCAAGACGACGTTCAGCCCACGAGTTACTAGCTCGTAGGCCACTGAGACGCCAGAGATACCGGCGCCAACAATGCAGACGTCTGTCTCAAGGTCCTTGTCAAGCTTGGGGAACTTGGGAATGTTCTTGTAAGGCAGGTGATGAATCCATACCGGATCAGTCTCTCCACTGGTATACATGAAGTGTTTTGGATCTGATGTCTTGGCCGTAGCTACTGACGCGTCACGGCTCATGGTCGCCATATTCGCTCGCTGTCTCGCAAATTGGTAGTTCGGCACTTGCTGTAGGCGGGGTGCAAGTCTGCTATATGAAGCTAGACGTATCGTGGATACACGAGTGGTGGTTCGTAGGAAACTGGAATGAAGGAGACGAGGGGCAGACAACGACATTTCTTAACGACAGGTGGGAGGAGAGGCGTAGGTAGTGAGCACGTGGAGGTCCATGGTGCTGTATATTCCTGTAAGTCGATAATCATGACGGTTTGATGTAATAGCCGGAAAATCATTGGCTGACCGCGTCGCGTGAGCCAGAAGGAAGCATTGGCGATGTAGCTTTGACGATGCCATGACGTGTGCTTTGCGTCCTCCGAGGAACATCAAGTGTCCGAAGACAGGCACGTCTTGCAGTGGGCAGGTAGAGGGTCAAGAGGATATGGAGACATCGTAGTGATATGCGGGATCAACAAAGACGTAATTGATACAAGAACGATGAAGGTGTTGCGATAAAACAGATAAAGCTTGTCCGCGGGCGCTGAAGTTTGACACGCTAATTTTCGACCGTGCCGCGTCTGCACGTGACATTCTGACCTCGTGATCATCGCCCTTTCAACAAACTCTCTGCAACGTCTCTTAACACAAACTTTTTGATCTTACCACTACCTGTCAACGGCACTTCAGCGTCACAGTCCTCTCCTAGCCAGAAGATGTGTACAGGAGCTTTGTGTCTGCCGAGTACTTTCCGTACCCATGCCTGCACTTCTGCTAAATCTGGCTTGTCTGTATTCAGCTCGTGTGAGAGGAAGGCAGCAGGTACCTCGACGTAACGGGGATGTGAGACGCCGACGACGATGGCGCGGGTGATGGATGGGTGTGCGACGAGACGTTCTTCGATTTCTAGGGGGTAGATGTTTTCGCCTCCTGGTATGCTGTTAGTACAGAAGTAATGGGAGATGTACTGATTGTAGGGGAATTCCCACCTCGGATGATGATATCCTTGAACCTTCCGGTGATGGTACAGTATCCATCTACGTCCAAGACTGCCTCGTCACCAGTGTGTAGCCACGGCTCGCCATACTCATCGCGCACGATAAGTTCCGCCGTCTTCTCAGCATTTTCCCAGTATCCACGACAGACTTGGTATCCCGCGACGCAGAGCTCGCCCCTAACACCGATCGGTACGATGCGATCCTGATGGTCTACTATTTTTACCCGCGCATGAGGCAATACTGTTCCAACAGTAGTCAACCGCGCATGCAGCGAGTCGTTTGTATGCGCGTTGAACACTGTAGGGCTCGCTTCCGTGAGCCCATACGAAGATGTAAAGTCCGACATGTTGAGCTCATTGACCATGCGCTCCATGAGCCATTTTGGCACTGGACTGCCCGCCACAATGCCCGTTCTGAGATCACTTGTCCATCCCTCCGGCCGTGGGACATCCATTATAGACTCCATCATGGCGGGTACACCATGTAGGGCTGTGCAGCGTTCTGCATCGATCGCCCGCATGCAAGCAACGGGATCGAAGGATTCGGCTGGGAAGACAATCTTGGCACCGTGTGTGAGGCAAGCGAGGAGACCGAGTGTTAGACCGAAGCAATGGAAGAGGGGCGGCGGGCAGCAAAGGGTGTCGTTGGGTGTGAGATCCATGCGATCGCCTATGAAGCGCGAGTTGTTGATCAAATTGCTAAACGAAGTCAGACGCGCATTGGTTGAATAGAAGAGACACTTACTGGTGTGTCAACATGGCAGCTTTTGGGTTTCCGGTGCTGCCACTTGTGAATTGGAGGTTTGCGACATCGTAGGGACTTATTATGCCGTCGAAGATGTCTAAGATGTGCTCGGGGATATATTGGGCTTCTTCGATGAGGGAGGAGTAGCTGATGAAGCTGTCGTGTTGGCCGCGGATCAGACATACAGTCTTGAGGTCTGGTAGTGTGGACGCGACATCGGGTTGGCTGAGCTTGTGCAGTAATGGTCCGTTGTCGAAGCGCGCGATCGTGGGTGTTGTGAAGAGTACTCTACATTCTACCTTGGTCAGTTTCGTTTTTCATACCACCCGTCAAGAACACTTACTTGTATGTTTTAGCGCGTACTCCATCTCTGTCGCCGTATACGTGTTGTTAAGCGTAACACAAATGCCCCCTACCCTTGCGCATGCAAAGAAAAGTGCAATATACTTTTCGCAATTACCGCTCATGATTCCTATCCTATCTCTTGGTCTTACACCCTCTTTCAGCAACGCTCTTGCTAGCAAGCTCGACTCGTCCCATAGCTGCTGGTATGTCCACCGCGCGCCAGTCCAGGGAATGACAACAGCTTCATTCTCCGGATAGCAATCGACTTGTTTCCGAAGTAGTTGTGACAGGGTCAACTGGAGTAGTGGCGGATCCAATGGCCCGGCGACGATAGAGAGGTTGGGATATGGAGGTAGGATATATGGGTCGATCTGGAGTAGTGTTTGGTTGAGACGTTGTAAAGCGTCATTCCGCGATTGATCATACAATTCCGCCATCTCGTTATCAGATCTTGCGATCCAACGTCGAAAAGTTACTGAACGAATTCAATATGCCGCCCGATGGATACACTATCTTGTGGTAATAGGTATAAATTGGCGACTTAGATGATGAAAAGCGTAGAAAGAAAACGATAGCGAAGCAACGGTATACAGTAGTACCCAGAGACAGTCGAGCGCTTGACGATGAATCTTCGAGGTACCAACACTGGCCATAGCGATAGCAACAGCGATAATGACGGTGCCTTTCGCCGATGGCTCGGATCTAAGCTTAAGCACCAGCAGGACCAGGCCATCTTTGATCTCCAGTCCTGCCGTCTTCCGGAGATAGAGAGCAAACGTACTTAGTGGGTCATCTCTCATCCTTTGGAATCGAAACGAAACAGGCCATGACATGGCTGGCTTGCTGGGCCTCCACGCGTAGCTCTACCTACTCTTTCCAGGCGCAACGCCGCGGTCAGTACTATGGCCAGTCTAGCAGACACCGTCAAGTGATTGGCATAATTTTTGTGCTCACAGCGGGAGAAGATCGGCACTGGCTGGTCGCCGTAGTGTAGAGAACGAACAGCCCAGGACCGATGACAGTAAGCGGCGAAGCCACCATGGTCAGGGTAGTTAGCCGACAGGGGTCGGGCGTTCGATCTTGATCTGATAAGATTAAACCGGCCATCAAAGCCGGTCGACGCTGCTGCGACATCGGTGCATCACATGTCGTATGTTGTATACGAGGTGCGTGCATAGCATTCATGCAGGCTTGCAAATTTTTTATCAGATCAAAAAGAAAATTTAATCAGATGGAAGTGCGAGTAAGGCGTCGGGACAAGATGGGTGTGGAGGTGGGAAGGAATCCTAGCGCCTGGGCAATAACTATCCCGTAAATTTCCTTGCATCCGCTGCGTGGTTTGTAGCAGCTGCCCCATCAGGCATCATGGTGTCATGCTGGTGCATCTGATAAAAATTCTTCTCGTCGCGTAGCGGTACTATCTGATTCGAGAAGATATGCCGCGGACTATTTCCAGGGTTGCGCCAGTCGTAGTGCTGCATCGCCGTTACGTGTTGCATCCACACACGCATCTCCACAAAGTGACCGATCCTAGTCGCAATCGAATACGCCTTAGGTCGCACGAAGGCACTGACACTCCACGCCCTTTCTGGGCGCAGAGACTAGGCGCCCACCATGCAACGACGGATCAGATAAAAGAGTGCGGCTAATTATCAGATCCGCGTCCTGCATACACGAGCCGGGGTTGCTCCGGGCGTCATTGGACGGCTGGGGTGCGAGGTCATGTCATTCGTGACGTGCGTGCCATCGGTTAGCGTGGGATATACGAGCATACCGGAAGAACGCTACGCAGCGATTGTTCTTGCGAGAGCGATGCCGAAGCTGTCTAATGACTAGCGGTATGTTGCAGCCGTCTCGAGGCGAATCTCGGGAGATGGAGCTTGATCTGTAGGTAGATGATAATCAGTAATCACAAAATAGCCAGAAGAATATCCATGCCATGCTGAGTTGATGGTCAAAATTTGTTCGTATTTACATTAATGAAAATAATTGTAGTTGCGTGGTATTAGAAACAAAGTGCGAGATGGCAGTCTACAACTTTGACTTGGCGCCTGCATCCAGGCTTGGGCGAACCTTCTTCTCCCCATCCCAGGTGAAAGGACTCAATGTGAAGAATTTCTCTCGGTTGACCATCATCAAAGCACTACGCTTGTGTGGAAGGTCCATGATCTTCTCAACGTGGAAACCGTGGGCGAAGTCATATGCTAGCACAGTGCTGCTTGTTGCTGCTGGTTCACCTACCAGGTTCCAGGTGCGTGGCTCATCAAGGAACATGTAGTGCATGAGGCCAGACCACCATGCAGAAACACGGTAAGGCCCTCTGAATCGAACGTCGCCGACGAGTGAGTGCCTGCCGCGGTCATAAGGCGAAGACTGGTAGTGAGCACCCATGTGATCCTCCTGTGACATGTGTTAGTCAAAAGGTTACATTGGGTCGGACACGATCTTGACTTACCATTGCCCAATAAACTTCAAAGTAGGCAAACAGAATGTCGTCGAAAGCAGCGAACATGGTGAGTACGTGGGGGTCCTCATGCAGCTTTCGGAGATATTCACGGTGTTGATCCAGAGTGCCGGTTTCGTTCCAACCTGCAGCGACACGTGGGTCGTTTTGCCACTTGTTGAATAGTCGGAGATGCTCATCATTGGTGTAGTCAAGAGCCACCATTGTAAAATGCTCCTTCAGGTGTGGCACCCATCGACTGTAAATGATCGAGCCAGGCTCAGGCTTTGGTTCACGGACAGGATGTTGCGTATGCCGTGGTACAGCCGGGAACTGAGTCGATGGTGCATTCTGGAATGGAAATGGAGGATATGGTCTCTGGATCGGCTTTCCAGAGGTGTGAAGGTGCGGTGCCCAGACTGGACGAGCTCCGAATGGAGATGCGGCGCCCTGCCAGAATGTTGCTCGGAAGAGGAGGTGACCATCGTGAGGCGCCGAAGCATTGGAAGCCTTTGGATGTGAGTGGAAAAGGCCGGTGGCATAAAGCTCATTGGCTAGTTCCTGCGAGTCTTTCCCAGAGAATAGCACGCGGAAATTCTCGATTAGCGGGTGCAGTGAGACCAACGCGTAGGCGATGAGCCAAAGTTGCGGGACGGTTGGCCGATCCTTGTTCCAAGAGACTGTTACATATGGGGATCTTCGAGTGCGAGCCCAAGAACTGTTGTCTCCCTTCGCTGGTACTGCATCTTGGCTCAAGGTGCTAATGTCGGTGAATGAAACAGTTTCGTTATGTAGAACTGCCGGCGGAGCAACCTCCTTGCCTGTGGTGTTCGCTGAAGAAAGCTGGACTTGGTAGCTTATGGGCTGTCCTTTCGGTGCCACATTAACGATAGTGTATGCGGTTAGATATGGGTGAGGAAGCTTGAGAACGAGCGGTTCTTGTGCGGTATTCTGCGTTTCCTGTCGCGCCATAATGAAGTTGGATGATGAAGAAGAAGAAGATATGAGCAGAAGATAGCAGATGCAGTTGATTGCGCGACAGCAATGGGCGAGCAGCTATAACCCTATCGTTCGAGGTCGTTCAAGATGCTCAGGACTCCAACGTGTGAACGTTTAACCGAGGTCGTCCCTAATATCCGGGATAGTTTAGTCCACCACATTACGCAGGCTTAGGCGATGGTGGATTTGTTACCCATCCTCCGGCAAGAAAAACTGGTCACAGGGCTGTCGTGCGGACGTGGCGTGAGGAAAGCTCCGACTGGGTGGCTGGCCACCCCATGTGGGCCTTGGGCTAGCACCCACATGCAAGCTGGCGTATGTGGACGCAAAGACTCGCGCACTTGTGCCGCTGACGCTAGCCATCGGTGACATCGTTGTTTTGAGTGTGGGCATCGACACATCTAGCTGATACTGGCCGGTGCGCAAGGCCTGCAAATTGTGCCTAAGTTGTGCGGTTGTGTTATGGTGCTGTAGTACTATATTTTTAGCGTCGAAACACCTTCTTGATGTACACACCTAGAAGGCGATAATCGACATCTGCTTCAAACGAATCAATCCTTCATCCATAATGACTTCAACCGAGAGAACAACTCCTACGCCCATGGCAGATTCATCGCCATACTACGACCTCGTATGCGTCGGCTTTGGCGCAGCGCAATTGGCAACAGCCATTGCCAACCGCGAATCCAGCAAACCTTCGAAGATGCTCTTTGTTGAGAAGAAGACCTCCTTCTCATGGGCATCAGATTCGCAAATGTCGAGAACACGGATGGAAAGCCCATTCATGTACGATCTCGCAACACTCCGCAACCCAAGGACTGCTTTCAGCTATGTCAACTATCTGCTTGCTCGCAAGCGCCTCATCGAGTTTGCAAACTCAGACCGACTCAACCCTCTGCGAGAAGAGTTCGAGGACTATATGAGGTGGTGCGCTGAGCACTTCAAAGATGAGGTACGCTATGGCAGCGAGGTTGTTGGCGTAGCTCCAGAGGTAGATTCGGATGCTGTACAAAGCTGGAAAGTGGCTGTCAAAGACAGCGCCGGCAAGACGCATGTAGTGCGAGCACGAAGCATAGTCGCTCCCTCACCATCAAGAATGAGCAGTCCAGCTGCGGAGCCGTTGCCCACCGTCGACTTCTTGTCTGGACAGCGAATAATATCGATGCACAACTACCCCAGCAGGCGGAACGAATTGCGAGGTGCAAACGAGCGACCATTGAACATTTCCCTCGTCGGATCCGGCGAAAAGACTACGGAGATTCTCGACGATTTGTTGTCGTGCCCCCGCCTGGGCAACATTACAGTCGTTACAGAAGACGAGTCGTTGGCGCCATTGACGGTTCTCAACGACAGCAAGCCATCGCAACCCCAACTCTGCTCCATTTGGGCGAAGCCAACCAGCAATCAGACAGCTTCTGTGACAGAAGCCTCAGAGCTCGTCCAGAAGATCTATGACCGCGCGTACGAGAAGCAAGTCCGATCCAAGGGCGAGTACAGACTACGCGTCATCATTGGAAAAGATGCCGCTGGCGCGTGCTCACAGTCCGACTTCATCATTAGGGATACGACAACAAACCCGCTCTCCAACACCGCACTATTCCAGAGCATCGACACGCTCATCTTAGGCTGTCGGCCAAAGGGAGATAGCCTGGAGGAAGTGCAATTCAAGCGTGGCGCTGTCGCTGAGGGCTGCCGCTTGTGGCTGGTGTCCTCAAAGTCTAATGGAGGACGTGCGTTAGCCAAGGACATCGCCTTGATGGCAGGTGAGATCGTGCGCAAGGTATCGACAGGGTCTGATGCTGTACGGGATGGCGCCGGACTACAAGTCCAGGCTAGGATATAGGGCGGGTGATGGTGTGCAGGTGTGGGTTCTTGTTTCCAAGGTTTAGGCGCTAGATGATGCAAATTTTTATCTAATCTGATGCAAACTGAGCACAGACCATAATGCAAGTGACACGTCCTTCTCTCCACTCACGGCCTGCACCTCACGAACCACCAACCCACACTACTTTCCACTACACATCCTTCTTCACGTGACGCTATACCCCTTCACGCTATGCTAGCAAATTGCCCTGCTGCTGCACTATGTCGATCCTGGCCGTCGCCTCCTGGCGGGGCCAAAGCGCCCTGGCGAACCTCATGCAGGTGTCTTCGCGCGTCTTCATCACAGCATACAGCAAGGGATATTCTTTCTCAAGCTGCTAAACACATCTCATAGGCTCAATGCCTTTCAGCAAGCCCTCGGGGGCCTCTATCAGGCAGTTCTTTAGCTTTCTCCATCTCCTCTTCTACGCAGACCCGACATGGCTCGACAAGATACTGGTGTTTGTTGGCGCTATAGCTGCCATCGCAGCAGGCGTACCGTTCCCGCTCATTGGAATCGTCTTTGGTCAATTGGTCGATGAGATCAATGTAGCAACATGCAACAATCGCGATGGTGGCTCCAATGGGGACGAAGAAGCCGATATCACGCCCAAGATTCTATTGCTTGTCTACATCGCTATCGGCAGCTTCGCTTGCATCTACATACATCTTGTATGCTGGAACTTGGCATCGCAGCGGCTAGCTCAACGCATCCGAGACCGCTACCTTAGGAACCTGCTACGACAAGACATGGCCTTCTTCGACAACCTACAAGCCGGAGAAGTATCATCTCGACTCAATGGCGACATCCAAGCCATCGAGAGCGGAACTGGCGAGAAGGTCGGTGTGGCATTAACTTGCCTCTCCTTCTGTGTTACTGCCTATATCGTTGGCTTCATCAAGAACGCCGAGTTGGCTGGCATGCTCGTGTCATTAATCCCTGCATTCTTGCTCATGGCAGTGGTTGGTGGTCACTTTGTTGGCAAGTATAGTGCCAGGCTCGGCTCATGCTTTGGGTCTGCTAGCGCTATCGCGTCTGAAGCTCTCAGTCACGTTGGTCTCGTGCACGCGCTCGGAGCGAATGCAAGACTCGAAGAGAAGTTCGAGAGCCACCTAGGCAATGCTCGGGAAGCAGGCATCAAGAAATCCATGACTGCTGCTGTACAAGCTGGTCTGCTCTACTTTATCGCCTTTTCAGCTAGTGCCCTGGGTTATTGGCAGGGTAGTCGTAGAGTCGCAGACTCTTTAGAGGGCAAGGGCAGTGCCACTATTGGAGAAATCTATACTGTCACCTTCATTCTTCTTGATGGTAAGTACCTCTTTGAGCCTGTACATGGTCATTGGCTGACGTCTTTTCAACAGGTGCTATTGTCTTGAGTCAGATCGCGCCCATGTTGCCACTGTTCGGTGGTGCCATATCAGCATTTGGGCGCTTGCGCAAGGATATCGAAACTCAGCCTACCATCGATAACACGTCGTCATCTGCAGAAAAGCCTACTGACGTCGAGGGTACTGTTGAGTTCCGCAATGTTGCGTTCACATACTCTTCAAGGCCTGACCATCCCGTGCTGAACGGTATCAACTTGACATGCGAAGCCGGTAAAATGACTGCCATTGTTGGTCTCTCTGGTAGCGGCAAATCCACCGTCGCAAGCCTCATCAGCCGCTTCTATGACCCGCAATCCGGTGACGTACTTCTGGATGGGCGCAACGTCAAAGACATCAATGTCAAGACTCTCCGAGGCTTCATCAGCCTTGTGCAACAAGAGCCATCGCTTCTCGATCGCTCTATCCTGGAGAACATCGCTCTCGGTCTAGTCAATAGTCCACCTCACGCCCACCTCGAGAAGACACTGTTGAGTGGCATCCTCGCCCAAGTTGCAGAGGACGTTAGGGGCGGCCAAGAACTCAATCGTGTTGCCGAGAACGCTGGCCCAGAAGTGGTAGAGATCCTTCAGCTGGTGAGACAGGCTGCAGACCTTGCCGATGTTGCTGTATTCATTGACCGCCTGGAATTCGGTTTCGCGACCTCAGTCGGTTCAAGTGGCAGCCTTGTCAGTGGTGGGCAGAAGCAACGTGTTGCTCTTGCTCGAGCGCTCGTCCGCGACCCGCGTATCTTGATCCTCGACGAGGCCACTGCTGCCCTGGATTCTGCCAGTGAACAACGTATCCAAGCTGCCATAGACCGGGCTTCCCAAGGCCGAACAGTGGTCTCGATCGCCCATCGACTGTCTACCATCAGAGCTGCTTCGAAAATCATCGTCATGAAGAAGGGTGACATCATCGAGCAGGGCACTCACGATCAGCTAATGGAATTGGATGGATCATACGCGGACATGATTCGCCTACAATCTGTCAAAACCGAGGATGGCCCGTCAAGCTCAAGGACCAGTCTGGATTCGCGCGACACTATTATTGATGAGAAGTTGACATTGAGCGCTCAAGAGCCTAATGCGGTACCAGCAAGCGATGCGCAGGCCGTTGACCCCGTTGAGCATACCAAGGGTGTCGTCATTTCAGGTTCCATCAGAAAGACCATGTTTCCATTAACACGACCGTACATGGGCATCGTGGTGCTGGCTTTCTGCGGAGCACTGATAGTAGGAGGGCAATACTGCGGGTCTGGCCTCTTATTCGGTAACATCATGGGCACAATGTCCCCTTGCAACTCCCCAGACTACATTCGGTCTAGGGGTGAGCTATTGTCCGGAATGTGGTTCATGCTTGCCTGTGTTGCTTTCCTTGCCAACTTCACCAGCTGGGCATCATTTGGTCTTTTGTCTGAGCGACTTATCTACAAGGTCCGCAATCTGTCCCTGCACACGCTGCTCCAGCAGCCGCTGCAATGGCATGAATCCGAGGCGAGAAACCCATCAATGCTGCTTGAGTTCATCACCAAGGACGGCAATTCCTTGGCAGGCTTTAGTGGCTCCATCGTTGGCACGCTTTTCTCCGTCGTTGTTAACTTCGTGGCCGCTATCATCCTGTCTCACATCATCGCATGGCGAATCGCGATCGTATGTCTTGTTATCGTACCGCTACTTTTGGGTGCTGGTTACATGCAGTTACGCGCCATCGGCCGCTTTGCTGTAAAGCATGCCGGCGCGTTCTCATCTTCCATCGGTGTTACTATTGAAGCCGTCTCGAACATCAAGACTGTGCATGCATTGTCAATTGAAGAAGAGATCATACAAACCTACCGGAGATCGTTGAAAGCTCCGCGCAAAGAGATGGTGAAGCAAAGCTTCAAGACCAACGTCTGGTTAGCTGTCGCCAATTCTTGTGGTAGCTTCATCTACGCCTTTGCCTACTGGTGGGGCTCGAAAAACATCATCGAAGGCAGATATACCCAGACCGAGTTCTTCGTCATCCTCATCGCCATGCTCGTCTCCGCACAGTTGTGGGGTCAACTATTCACCCTCGCGCCTGAAATAGCCAAGGCTAAGAGCGCCATCGGGCGCATCTGTGGACTGATCGAGCTCGGCAAGGACACCCCCCCTACAGGACACCAGAAGGCACTATCCGAAAAAGCACAGGACGATGTTGAGGCAAATGCTGAATCGCCATTGCCCGCCTCCCCACAAGGCGGTGCCAGAGTTGTCTTCCGAGATGTCGGCTTCGCGTATCCAGCGCGTCCCGGTGTTCCAGTGCTAACATCGCTTTCATTGACCATCCAGCCAGGTCAATTCTGCGCCTTGGTCGGTCCTTCAGGTGCAGGCAAGAGTACTGTCCTGGCCCTTCTTGAGCGATTTTACTCTCCTTCCTCAGGCAGCATCTCCATCAATGGGTTCGATATATCACGACACCATGGCGCGTCTTTCCGCGATGATATCGCCTATGTTCCCCAAGAGAACGTACTCTTCCAAGGAAGCATCAAGTTCAACATCGGGTTGGGAGCAAGACCCGGCCATGAACCATCCGACGAGGAGATTCAAGAAGCCTGTAAACTGGCAAATATACATGACACCATCGTCGATCTTCCCCAAGGCTACGATACCGAGTGTGGCTCCAACGGTAACCAGCTGTCTGGTGGTCAGCGTCAACGTTTATCTATCGCACGAGCTCTTGTACGGAAGCCAAAGTTGCTGCTACTGGATGAGAGTACGAGCGCACTCGACGCAGAGAGCGAGAAGGCTTTGGAGCAAGGCCTCGAGCGGGCTGTCAAGGGCCACGGCGTGACAGTTATTGCAATCGCCCATCGACTGAGGACGATCGCCAGAGCTGATGTTATTTTCCTCGTCGAGGCAGGTAAGGTAGTAGATCAAGGACGTCACGAGGAATTGGTGCAGCGTAGTGAGAGTTACCGTGTCAATGCTCTCCACCAGATGCTGGGTTGAGTCTTGTTTAGTTTAATAGACATTCTTAATTCGCCTTCAGCTATATTGGCATTATGCCAGCTCTACAGACTTTGGTAATCTCTTCTCTCCGCCTTCCGGTAACCAGACGTACAATGGACATTCCTCGTTCTCCCCTGCGCCATTGGTCTCGTTAGATTTGACCAACTTCTCCTTCAGTTTTCGACTTCCCATCTTCTCGTAGAGCTTAACGCCCTCCTTGGAGCTCTCTATATACATTGGCAGACCAGTCTGCTGGGCGATGGTCGTCTCATGTTTGAATAACAACTCACCAATACCTTTCCGTTGGTAGTCGGGATGTACAGCCATCACGTGGCAGTAGATGTACTTCTCATTGAGCCACAACTTCTCCCTCGTATCCCAGAGTGGCTTAACAAGGGCCTCGGCTCGTTCTCGTTCTTTCCCCTCCAACCATCCGATCTCACCCTTCTTCCAATCACTCGGCGCAATGTATACGTCACAAAGCGCCATCCCAACAATCTTGTTAGTCTCGGTGTCGATGCATTTGAACGTATATTGCGTCGCACTTGTCTTCCAATACTCCGTGACATGAGCGGTGTGAGCCTGCCTTCATACTAGTCAGCTCATGGATCAACGGCATCTAACGGTAGATCCAAACCAAAGATGGGTACTTACCGAAATTCGGAATTCGCGTCCGTCAAGTCCTTCTCGGTAGCCGAGGGGAACAATGCGCGCGTGAGTGCGTTGTCCTTGAAGGCTGCGAAGTATACATCGTACACGGCGCTAATGTCCGGTACCAGTGTGGGAAGGATCACGAACCCCATTTTGAGTGGCTCGTCACTTAGTAAAATTTTGATCTAGGACCTGAGCAGCGGGGAAGGATCTAGACCGTTTGCTGGTGGAGGGTTCAACTCAAGGTACGAAAGGTCTGGTAACGTTTGACAGCTGCAGTAAAACGCTCGACCCTGAGACATGAACTTGGTAGCATTTTGTCGCCCACTATGCTCAAAAGTTGCACGATCCACCCAAAATGCCCAGCTTTCTGGTTGAGAGATCGTCGGTCACGCATACAGCATACTTTGAGTTCGACCTGGTGGAGGAACGCGCACCATAGCTGTGCCAATCTCTCGGCTGCCTGAGGAACCGCCTGCTTCGTAACGCTAGGGGAGAGGGCGCAAAACTAGTATACAAGACCCACACGTCTAGGAGCAAACACATCACGCCACCGACGACGACCAGACCTTCTCCATTGAGACGCTTGGTCGTTTCTACTGTGCCTCCCCCTCGCATGTGCCGATTAAAGTTATCTGATCCGTTCTTAGCGAGGCTTTCCCGTCGAACGATACATCAAATCAGCATTGTTTCATAGCGCAAAAAGTCCTACGCCTATGTGCATATTTATCATTTACCGCGACCAGCGCGTCGAAAGGCACTGTACCGTAGCGGCAAGTTTACGCGTGGGATGACCGTATTTCGCGTATGTTGCATTTCCACAGCTCCGGGCCTTCTTCGTGCGACCAGCAATATCCCTAATTCAAAATGCACGACACTTAAAGCCGGCTTGTGTTGTCGATCGATGCAAAGAATGGCGCATGGATGCTGTTATTGGTCGGCAGCACTCCTCCGAACATCGGCCGTTATCAGATCAAAACGATTTGCGGCGCCAGCGACGTAACCCTGCATGACTCCTACTCCATCGGGCAATTCCGTGCATGCATCGGTAGCACACCATCAAATTTATCAGATGAAAGGCCATGACGCCGCCTTTCCCGCTAGAATTATCTGATCCGCTAAGTGTGGGGATGAGCATGCAGGGCGAAGAGGGTTTTTCTTACGGCTAAACCGTGGTACCTTACCCGATCCCACCATCCCCTCCGCGTTTACGTTAGGCGATGCGCAATACAGCCTGTATCGAGAAAGACACAATGGCGCGAAAAAGCGGACCCTGTTACTACGTCGTAAGAGAAAACTATGACGCCGACGGCTGTCCGACCGAGGATGATGGATCAGTCGGCGTGGGTTGGTGTGCTTGTGCCGGAGCCTTGTCCTAGCTCAATGTGTGGAGAGATCAGTCCGTGTGTGAAGCGAAAGCTCGATGGGGAGGTTGATGAACTCGCGGCTTTGCGACACTTGGCCATTACTACAACAGTGTCTGGGGTTTGGATCATCCGGCACGGAAATATCTTCATCCCTTCATCACCGCCTCTCCTTCGAAAACAGATATTAACTTTGAAATGAAGAGACCACACAGCAGCTTGAACGGCGGCAAGATGCATCTACGTAACGGCGAGCATGCATCGCACTTTAGCGGCGCTCCAGACGAGCATATCGCGAAGAAAGTGCAAAGCAATGGCGCATCAACCAAGAATGGCAATCATGAAGCCTTAAATACGAACGGCCACAGCTCCAAGACGAACGAGGCTCGAGCAAAGATCCCGAATAACCTAACCCCAGATGCTCTGCTGGACACCGTTCTTGCTGCTTGGGCGGCACTCATGCACAGATACCAAAGAGATGTCTTCCATCAATTCTCTTGGGGCGTGGTCAGTGCCAATGGTCGAGCGACACAAACCATCAACACAACTGACCTCAACTTGACAAGCCACAAGACGGCCGCGAGTTTGAGGTCACAGATCAGCAATGTGCGATCGAAGGAGTACGATGCACATAACGCCACTCTCTTTCTTAACGATGGTTCGACACACGAGGTATTAGTTCACTCATCCATCTTTACGACAAGACTAACCTGTATTAGTGGACTTTCGAGGTATCTCTTGACAGGGAAGGAGACTCTCTCCATGCCACCTCAAGATGGCAGACGAATACCATGTCTCGTCATCAAGCCGTCTCTGAACTTCATTTCTTTGTTTCAATTCTTGATACCCTATTTAGCGACCCTGATTGCCTGCTGTCCGCATTCGACAATGTTTCAGAAGAAGAGCTTGATGAGTTGTGGAGCTGGAATAGTCCTCTACAGCCAGAGTTGAGATTCTGCATGCATGAGAAGGTCTCCGAGCAAGCTGCGCTACATCCGGAAAAGATCGCCATAGATGCATGGGACGGCACTTTGACATATCGTCAAGTAGAAGACTACTCTACCGATCTGGCTCAAACTCTACGACTACTGGACGATTCGCCGAACCAAATCATTCCGGTGCTTTTCGAGAAATCGCGATGGACTTCAGTGGCGGTGCTCGCAGTTATGAAGGCCGGAGCATGCTTCGCACTCCTTGATCCAGCACAACCCGAAGGCCGACTACGAGCAGTAGTACAGCAAGTCAGCGCTAAGCTCTTTGTTTCGTCCAAAGCTCAAGCTACGCTAGCTGCACGTGTCGCTCCCGCGGCAACAATCATCCCAATCTCAGCATCCAAGTTCGACAAGGTGTACTCTCCATGCGCCGCGCAGCAACCAAAGACAACTCTCCCGCCAGTATCACCAGATCAGCCCTTGTACATCCAGTTTACTAGTGGCAGTACCGGTCTTCCAAAAGGATGCATTCTTACGCACAGTCAGTATACGTCTGGTGCGATACCACGAGCTGATGCTGTGGGCTATCGATTGCATTCTCGCGTGCTGGACTTTGCGAGTTATGCCTTTGACGTATGCATTGACTCTATGTTGTGTACACTCGCTCACGGCGCGACGCTCTGTACACCTTCCGATGAGCGCCGTATGAACGACATGAGTGGCGCGATGCGCGATATGCGCGTGACCTTCGCTGGCATGACCCCTTCTGTGGCTCGGACGCTCGATGTAGATATCCTAGATCATCTAGAGTCTATCGCTCTAGGTGGTGAAGGGGTGTCAACTAGCGATGCCATGTCGTGGGGTCAAAGGACAAGGGTTGTTAACGCCTATGGACCATCTGAAGCTACAGTTGGCGCGACCATCAATGACAACGTGGCTGCCAAACCATACATTACCATGGGCAAGCGCAAGGGTTGTGCGATCTGGCTTACTGAGCCTGAAGACCACAACAAGCTTGTACCTCCTGGTGCAGTTGGCGAACTGCTCATTGAGGGCCCTATAGTTGGTAACGGTTATCTCAACAACCCGGCGAAGACCAAGGAAGTTTTCATTGAAGATCCTGAATTCTTGATTAAAGGAAGTAAGAGCTATCCAGGTCGACATGGGCGCATCTACAAGACTGGTGATCTAGTACGTTTTGATCCCGACGGCAACGGCGAGCCCATCTTTGTCGGACGGCAGGACCAGCAAGTCAAGCTCCGCGGCCAACGTATTGAGCTGGCCGAAATCGAGTTCAACATGCAGAAGCATCTTCCTGCAGATACCCAGCTCGCTGTTGAAGTCATCAAGCCCAGCGGAGGTGGTGAGCAGACGCTAGTTGCTTTCCTTGTGGAACAGAAAAAGAACGGCATGCGACATTTGGATGGAAACGTCTTCGGCAGCTTCACCACCAAGTTCCAAGCAGCTCTCAAAGCTATGACTAAACAGCTCGCTATTGACCTTCCTGGATACATGGTACCGAGCGCTTACATCCCGCTTTGGAAGATGCCGCTACTTGTTTCTTGCAAGACCGACAGAAAGCGTCTCCGCGAAATCGGCACTTCAGTCACACGCCAGGATCTCAGACGCTTCAACTCGGTCATCTCGGAGAAGAAGGAGCCTACGACTGAGATGGAGCTCAAGTTGCGATCACTTTGGGGGAAGCTGCTTGGTGGTGAGGAAGACTTCAGCGCCAATGACAACTTCTTTAGCATGGGTGGAGATTCACTAAGGGCTATGAGGCTGGTAGCTGCGGCGAGAGAGGCTGGACTCATATTGAACGTCCCGGATATCATGCTGAATCCAACACTGTCTGCCATGGCTGCCAAGGCGAAGCCTTTGTCGGAGGAAGCATCGAACGATGTACCACCTTTCTCTATGGTCGGCAAAGATTGGGATGAACAGTCAGCCAAGACCGAGACTGCCAGGCTCTGTGGTGTTGATGATGACGACGTTGAGGACGTGTATCCTTGCACACCGCTTCAAGAAGGACTCATGGCTCTCTCAGCCAAGTTTCAGGATGCTTATGTCGCTCAGCGAATCGCAACATTACCGTCGGCGACCGCTCAGCGTCTGAAGGAAGCCTTTGATACCGCCGTAGAAGGATCGCCAATCCTACGTACCCGAATCGTCAACGTTTCTGGTCGGGGCTTGTTCCAGGTCGTCCTCAGAAATGGTCAGCTGCTGCGCGAGCATGGCTCTGACCCCGCAGAATATCTTCGACGTGACCGCGAAGAAGCCATGGATCTGGGAACCGCTCTGTTCCGCTATGGCTTGGTCCAAGAAGCTGGCAGCGACAAGACTCACTTTGTCATCACGATGCACCATGCTGTTTACGACGGCTGGTCAATGCCTCTGGTCTTTGATCGCATTAACCGTGCTTTTAACGGTCTGCAGACTGAAAGGTCTGTATCTTTCAAGCACTTTATCAAGCACCTCACTAGCCTGGATCCAGCGGAGGCTCAAGATTATTGGAAAGAGCGGTTGAACGGTGTCAGCCCGCATCAGTTCCCTCCTCTGCCGCAGAAGGGGTACATCACTCAAGCCGATTCGTTGCTAGAGCACTACGTTACCGTCCCAACAACGGCACACAACAAACTTACTCTCGCGACTATCATCCGTGGAGCCTGGGCGCTGGTATCGTCATTGTATATGGGCCATCCAGATGTCGTCTTCGGTGAGACACTTACAGGTCGCTCCGCACCTGTGAACGGAATTGAGGAGATTGAAGGTCCTATGATCACGACTGTTCCAATCCGCGTTCGATTGAGTCTTGACCGGCCAATTTCTGAATACCTTCAATCCGTTCACGCGCAAACTGTAAAGCAGATTCCTCACGAGCACTTGGGGTTGCAGAACATCCGCCGATTGAGTAAGGACGCCCGTGTAGCGTGCGACCTGCGTACCGGTCTTGTCTTGCATCCTAGGGAGGACGATGTCGGCGAAGTCGATATGGAGACTGTACCAGCTAACACGTTCCTCCCTGCTGATGATGCGGAAGCTGCACGCGAAGCACTCAAGTTCAACACCTACGCACTCATGCTCGTGTGCACACTAGATGAGAATGGTTTCTTGATTATGGCCAGTTTCGATTCGAAGTGCATCAGCAAGGATGCCATGGAGAGGGTGCTCGTTGTGATGAACCGTGTCGTCACGGCGTTCTTGGGTAACCCTGAAAGCAAGCTGGGTGACGTCGCTGTACTTGATCCTGCCGAAGCGCAAGATGCAGAGACGATGAGACCGCGAGATGTCATGAGTGACAGTGGCATTGGTACGTCGCCGGTCGACAGCCCGAAGCTGGATGCTACGACCAAGGCGTTGTCGCCAAACGAAGAGAAGCTGCGTAGTATCCTCGGCCGCATCTTGGGCATGTCTGAGACGGAGATCAAGCCTAGAGATAGCTTCTTTGAACTAGGTGGCGACTCGATTGGTGCCATGCGACTTGTTTCCGATGCACGCGCCCAAGGCTTGACCCTTACCGTGGCTCAAGTCTTCCAGAGCCAATCTTTGGCTGAACTGGCGGCCTCAATCGGAAACAAGAAAGAGGACAAGCTGTTGGAAATCTTGAGTCGCATTCTTGGTATGTCCAAGAGCGAGATCAATGGCAGTGACAGCTTCTTCGAACTAGGAGGAGACTCCATCGGCGCCATGCGCCTTGTTTCTGATGCACGCGCTCAAGGCCTCAACATCACCGTCGCGCAGGTCTTCCAAAGCCAATCACTTTCGGAACTCGCCTCATCAGCCGAAGAGACAAGCTCGTCGCAGACTGAGACCAAATCTAACGCACCTTACGCTGCGCTTGGCAAGGAAGCGTCACTTTACAGCCCCGACCGCATCGGCGCGTATCTTCAGGACCAGACTTGGGAGATTGCGGACATCTATCCGACAAGACCTCTTCAGCAGCTAGCTGTTGAGGGTACTGTAGACCTACCACGCTACTCACTGCGTTACGAGCTCATCAAGTTCGCGGCACCAGTCAACCGCGAAAAGCTGGAGCAAGCCTGCCAAGAGCTTGTTGCACGCAACGAAGTCTTGCGCACTGTCTTTGTGAAAGACGAGAACAAGGTGCTCGGTGTGGTTCTGTCTTCTCTACGAGTCCCCTACACCGAGATCGCAGTACCTGATGGTGAAGACATTAATGCATTCGCCCAAGCAAACATACAAAAGGACATCGAAGCACCGAAGCCACATGGTTCATCCTTTGTGGCGTTTATGCTCTTCACCGATGCCAAGTCCGGCGCTTCAACCCTCGTCTTCCGCATCTCCCACGCCCAATATGACGAAATCTGCTTACCCATCCTGTACGAGCAGCTTTCGGCGCTATACGCAGGTACCGAGGTACCAGAGACCATACCATTCAGCAGACACGTAAACCACGTGGTGCTAGACAACATGCCAAAAGCCATTCCATACTGGCAAAACCTCCTCTCCGGCTCCCAGATGTCTATCATGAAGCCTGACATCCCGCTCACACATCGCGGACCGGCAGATGTATACATGGAATTTGACATCTCAGCGCGTCCAGCAAATATCACCATTGGTTCACTGCCAACAGCTGCATGGGCACTCGTTCTCGCGCGCCGTCTCAGCCTCAAGGACGTGGTCTTTGGCGAAGTCGTTTCAGGCAGGAACATTGGCGCTTCAAACGCTGATCGTATCTTTGGACCTACGTGGCAGTACATTCCCTTCCGCGTGCCTTTCAACAACAGCTGGACATACCTCGACTTGTTAAACTTTGTGCAGCACCAGCATATTACTTCCGCGGCTTACGAATCCATGGGCTTTACTGAGATCGTAGAGAACTGCACAGATTGGGATGCGAAAAAGGTCAACTGGTTTGACACTGTTGTTCATCAGGCGCCTGCTTGGGTCGAGGAGATGCCGTTTGGTAATGGTGTTGAGGCGAAGTTTGAGACAACGTATCCACATGGTGAGCCACTGAGGGAGTGGAAGTGTCAGGCTTTTGTCAAGGATGGAGGAAAGAAGCTTGGGATTGAGATTGTTACTTTTGCGGAGTGGATCGACGTTGCCAAGGGTGTGCTGAAGGAGGTTGGTGAGGCGCTTGAGTGCTTGACAAAGAGCAGGGCGTCGGAGAAGATATTCGAAGGTGAAGATTCGGGAGAGCAGAGTCTGGCGGATTTTGAAGGTGTTATGTAGGTTAATCGTACCATGGTGTTAGGGTCAATAGGCGTTTGCGCGAGGGAAATCATATCATTTTTCATGACATTTGGAACTTCGACTGTGTGAGACAGGTCAGTTTCCAATGCTGCGCCATAATGCCGGGCCTAAACTCAATCTCGCCGTCCTTTCCTCGACAAGGTTCTGTTGGATAAAAGAATCTTCTTGTGTCGTTCATCGACTACCATGAATTCTGTTATCGTGCCGTTTCTTCGGTCCTATCTCTAGTTGTCTCACTATGCTACGCTCAATCAAGTCTCATCACCGCCAACGCCAGACTTGTTGAGTGTTGCAACAGCCAGAAAATGGCATTTGGTACATGGATACCTAAGCTCTTTCGAATGTATGGTGTCGAAGTGAGTGTCTTTAGTAACTCGTAACTCTTCCCAGCTAAGCACAGAACGGATATAACTTCCTTGGGCGTTGTCTGATATGCCGACGTAGCGTCACACACGTGCTTGTCATCGAGTTCAAATGTAACGACGGTGCTTCCGGACGACGTTATGGTACTACATAGTCGCAAATCGATGCAGAAGCGGCGGCGATGGCAAATGGTGGTTGCTAACAGACGACTCTGCTTCCCGTCTATATGTCGCCACTCCAATGGCGTTAGCTGAGTTTCATCCTATGTGTATATATCGACGCTCTCTTGCATACGATATGCCTTTCCTGATTACCACCGCCGCATTTAATCGTCTCTTGCCATCATCATATACCGATACTGTCTGTTTAACAATACATCTTTTGGTCGTTCCTTTCCAGGAGTCATACCCGCACTATTACAATGAAGCTTCTGTCAGCAATTGTCTCTCTCGCCGCCTTGACCGCAGCGGCCCCTTCACCAGGCTTTAGCAAGAGGCAAGAAGCTCTCACGGGCCCCATTCCGTCTCAAGAGACGGTCGCATGCGGCGATGATCCCAATCGCACCTATTGCTTCGACGAAGTCGTATGGGGAAGGGGTATGTCAACATCCTGCTGGAAGTGCAGCGCTGATTCTTGCTAGGCCAAGATTACCAAACCACTCTGCACAAATACTGTCAATACCAGTACGCCGATGACGCGCTCAGCTGTCACGGATGCATGCGCCAGCCATTTCCGACTGATAATTGCGCCGCCGCGCCTGGCGCTTGGAATTCGGCGTTCTTCTGTACAGAGGGTATTTACAAGTTTGCCTTTCGATGCAAGAACTGGTGCAAAGAAGGGAAGTGTATCCGATGAACGATGGTGTGGTTGACGCTGGGATTGTGGAGTGCTGCTTGGAAAGGGCGGGGGGAAGAACAAGGGGGTCTCATCGCTCAAGTTGGTTAGCTTGACCTGGTCGTGCAGAGAGTTCGGCGCCCCACTCCCTGATGATCCATGACGATCCTTGGAAGCTTTCTTGCAGCAATGGCAAAGTGTGGTTTTGCTAGCAGCCTCGTCGCTAATGTTGTGGATGCTGTGCAACAACCACGACAGGTCGCTCCTTGGTTCACGTGCTTTCATGATTAGTATCATATCTTGGCGTTCTTCCATGCTCCGCATCTCTCTCGCGGCACCCCAGCGTTCGCTCACTAACGACAAGTCGAAATCGCTTAGCTTTAGGGCGCGTGCCTGAAAATCACACTCACCGTCGCAGCTCCTAGCCTCCAGGCAGCGATAAGAAGTTGCAAAGCATAATCACCCCAGGGCTCTAACGGACCCTCCAAAAACGCCAGAATGACAGCGTATATCCCGTACCTGCCCGCAGAAATCCATCGCATTATCGCGGAATACGTCCATCGCGAAGATCTGCCAAGCTACCGGCTCGTCAACAGACAACTGTGCGACATGGCCACCGAGGAATTATTCAGCACAATCGTTTTCCACTACAGTACTGCGAGCATTGATCGCCTGAAAAGGCTCGGTTGGAATGCACGTCTTCGAGGACAGGTGAAGAACATCTTCTGGGACGTCAACCAGTGGAGCGTAGGTAATGTGCGCGACTTTCACGAATGGGAGCAGTACTTCACACAGATAGCACAGCTTGATCGGTGGCGCAACGCCAACTACGACTCATCAGGATACACTCAGCTATCGCAGAACCGACGAGAATGGGAAGCGTACCTTGATCGAGTTGCGGACGAGAGAAAGGCAAGAGTGGATCGGGACAGCCTGCAAGTATTGGAGCGCTTCTACAACCTACATTCAATCCACATCGTCAACGGCGACCTCTTTTTGGCCCACCGTGGTCTTCAAAAGGTTGCGGAAGATTGTCCGAACGCTTCATCTGGACCAGTCGTATTCCGTAGAGGATTCGAAACCTACAGCCTTCGCAATATGCCTGGAATTGAGACTCTCCTGATCCCAGAGGAATATTGCAAATCCTCTCTGAAAGAGCTCACGCTGAATACAGTACACTTCAAGTGTTTTGCGCCATTGACGTCGAGTAATTTCGACAACTTATCAAGTTTGGATATCACGATCTTCTCGCGGACATTCCGCGACCGCTACCTTGACACGCAATGGGTAGTCTTAATGATCAAAGGTTTTAGGAGGTTTTTGGCGTCTTCAACACGGCTTGAATGTCTTCGAATCGACCTCAATCACGAGAAAGCAGAACCAAATTCCTATGATGTTGTTTTATCCATCGATCAGGTATTTGACAATAAGCATACGTGGTCGGCACTACGAACACTATCGTTGTGTCACTTCTCTGCGACGCCAGATACACTGTTATCGTTTCTGGGTAGACACAACTCAACACTAAAAGATCTCAGACTGCACAACATTAGCTGGATAGTGGACAATGGCGATGAACGCGGCGAACCAGAGCAGAGATTTTATGCTCCATCAGCGTCCGTTCGACACTGTGCATGGCCGAGAGTACTGCAAGAGATGAGAAAGTTTTTGTCTCTCGATCATGCAACTGTAACGGGAAAGCTTGGTGAAAACAGACATATGCACGGATGGAGATTACACGAAAAAGACGACGAGCTTGCTGCAGCAGTCTCGGACTATCTAGTAAGGGGAGGGCAGTGCCCGTTAACAGCCGATAATGCTGATTTCGATCCTGAGTCTGACACTGATTCCAAGAGGGAAGGTAGCGCAGCCTAGTCTATCTCAAACGCATCACCACAGCGCTGAGACGAATCTATAATGTTTACATGTGGTTCTCTGTCAGGACTTGATTGCGCCAATTTCGCTATGCAGAGGGGGATATGACCCAATCATTCCAGACGCGCATAGAGACACGAGTGCGACAATGTTCACAGTCCTACGATCAATGAAGAATATATCTTGGATACACATGGTATTATACTAGAGTATTTACAGAATGGTTTCTCACACCAAGCCTCTAAAACGGGCAGAACTAGCCAAATAATGCTAGTCAAGAAGTCAAACAAGTTCTAGTAGTTGTACTTATAGCACAGGGTCGATCCAGTGGTGTCAAGGATATCCCTAACCTTGACGTCTGGCCTGATGCCGTATACATTGATGTTGGTGTCGAGGGTAAGCGGGTTGCCGGCTTTGTCGTTGCCGTTGATGCTGCTCAAACGGGCAGAGTTCTTGTTTTGCCAGATGCGGAAGTTGCGGTCGACGAAACCATGGTGCAACCAGAAGATGGGGTCGGCGGGCGAACCGTAGGTGTCTTGCATGACAGCTCCGATACCGTTGTGGCCCCAAGCGTGAGGACCACCCTCGGCGCAGGAAGCCATACCAGCAAAGTCGTTGTAAGCATTGCACTGAGCAACGTAGTCGGAGTTGCAGTATTGCGTCTTTGCGGCGTCACCGTTGCGGGCAAGGCAATGAGGCTGGTTGCCTGAGCCAGGACCGATGTTGATGGCGAGGTTGGCGAATTGCTGCACCGGGTTAGTTTGTTGTTCACTTGAGGCGCGTCGGACAAGGATTTGTACTTACGCCATTGGTTACACAGTTACCGCCAAGGGCGATGCCTCCCAACCACTTAGCAGAGAAGATGGAAGATTGCGAGAATTTGCCAGCATAGCGTGTCTCGTCGAACCAGGGAAGAGGTACGCTCAAGCCACACTCTGACCGCAGGACGTCCTCGAAGGTCCAGAGGTAGTAACGGTGCCAGAGCAAGAACTTGGAGCTTCCGTGCACATTGGGTGTGAGAGTCTGATGCAGCGCGACGAGATCCTCGTATCGGCTCTTGGATGCGGGGAATCGGCCTGAGGGGGCGCGACCCATCAAGCACTTGACTGAGTCAACAAACGCCTGCTTGCTGCTGTCAGGGAAGGAATCCCACTCGACACGGGTGCGGACGTTGGAGCATGTTGCAGCAGCGGCGAAGGTTGTGATGCGGAGTGATTGGGCTTCAGGTGCCTGCTCCTCTGGCTGTGTGGCGTTGTGCTCCTGGAAGATACGCTTGGCATCCTCGAGAGGAATTGGCTGGACGAATTTTGGTGTGTCTGCGAAGATGTTGAGGGGAAGAGCCTTGGTGAGCTTGGTGAGAGGAAGTTCCTGAGGAGATGGGAGCGCAGCAACGCTGGCTACGGTAGCCAAAGTGGCAGTGAAGAATGCGGTACGCATGATTAAGGTAAAAGGGTATTATTAAAGTACGAAGGATCCCGATTGACAGTAGTTAGAAAGCGAAGGATAGCAACCCAGGAACGAATGCGGGTGCTTGGTGTTATGGTTGAGCGAGCTGTACGAAAGAAGAGGTCCCGACAATGCAGGACTACCAGACATCCTTATACCTGGGACCTGCATCTCGCGCCTAACCGCCGGATTGCCTGCAGCTTGCGCCTCGTTCTGCAGATCAATCTCAGTCCGCGCGACAAGCCGTCTCACCAGGGACACCTGATCATCCGCCATGGAAATACGAAGCGCGCATGTACCGTGGGTGTCGATACGGCCTAGGCCTGCAACGTTGTATTGGAAAGTAAGTTGGCGTGCGCGAGCTACAACGGTAAGAACAAATGATAAGTGGAAAGCTAAACTGCTTTTGCGCTGTGGCTCATCAAAGAGAGCCGAACTTCCAGGTCAGGCCTACCTCGGTATTTGCTGGTTTACACACGGGGATGATGCTGCTTGCCATGGCTCTTGGACCTGCTTACTGGTACGAGGCGAACCCGAGTCGAGCGAAATTGTCAAAGGGCTGAGGCGAACTACTGTGGAGCTTGTCTTTTTCCTGGGCTTCCCACGCTGCGTTCACGAGGCGGACCTGCCGACTGCCGGACGGCAGCGTCGTTCTGATTGGATGGCGCATCGTGTTCTTCTCTTCGCTTCCAAAGCTCTTCCCATCCAAAAATAGTGCCTCAGGAACGCCCTAGGTGCCTAACAATGTTCCGGTGGTGCTGGCGTCTGCCAACGTGCCAATACTGTCATGCAGATTGTCACATCGCGCGTGGGCACATCATCAAAGGGGATACGGCTTCGTCATCTTCGTACAGTTACTGTGTTAGCATTCCCCTATGTAGGATAAGCTCACACCGTTCTTCTCCAGCCGTGTGATGGTGGGAAATGGCTGAAGTTACGAGGCTGGTGGCGGTGCTGGATGAAAGGGGGATCGACACCATGCATTTTGTTCCTTCGCTAGATTTGCACCCACCACTTGCATCGTCACGCAAAATCGCTCCACACATATACGGGAATAACCTCGCACGAAAAATGTCCGCTATCACGACCTTATCATGCACTTCCATGACCGCAATCTCCCAGCGCACAGGCTATCAGCCCGCTATTTTGAGACGCAGACTCCACTCCCACTTTGCATGCCTCATCTTCCCGTCGTACGAGCGATTAATTCCACAGTACGAAGAAGGATTGGTGATGATGTTGGAAGGGTAGCCAGCCAAAGTGGTATACGGCCTACCCCGCCAACTACGCAGCGCTAGTCATCTCCTACACGAGAAAATCAATACCGCTACTGCTGGAGGGCTGAAGAAGGCTGAGCTTAGCACCATGGAGCTTGATAGAAACCATCCGGTGCCCTCTTTTTGGGTAACCAAGACTGACCCCGCGTGTGCTATACTTCTACACCGCCAGATGCGTTGGCAAGAGCTGCATACACGTACTGCACGGCGGCAGATGAACGCCCAGACGAGTATGTGTTACCAAGAGAAAAGAAAGTCAGTCTATGTGTAGAACGCATGTTCGCGCTACTCATAGGGCGTGTCTCAGCCTCATGGCTACCTTTCTCGTCGTACATACCAAGGAAAACGTATCAGCGCAAAGTCGCCAATTAGGAAAGTCACACCAAGGCAAGATACCGGTCTACGGGTGGTGCTCACAATACGCGCACGTGGCGGATCGAGCATATGATGCTTTTGTGCGATTATTCATCTATTCCTCACGCTACGCATCCCAAGTCATCTCATTCGACTCCCGATGTGTTTTGGGAACCGGGTATAGGAAGTGTTTCTGACACTACCAGCGCATTCCTTTGCTGCCGCGCCATTGCAGATGGTGCCTTGGGCCGGTTTCGAGAAGCCGAGTCTAACATATGCTTCTTCCGTCTCTGACACGCTGTTTTTTTCTTCTTTCCGTTGCCACGCTGTGATCAGCGGTCTCAACTAACGCTGTGATGTTGAGTTCTAAGAGCCGCGTGTCGATGTATAGGGTGGTAAATGCTTCTCACTGCCGCGCTCTGATCAGCAGTTTCGGTATGCGACAGCATTGATTCAGAAACGGAGCGGTCATAGACTAAGCGCACGGTATTGCTGCGGCACGTAGACTTCTCATTGTATCTTACTGCTGTCAGACGGCGCGTCGATTCAGATCGCCAGCTTATGCGTTTGGACTCGCTTCGTCATCCGTCTTGACTAAGCGCTTCTAGATGTGGTTACATAGAACTGAAAGGAATAGAGGACCACTTGAAGTTGCACGAGGTGTCGACGACGACAGTGTGCATAGCCTATGAATCTCCAATAATCCAGATTAGCTCAAGCAATTTCGGTCGCGTTGGTATCGAAAGTGAAATGGTTACTTTCCATTACATCTGGATCACACGCTAGGATCGTGTAGAGTGCATATCTGTCGAAGAAATTGAGCGCACGGATGTACAGGCTCATATGAACATCGTGGCAATGCTCTATTCCGTATGATACGTCGTATCTCTTTGGCTTTAAATTGAGCTTTCGCAACATGTCAGCCGCAACAAGGTTTTGACAGGCGCTTCAGCGCTCTTGTAATTGGATGCGTAAGCGTAAGCAGTCTGTTGTTGGAATACAATCCTAACTCATTCCGTACGTCGTGTAACCCTCACAAAAAAGTCCTCCATGATCCATATTCCCGCACAACTCATCCTCGCCGCCATGTGCGGCTTCACGGTCGAGAAGTCAAACTTCCTCAACAGCTCGACAAACACTTTGTTAAACTCCATCAATGCAACATTCTGACCCAAGCACTTGTACCTTCCGTTATGGAAGACAAGTTCTACCGTACTAGCCATGTTCGCAAGACGTGCAGGATCCTCCGAGGCTTCAATCCAGCGCTCTGGTCTAAAGAGCTCGGCGTCTGGTCCAAATGTGGCTGTCGAATGCTGGATGCTAAGGTGCGAAGACCCGATCTGAGTTCCTGCAGGGATGAATTTGCCTGCAAGAACATCGCCACCTGGAGGAACAGATTTGAAATTTCCGCCGGTGGCTGGGGGTAGGATGCGCAAGCCTTCTTTGATACATGCTTGAAGGTAGGGTAGACGTCTTGCCTCAGCGTCGGTGATAGGTGACGATATGGTTCCATTAGCGATGCCGTTGTCGATCTCAGCTTGCAGCTTCTTATAGGCAGACGCATTTGCCAGCAGATAGAGTATCACAGCACGAATCGTAGACGCCGAAGTATCACTCCCTGCGACAATCTGAAGAAGCGATTCGCTTGACGCTTCTTCCGGTGTAAGACCATGACGGATGAACGATCCTAACATGTCGGATTGCGACTTCGCCCCAGGTGCAAATCTTTCCGCAACTACACTCTTTGCGACATTGATGAAAGCTCCAAAACCAAGCTTGTCACTGTCTTTGGGAAGGAGACCTCTCATCAGCCGCGAGTGCAACAGATCAGCCAGCCAAGGTAGACTTCCGAGAGTTACCATGAAGGGGATATATGCGGTGGTGATCTTGATGTAATCGTGAAGGTCCTCATCTTCCGTTAGGTACCCAAATGGCTTTCCGAATGCCAATGCGCTGATGACGTCTAGAGTGAAGTACTGTGCCTTGAGTGAGAAATCCATTGGCCGGTATTCAGTACCTGAAGAAATGTACTTTGTGTCAATCAGTTCGATGAATGCAGCAACCTGCTTATCAACAGTGCCCTCCATGGATTCATTCTCTTTTCCCGAGTACCCCGCGGCCATCTTAGCTCTCAGCTTCATATGCCCAACCTCATCGCGCATCGAAAACAGGTTGTTCCGTCCGGGCTCGAATTTCATCGCATTGTACCATGGCCCTCGTGTATATTCCGATCGCACGGCCGTTGTTCGGCGCACGATGTCTGTGTCGCTGGTAACCAGCTCGGTTGGGCTGACGCGCACCAACGGGCCATATTTGTCTGTCAACTCTTTCGTCGAGTATGCTAATCGGCCGCTGAGCGACTCTCTCACCACCCAAAGACTAGAAATCGACGCGAAAAAAGGCCCGGGGATGTGCGATAGGCGGTACCACTGCAACGCGACGCGCGCTATGTATGTTAGGAGTAAGACGGTTGGGAGGCCGATAGTCAATAGGCTGGCGTAGCCGTTGTGGGCGGGGCTCGGTCCGCTGGCGCCATCAGTAGCGTTGCGCTCCATCTTGTGATATATTTTGAGGAGGAATGGATGCGCAGTGCGCATTTCTCTTGACGACACAACATGGCACTTTTGTACATTCATCCACCGGGCGTAAGCATACTGCGTCGTGCGTTATCAGACGGCAGTTGTTTCCCGCTTGAGCTCCTTCCCGCGAAAGCGCTAGCTTCAAGACGGCAGGCAAGAGGTTATACTTCAGGCGCCCAGTATTATTATGGATCAATCGCAGCAATTGGCATGGTAATGCGACAAATTTTCCCTGCGATGACCAAAGTGCCATTCCTTCAGCGCCTTTCGAGAGTAGTACTTGAAAGGACGTACACGTCATGCACAGAGTATAACGGAAAGCAAGCATTGTTAATGTTACTTCATTCACGTACGTAGCTTAACCATGGCGATTACCCCGCGCACTATCAGGTCATATACCCTGGTACATGGGTCATAGTTGCATCCTCGTTCGCAGAACGTGAGTGATCGGTCGACCACGTTGCGATCTGGAACGCTACAAAAGACTTCGTGGATGCCTATGCATTCAGGGACGAAAGTTGGCAGAGAGATCCTGTGAAGCCTAAGACATGTAAGGATGCGCGTTGCTCGGTCTGCTCAATTGAACTGACGTATGCGATGCGCTGCCAACAGTATTGACACTAAGGTCATCTTCCAAGTCCCGAGAAAGTAAGCCTGCGTTGATCATTCAAGCCTAAATCACCCCTGTTACATATTGCCAGCTCTTATAACAAGCAGGGAAATCGTAATGCCAGCTACAGTGATCATGTAAGAACTGACACCCGACGCAGCAGAGACATCTGATGTGTACTTTGACCAGCATACAAGGAAGATCAAACTGACGACGAAGACCAGGCCGAAGAGGGTCATGATATCGTTCGGATCCCAACCTTCCTCGAAGTAAAGACCCCATGCATCTGCCAGTTCTGTCTTAGGATCCACATCGAACGTCGTGCCCCTTCGTTTTGGTACCCATCTATAGATGTGAGTTTGATCCTCATGGACGTCTCGTCTTGTGTGCTTTAGCATGTGTGCGAAGGCTCTTGGTGGTATTACTGGGTACGTGCTGTCCAGAGGGCATGCGAAGTCGTAATCTGGATGATCACGTGGAGGCAAGCAGTTGCAGCTGGTTTTGCAGCAATCTCTGTGGTCACGCACTTCTAATCTGTTACCCATGCGAAGTATGAACTGATGCAGTGTTAGCTGACTGGAAGAGTCTTTGAGCCGCTGCAGACTGACCTTAGTGAAGTAAATCGCTTGAATCTTCCTGCAAGACAAAATGCGCATCACACGAGAACGCCGTTTCCGCACCTGCGTCTTCAAGAAAGTGAAGAATTCACGGTCGGTGTTAATATGGTCTACTCGATCTTGAAGCAAGATTCGATGCTCCCAACTGCGATGCACACAAGACATAAGTCGGAGCGAGGATCTTTGGGGGGAGGGCGATTTTGCTCTACGGGGTTCACTTTCTAGCTGTGGACCGTTATGTTCGGGCAGTACCGGACCTGTCCGGGGTTTTCCCCATCTGAATATTCTTTGGAGCCCACGAAGTATGTTGTGTACCAGTGCAGGGGAGTGCCAACGGCCGTGAGTAGAAGCAGCCTCTTCCCTGGCGTGGACGACTGTGATTGTCGCATCCAGGGCACGTTCCATCCATTGCTTCAGCTGGGCTATACCGCCTTCGCGATGCTCTAGAACATCGTCAAAGAAGCGCTCACCACATGTCTAGAACTACCATCAGTCTCTATCATCAATTTGACACCAGTAGCTTGGGTATGCAAGAAATTGACTTACGTGGCATTCGATCTTGATTCGAGTCCAACCAGTCTCCAAAGGAGGTTCAAGACATTCCAATGATACAAGGAGATTTATCATTATGAACATAGCTGTATCGTTGAATATACGTATGAGAACTTTTCCTGATCTACCGCCTTCTGTGTGCTCTGGTATGTCTTCTCCGACGTGGGTTTCGGAATCCTCGGTGGCCGTTATGATAGGTCGAGAGGGATATAACAATTGCGTCTCAGTTCGAAGTGTCGCAAAAGCATTGCTCTGTATCAAGAACAACCGGAAAGCATCTAGATCGTCATCGGACTGCCGCTCATCGATGGGCTGTTCTTGAACTTCATCAGAGCTATCGTCTGCGTCTTTCGTTGGTTCATGTGTGAACTTGTAGTCACCACTAACGCATCGAGCGGCGTGACCAGCTCCAGTACGCACGATACTTGATGCAATATATTCGAGACGGTTCTTGGCTTCGTTTTCGAGATTCTGTGCATACGCTAGAAGAGTTGGATATATGTCTCTACGTAATTCCCTTGGCAAAACAGCGGTGTCGTTGCGAACAGATTCGTATATGGGTCCTAGTACTTGGTCTGACTGTATAACGGATACAAACACTCGTGCTACGGCCTCGACCAGCTCGCGTGACAATACAATCGTATAATCCCTGAAGGATACTGTCATTGAGGTCCCTGAAGATTCTGCAGAGAACACAGATTCCATAGGATCGGATGTTGTAGAGATCGTAGATGAGCCGTCGATCAAATCATCCAAGATAGCTTCACTCGGCGTCCGAACTTCGCTCATTTTCTTGCGTTTGCCTTTCAAAGACTGAGTGGACCGAGGTTTTGAAGCATCTTGACTACCGACGCTTGTTCGCGACTCGGCCATTTTCCTCGCTCCCTTCAAATAACTGCCCATGGCAGTCTGACGCGCAGCTTGCATGGCGTATTTGGCCTCGACCTCAGCCATGTCGTGATGAGATGTTTCGACCTTGTATAAATAAATAACGAAGGAGACACTAGAGTAAGTCACAGCTCATTAAGAAAGGATAGAGAATTGAAGCAAGATGTAAAGAAGGAGATCAGCCCGCATCAGGCTGAAGACTCGTCGGATGACTGTGCAGCCACAGCCTTGCTGACAGGCAGTATGTTCAGCCTTGTGTAGAGGCGCAACGTCAGTCTTCATGCATAGGTCACCATGCGACTAGTCAATCACTCTTGAATAGTCGTCCATCTGGATGGAGTTTGTCTACAATGGAACTGAAAGTGTTGCGCCCATCATGATGGCGTCGGTGAGCCATCCCAACGGTATATACAGACTTCAAAATGACACCCTAAGTATCGCATTTGACGGTCGGTTTGACATTTCGGTGTCGCTGATGATCGGAGGCGACAATGCCATGCCCGCAGCATCGACGCGCGTGTCAGCCGTTGAAGGTTGACCGGCCTGAGTGTCGCGTCGAGTAATCAGCTAACCGCATGTGCTCTACCTCGGCTCGATACCCCATCACAAGCTACCCCAGCCGAACGACTCGCCCGCCCAGGTCATCAAAGCCGACGACGTCTCCCTCTTTTTCTCTACTACATCTCCAAACTTGTCTTTAGCAGCAAGCCCTTGATATTATCAGCCAGCTACAATAGCCTCATACAAAGAGAAAGAGCAAGGAAACACGACGTCGCACGACAGGTCGCGACTAACCAGCAACAATGGCGGAAGCATACCAAAAAGAGTTCTTCAACGTTTCGTTCCCAGCGGAATATGTTGCGCACGTTGAGATCAACCGACCGGAAAAGATGAACGCGTTCAAAGAAGTGTGAGTATAGAATATCGTTTCTTTCGTACCCAATGATCAATGGCTCCGGCTACCTGTGCACATCATCTGTTTGAATACAAGAGAAGGAGATATATATCTGTTATACAGTTTGGTCATGGAAACATGCGGTTCAAGTCTCTTGCCAAAGACATCCCGTTACATTCTCAGCCTCTATTTACCACAGAGTATGATAAATCGACCATACCTGCCCCATAACCACACAATCAACTCACCACAACCACAACTAACGCCTGTCCAGCATGTGGCTCAACCTCTCCGCCATCTTCCGCCAACTCTCCCACGACCCCTCCGTCCGCGCCGTCATCCTAACCGGCGCAGGAGACCGCGCCTTCACCGCCGGCCTCGACGTAACCGCCGCCTCAGAATCCGGTCCCTTATCCTCCTCAGACGTAGCTCACCAGGACACTGCGCGCAAAGCAAACGCCGTGCGCCGCCACATTCTAGAATTCCAATCCTGCATCACCGATGTCGAAAAGTGCGAAAAGCCCGTCATTGCCGTGCTGCATGGGATTTCTTTTGGTCTAGCACTCGACATGTGTCTCGCTTGTGATATTCGCATTTCCACCACCACGACCAAGTTCTCGGTCAAAGAAGTCGATATCGGCATTGCAGCAGATATTGGCACTTTATCACGCTTACCTCACTCCGTTGGCAACTTGTCTTGGGTCAAAGACATTGCTTATTCTGCTCGCATTTTCGGTTCCGACGAGGCGCTCCAACATGGTCTCGTGTCGAGCGTGTATCAAGACAAGAAGGAGGCGGTGGGCAAGGCGTTAGAGTTGGCGAGCTTAATCGCATCAAAGTCACCAGTGGCTGTCTTAGGGACGAAAGAGATTATCAATTATTCAAGGGACAGACCGATCAGTGAGGGGCTGAATTATACAGCAGTGTGGAATGCGGCCATGTTGCAAACTGAGGATGTCAAGGGTGCCATGCTGAGTGGATTGAAGAAGACGACACCCAAGTTCAGCAAGCTGTAGATGGTCATCAGGTATATGTCTTGCAAGAAGGGAACCAGATAGAATACTTCAAAAGTTTAGCCTAACTTTTACCCACGTATCATAACCGAGTAATGTCTTGTATGGCACGCATCATAAGCGACGCCTCCAAAAGCATCATGAGAGCTTCCATAGTCGACATGAGCAACACCACGCACGGCAATCCAGTGTTGGACTTGAGAATTTTCATTGACTCTAAGCGCCTGGACGTGGTAATGCCGGAAGAGTCCCAAACCCATCCCGCATGAGCATCAATCATAACCCATGGCATGCTACAGAAGATGTGGAATCGTGATTTTCCCGTTTACGCCCCACCATTTGCACTACCCACAACTATGCAATACCGTTTATCCCCGTGCCATGACACCCCAGCAGCGGATCTTGTTGTCAGTGTATCCAGCGAACAGGGTCTGGCCGTCGGCGCTCCAGGCCAAGGAGACACACTCGGGCTCCCGGCTCTTCTTGCCAACCTCCAAGTACTCGGGCTTCAGCTCGTCAACCTTGCTCTTCTTCTCGAGGTCGAAGATGATGATGCTGGAGGCGGTGGCAGCGCACAGCCAGTAGCGGTTGGGGGAGAAGACGAGGGCGTGGATCTCGTCACCGGCGGAGAGAGAGTAGAGGTGCTTGGACTCGTTCAAGTCCCAGAGCATGGTGGTTCCGTCCTTACCACCGGAGGCGCACAGGGAGCCATCGGGCGAGATGGTGACGGTGTTGATGTATCCGGTGTGACCGATGTGGTCGGTCTGGATGCGGCAGGAAGCGAGTTCCCAGACCTGGATGATGTCAGTCTCGAGACACGCCAAAATTCCAAAACAAGTCGATTGTGGGAGTGTAAATCAGTACTAGGTGATAATTGTCTCATAGCCGAAGCTCTGAAGTAGCAAATACATAGAAAATCATCATATGAGAGGGGGAGTGGTGAAAATGCAGCAGAATCAAAAGTACGCACCTTGACGAGCTTGTCCCAACCAGCGGAGACGATGACGGGGTTCTGGGGGTTGGGGGAGAAGCGCACGCACGAAACCCACTCGGTGTGGCCCTTGTCGGTGATGGTGTACTTGCAGTCACCGAGGGTGTTCCAGAGCTTGATGGTTCGGTCGCGCGATCCGGAGACGATCTGGCGGTTGTCGGCGGAGAAGGAGACGGAGAGAACGTCGTTGGTGTGGCCGACGAAGCGGCGGGTGGTGGCACCGGTGGAGAGCTCCCAGAGGCGGAGAGTCTTGTCCCACGATGAGGACAGAGCGTAGGCGCCGTCAGAGGAGATGACCTGTGCAGCAATTGTCAGCTCAGCTGTCCCCGCTTCCTAGCCAGCCAATTGCTTGTGCTTCATTTTTCGGATTTCAACGTACACAGTCGGAGACAATGTGGGAGTGGCCGTGGAGGCTCCTCTTGGGGTAACCGTACGAGGTCTCGTCGCGGGTCAGGTTCCAGATGATCAGAGTCTTGTCGCGCGATCCGGAGAGGAGCATGTTGGGGCTGGTCGCATGTCAGTATTGCGCATTCTGCATATTTCCGCCCGCTCGTGTATACGCACTTCTCCAGAGAGGTGGCAAGGGAGGTGACCCAGCCAGAGTGGCCCTCGAGGGTACCACGGAGTACGAGTTGCTCGGCCATGATTGTGGTGGTGAGGATGGACGTAGGCGCACTCGGGTGTTAATGGACAGTCCTGAGGATGTTCGTCGAGGAGACGCACAGCAAGACTTCAAAATTCAAGCGAGGCACTAGTCCGCGTTGGCGCTAGCGCGGAGCCGGCCAGCCCTACCTTCGCACTGGACCACGAGTCGGATGCTGCCAGCCTCACCAATGGAGTTGGATTCATATAAACTCAAGTGATGTGGTGTATGATGTCTGATGGGCAGTGGTTTTTGCACCCTACCCGTTGCATATCGACCATCACTCCAATTGATCAGACCTCCCTACCAGTCGACACCAGGAAGCACACATAGTAGACATCGACAAAAACATCCCCAGATCGCCCGACTCTAGCATTTCCGTCTTGTCGCAGATCCACATCAATGTTGAGTGCCACGTCTCTACCCATACCCTCCAATATGTCCCTAGTTTTGCACTCTCAGTCTGTCCTCCAACAAGACCGTCTAACTCCGCTCCAGCCTTATCTCCGCTCCCCTTCCCCACCACATGGAAGCTTACACACGTCCATCGGACAACATTACTCATATACGAGAACCAATCGCGAGATTTCCTTTTTTGCTTGAAGTGTGAACTCAGGTCTACAAGCGAATATATACACATATAAGAAGCCCAGTTTCATCTGCCGTGAATTCACTGAAATAACCCTCCATGTAAGCTCCAGGGAGATGAATTCCAGAACATCTCGCCCACCAATCCACAAACATCCTGTTTAAAAATGTCCCCATCCACAACATCCATCCTCCTCCTCGGTGCCGGCGAACTAGGCAAAGCATTCCTCCCTCACCTCACAAACCTCCCCAACACGCACATCACAATCGGCGTGCGCTCACCCGCCAAGTACTCCAACCTGATATTATCCCCCAACCTCTCCCTCATAGCCATCGACCTCGCATCATCTCCTTCCAAAGACCTCGCAGACACTTTTTCCAACTACGACATCCTAATCTCCTGCACCGGCTTCGGCGCAGACCCCAGCTCCGTCCTCAAACTCGCCAACGAAGCCCTTCTCGCGGGCCAAATCCGCCATGCTCGGGGGGACTCCACATTGTGGTTCTTCCCCTGGCAATGGGGCGTCGACTACGATGTCACCGGGGACGGGGACGGCCTGATGCCGTTGTTCGGTGCGCAGCGCGATGTGCGGACTTTGCTGAGGGAGAAGGCGCAGGAGAGTAACGTGTGCTGGACGGTTGTTAGTACAGGTATCTTCATGTCTTTCCTCTTCGAGCCTTTCTGGGAGATGGTGGATAGGAGTCAAGAGTGGGGAAAGGAGGAGGAAGGAGAAGTAGTAGTGCGTTGTCTCCGGGACTGGACGCATAGAGTTACCGTTACAGACGTCCATGACATCGGACGCGTTCTGGCCAGGATTCTCGCACCGGATTCGACAGTGGAGGCGACGAATCGTGTGGTATATGTAGCGGGGGATACAGTCAGTTATGCGCAGTTGGCTGATATCATCGAGAGGGTATCTGGCAAGCAAGTCAAACGGGAGATGTGGAGCATGGAGTATTTGAAGAGCGAACTTGCGACGGACCCGGACGATGGAATTAAAAAGTATAGGCTAGTGTTCGCGAGAGACGGTGTGTGGTGGGACATGAATAAGACGGTGAATATGGCGCTGGGCATGGAGATGATGAACGTAGAGACGTATGCTCGGGGGATGTTTAGCGGATGAGAGGATGTTTGGCAATTGCGGGAAACGAGCATGCATGGTGTCTTGATGGTTTTCCACTTCTGTACATTTCGTACGATTATGAATAGATTGTTCGACTAGTAGTACTACGTGGCGTGAGCTCATAGTATCGCAACAGCCTATGAGTGGAACGTACTTGTTGCCGCAAAGAAGCTCGAATGCCTTGGCATCTGCATCAGCTGCCCTTGTACTTCGTGGCTAAGGGTATCCAGCACGCCGCATTATGTTCTGTTTATCCGCGTAGGAACCACAGCATTCGCGCCCGTGGCTGCTCCATGTCCTTCTCGGCCACTACCCCTCATAGAAACGCCGGGTATATCTTCGTCGCCCTCATTCTTCCTCTTCATCCCTAGATGACTAGTCGCAAATCCGTAGTTGTCGTGACCGAAAGCAGGTATCATTCCCCTATGTACATCGGGTCGGTCCTAACGTCCCGGTGGTCCAGGAGGATATCTGCCTGGAGGTCCACCAGGTGGCATGCCCATACCGCCAGGTGGCGGGTACGGCATACCTCCAGGAGGCGATCCTGCATTCCCTGGTGGTGGGAAAGGAAACGGAGGCATCCCTTGAGGTGGGCCGCCGCCCATGTGTGGTGGAGGGAAGGGCGGCATGTTGGGCGGCATTCCGCCGGGACCTGGGGGCATGCCTTGCGGTGGGAAGGGTGGCATTCCGTTTGGTGGCATTGGGGCTATAGCACTGTCAGCATAGAACTGTTAGACGGTAACTATCAGGCGACTTACGACCTCCGCGGCCCATGAACTGCGGTGGCATTCCACCCATAGGCGGCATTCCTACATCGGTTAGCACTCCTGATGTCACTTGTAGCTCTTGATACAACTCACCTGGTGGTGGGAATCCAGGCATACCCATGGGTGGCATTCCCATGGGAGGCATTCCGGCCATTGGTCCTCCGGGGAAGCCACCAGCCAGGTTCTGCTGGAACAGGGGGTTCGCCTGGCCTTCTGTGTTGTACGCGTCGGTGATACTGTTGATGACTTGCTGTGTCTGGTCGCTCGATATCTGCTCGTAGTAGGCCTGGACGTTGCGGAGGTGGTTGCGACCGTTGTTATGGGCCTTGCGCACGCTCATACTATCGTGCGTGAGGTAGACATCGCAATAGTCACAGAAGAACTTGGGCATCGTGTACGGATTATTCGTCTAGTCGCTGAGATGGGAAATTCGTCGTAATGGGGTCGGCAGCGAAGTTGCGCGTGAAGTGCTGGGCGCGTCGCAAGAGCTCAGAACTGGAAGAATACCGTCGGCCATGGTTGCGCCGATGGCTTGGCAGCCACCCTTTCACGTGCTCTCGTTTTTAGAGGTCGCGCCCAGGTAGTGGCCTCTTCAGCATAATATCATCCTCTGCATCATTTTGTATCCATCACCTACTTTCGAATAGGGAATTGATTACATGACCCTGATCATAATGCAAGATTCCACTTTTCCCATATCAGGACTTGTAACAGACCCCATCCAATAGATTCCTCGTCACAGGTCTCATACAAACACTCTTGTTGGATATCAGTCTACCATCATCCTAATTGGCATCATGCGCCGATACTTCGATCTCCACCCGCATGGAATCCTCGCCCAACTTTACCACCCCAACACAAGTCCAAATAGGTTCGTGATCCGGCACCCATTTCTTGAAGTTCCGCACCATAGCGCTCAGCGCCTCATCATCCATGGGGATGTGGTAAGAGTTTACGCGGAATACTTGCGACCACCCCTTCCCCCCAGCATTCTTTAGAGCGAGCTCTACATTTTCGAATGCTTGGTCGATTTGTGCGTTGATGTCTTCGGGTATGACTCCGGTTTGAGGATCCCATCCACCTGAGAAGGCAACTATCAATATCCGAAGATTCTATGGTATTGTGATGTGAGTTACCTTGACCTGCACACTCGATGCGATCACCGACGCGCACTGCTTGGCTGTACTTGAAGTTCTTCTTCGCTGATTCGCCCTTGCCGGGGTATGCGTAGTATTGGAGATGCGACATGACACTTAAGGTGGACCAGATTTCCGTGATATGCTCTCCAAGCGTTTGGGTTGATCATGGCCAACCTTTAGAGCATCGCAGCACTTGTTATGTATCACCATCGGCATATGCCGCAGGCGCTCGATGATGCCGAAGATAGCTTACCAATTTGACCGCAAACTATCCTTAGTCGCTTTGAAAGTTCTGCGGCTCTTTTCCGCAGTCTTGCTGATCCAGTCAACGCCGACATACTTTTGTTCGACGTCCAGATTACTCTCACTGGGACTGTTCAACTTTCACGTGCTCTAGCGCGCTCTGCATCATGCCGGATGTGTAGTTGTATTCCGAACTAGGGTTGTGTGCATGCACCGTACGTGATAGTAAAGCAGAGAGTACGCTTGACGTCATAGCAATAAACTTGTCGATGGAGTCCAATGCATCTTGGACTTTTTAGTAGTACCATAATGTTCGCATTGACCTGGACAAAATATAGAAATCGGTTAACGTCGTGTCGCGGTCCTTCTATCTGCTGATGACGTCAAGCCAATGGCCGTGTTCGCGGCTTCTTGGGTTCGCGCCTCACCCCATCCTTGCAAGGATCGTTTTCCTGGAGCTACGACCAACTATTCACCCTTGCGCTTGGGTACCAAAGAGGAGATTTTGTTTTGATCCTCATTTGCAATATCTAGGTCTTTCAGCAAGTGTACCAGAGTCTTGGGTGCCACTACTGGCCAATCGCTAGGGTCGAGGGCAGGCTCAAAGCTGTAATCCAAATTGTTGGGTGGGGGCATACAGCTGCAGCCTTGTTTGCAGCATAGATCATGGTCGCAAACTTCCATGTGTTGTTATTGGCCCCTTCCATAGCTGTTGGCGTACTGCCTGTATCGCCAGATCCTCCATAGCATTCATTTCATCACTTCTACACTTCCACCATGCCACTTCTACTATCACACTTCCACTATCCCACTTCAACTGTCATTGTTCCACTATCGCACTCCTACTTCAGCGAGTATTTCTATTGCAAACATCGTCTTTCTCGGGATCGTTGCTTCGTCCAACAAATTGTGGATACGGATGACGACAAGAAGGCGGCTGCAACAAAACACTGTATTCATCACTTATGTTCGGCACCAGGTGTCGGTAAGAATCAGTGGTAATACTTGCATCTATTTGTTTTCGACTAGTGGGCTGACATACTGCATTTCAGAAAACCTCAAATTACACATGGCGAGTGCACAGTGCAAGCACATATTCTGTGCTGCTGGATCACCAAGATACCATGCCACACTGGATCACCGAGATACCATGCCACATTGGATCACCATCTTGCACAGACAGAGAAAGTGACGATAGTCACCGGCTTCGTTGTTGACCGGAACATTCGTCGGCTTGGCTTGCGTCGTACAGTATCGTTCGCCAAAGTTTTTAAAGTAAGCTCTACAACCGTCCTGCGCGTGGATGGACATTGTCCTTGAGACTCGCCGCGAGTACAAGCGCAGTACTACCTACACAGTGCTCGGCATGTCATTGAAGAACGCACTTCGTCAATCGGGTATTGTTCCGGGGTGGCAGTGTGCCGGTGCACTGAATGCTTAGTCAGTACGGAGGAAAGTTCATGACCAGTTGTACAGCAACGATGGAGGTGCGGAAACTGCGAGCGTCTTCGCGCTATTGTGCGCGAGAAGCTTGCAGCAGTACTCCCCGCCATCGCGCGGAGCGGGCGGTATCAAATCGTTATCAAGATCTTTGCTTGTTTGAAGAGATTTTCATGCCATGTCATAGATATCCTCAGTGCTTCTTGTGCACCTAAGGGGGGACATCACACACTAGACGCGACATACAATTATTGGTCTTTAGACTTTATCTTGTATATTAGTAGCTAACAGAGGCACAACTACACTTCCTTAGTTACGAAAATACAACTATACAACACTAGTACATTCTTCTTCCCTTAGCCGTGCTGAAGAGATGCTTCGACATCCTCAGGATAATGTCTTCGTACACTCCATTACCCGTGCAGCAGTTGCATGGTGTTGGTAGTTAGAGGGGACAATGCCATACCCGCAGCTTTTTCGCGCGCGTTGTCGGGAGGCGGGTCTGCATCTTGGAGAAGGTTGGGAGGCTCACGATATAGTCGCACTAATACTTGTGGTCTCCATAGCGAGTCTTGTGTTTCTCATATGCTGGGCTGCCCTAAGATCGGACGTTTCAGCTGCAGCAGGCGTGAGTGAGTACATGGTTGGTACACTCAGCCTGCTCATCGCTATGGTGGTATTCGGGGTTCAGTAATAATGCATCACAAAGAGCACATCGAAGGTTACGTTTTCAAACCACGCTTGCATCACAATCCAGCCGGACAACGACTTCTGATAGCTAACACACGTAGACACTTTAGACACGCAACTGTCGTCTTCCAGAACTAGCGGCAACGCGATCTCACCTAAGCCGCGACAACAAACACTCGGGGTGCCTTCCTTAGAGTTGTGCTCATCACTGTTTGCTTACCGACACCAAGATAGCAGGCGCATGGTGTGCATCAGCATGAATGTCTGTTTCTGCGAAGTCGCATTAATTCAATGCGACAAGATTGGAAAGATACAGGCGGATGGTCTCGCCAACAGATTACTCAGGGCGCATCAAGGGGTGCCAGATGATGGTGGGACTTCGACATTTGCAGTGTATTCGCTTGTTAATTATTGGGCGACAACTTCTCACGTCTAGCTAAAAGAAACACCTTTCAATTACATATGCCATTTCTAGTTCTCTCCAACTTCTTGAACACCAATGTGCAGTTGTCACTTTCGCAATCTTCTGCACTGCGACTGCCCGCGTCTGAACGCAATTGCACCTGCTTGCCACCTTAGACACACCTCCCCTCGTTGGAGCTCAACTGTCCCTGCCTGCCAAAGTAGCATGCTCTCCTGCCATCAGCTAAATCGTACGACAACAGGAAGGGCAACTGCAGTCCCAAGCTGCCACCTCAAAAGCGATGCCCGGCCTTCGCTAGCTGGTTTTCTCTTCTCTCCTCAGGACTGTGACCTATTCGCAAGATTCTTCCATGAGCTCGAGCAAAGCTTCTTCTACTACTTCGATCGCCCAGGACGCGTCCTTTGCCTTCTGGTTCCCGGTAGCCTGCACGCTAGTCGGGGTCCTTTTTACTATATTCGCTTTCCTCCTCGCGTTTTATACCACGTTTCGCAGGCGTGATCCATTAACAACACGCCTTGACCAAATCCTTGCCGTCCTCAGGACCATAGGAGAGTCAGGCGGCCTCCGGGTAGTACGAGACGACGTCGCGGAGTTGAGGAAGGCATTAACCGCTCCGGGGCAGTTTCTTGCTGAGACTACGCAGACTCTTTGGCAGTTAACGACCGACTTTCAAGCGCTGGCGACGAAAGTTCACGAGACTTGCCAAGCTGTCGACGGGTTTGTGAGAGAAAAACGGGAGCCAGCTACGCCCGTTCTTCTCGAGATCTTGACTGAACTCCGGAAATCGAATGGTGACCCGCGGTTCCAGAGCTGGCTCAGGCCAGTCTCCTTTCAGGTTTACTTGAATGCTCAAGCCGCAGTCCTGGCGAGAGAACGGAAACAGGCAAACTCCAGTCCATTCCCTGAGTTGGATTGATGACACTACGTGCAGGTAGTGGGGGCGGGCTTCCGTTGGGTGATTCCTCGGGGCTCGCCTTCCCCAGCGATATGCTCACACCTTACCGTTGGTGCTGGGGTTCAGTAACCTCTTTAGAGGCGAAGCTAGGATGAGCATCACGTAAATAGTTTCTTAAATCAATCACAAATCTTGTTGCATCGCATGATATTCAGTGCAATCTCCAATCAATATTTGCAAGTTCCTGAGTATGTGCATGGTGTGTGCAGTCTACATTGTCTCCTAACAAGGAAACTTACAAAGATTACTAGCATTGTAGTCTTCTAGGCTTTCTGTCTATGTCTATATAGGTCTAATACGCTTTGTTGTAGTAGGAAGAATTACTCTGCCCTAAGTGGTTTTTGGTTTCGCTCTTTGATGTAGTGCCTCCGAGAGCCAATACTAAAACGCGGCAGATGCTGCTCGCTTGCTGTTGGCGACGTCGTTGTTGTCGATCGAGTAATCTATGCAATGTCGCCAGCCTCTTCCCATTGTTCTCTGATACTTCCAGGTCTGCAATCTGGCGAATACACTGACCTGAGCTCTTCATGTGGGTAGAGCCATGTATTTGTACGCCAATGCCAACTGAACGGCGTGCGACAGCCACCCAGACCGCGATAGACGAGAATCTCTATATTGAACCCTTTTTTCGGACCTTGCCATTGTACTGTGATGGCATAGTCTGTTGGACAAAGAGTGCACGATCCAAATGCAGGTCCAGAGGCTAGGAATTGGCTATGTCCGGTTCTTTTGGCCAGCTCGGGAAGCTGCATGTGGGGGCGCTCAGGCAAATTTCGACAAAGTCCGACATGTCTGCAAAGCGAGTGGCCAAAATCGTCGATGTGTCTTCTGAGGGATACCGAATCACCTCGCGAATGCGTCATTGATATTGCCGACAGTACCAGAAGGTGATCATTGAAGATGCGTGCATGCTGGGTCACCGAGGTTACCACTCCGTTCGGATGATAAGAGGGTCGGGTCCGTTTATTGAGTACGCGAAGGGGCAAGCCGTGATTGGAGCCGTAAAGGTGCCGGTTCATGACCGAGCGCGTATAGTGGTAAGAAATGTGGCAAGTAAGTGGAAGCCAGAGGTGCTTGTCCAAACTTCGCTTGCATGGTAGGCTCTCTTCATTCCACGGAATGATGGCTCTACTCCAGCGTCTATGCCAACGATGCAGCTTCGTACAATGATGACAATAATAAAGAAATGGGTTATCTCTCTCGAGCAAAAGTAAGAGTTTTCCTTTCTCTGCCAGTTGCAGAGGAAGATTGCGTGGTTCCCAGAGACTGTGAAGACTCTTACAGGTCAACGCAAAGGAAACCTGAGAGCATGCGTCGAGATGTGTTGCAATCATCAAGATTATCTCTAGGGGAAGATTGAGGGTACACCGACCTGACGGATTGCGCATTTGTCGAAAAGATCTCGCTAAGCTTTCAATGGCTTCCTGGGCGACCATGACTGGGTTTACCAGACGGATCTGGTGTTCGGAGCTCCCAGTGTGGCGTAGATTCTGGATCTGGATCGCCAGCGCCATCCTGATGCGCAGGTGTGGCTAACTTCAAAGACTGGAAGGGGAACGTTGGCTGAGTAAGGTGCTTGCTTGATGAAGACGTAGGCTTAAGTGATAACTAGAAGAATGTTCAGATTTCGTCGTCATCTGCAATATATATAGTTGAGTGCGCATCGCGAAGCTATCCCGTGGTTTGTAACCACTCCAACCATGGTACTGCGACCCGTATCATTGACGCGAGAAGAAACTAAGTTTTTGATTGTCTTGTCGTACGACTTACTATACATTACAAAGAGCATGAGCGCTTCTTTGTTCACCTGGTGTATGGATTAGAGGCGATGAGTTCTATTAGCCAATCAGCAAAATACAATATGAAAATCACATCCTAGACATGTTGATTGCTTAGCGACTTTGACTACAAATGTTGCCCATGACGTATTGGGATCCATCTATGTTATCCTCGAGTAAGCCGCCAACCATGCTCGGTAGGATTCAAGGCCACCTTGATACCTTCGGCGCATTGTATCATCTCGCTCTTCTTCCCCGGTGCTCTGCAGTCCCTTCTTGCTCGCTCGTTCAAGCCACTAAAGAGTACTGCTAGAATGGATGATTTCCAAACACCTTTGGCAGCCTCAAGCCCGTGAGCGCCTCTTGTCTTCTAGACCGTCAAGCTTAGAAATACCACGGTCAAAAGTACCAAACTAGCAGAGAATGACAGCCAAGCCCATTGGACAAGTATGCACGTTTCTGTCTTGTTTGCACTCCCCGTAGCGTAGATGGTCTTCGCTTCGAATGCTGCGTCTACCGTCGAATTGTTCTTGCGCATGAATGTATTGATCGATTTTGCAAGCTGACGGAAGTTCGTTTCGACAGTGTCAACCGTCGCCGCGCCATTGTTGTACAATCTCTTGATCCATACGTCGCCCATCGTTGACATGGTCACGGATGGCCCGTAAGCACCTGCCATAACCTTATCAAGATACAGTTCATCCAGAAACGAGGAGAAAGCATTGCCAATACCTGTAGGCACCCAGAATATGCAATCACCCGCCCACCATCTCAAATCACTTGGCTCTGGTTCTACAGAAGAAAACCACAATGTGTGATTGGAGATTGGTAAGGGTGTGTCCGGAGTGTATGTTAGAGACGCAGTGCAGGGTTCCCATTCGCCATCTCGAAGAACCTTGTCAGGAATGCTCAGCCAGGAGTCAAGAGGGGATCTGGCACGACCGTAAGATGGATATGGGACGAACTCCAACGGTTGAGAGTCTATGACGTGTTCTTGAAGCTCTGATAGATCAATACTTGCGGTTATAGTCCTGATCGTGGGCCATAGTCTACACTCTACTGCTAGAGGAGCCTAAGGACACGTCGACGACGTTTCGTTGCTCACGACCTGTTCACACTCTTCGTTCCTTATATAAATCAGGGAAGCAAAACTGAACAAGACAATATCGCGTTCTGCAGGCCAATACTTGTTGAAAGGCGATCCCATGGAAGTGGGGCTCATACGCACGAGAGCTCCCTGTCCGACAACCGTGGTAGAATTGCCAATGCCACAAAGGTACCACATTGTAGTCGGATCCGAATCGGCTTCAACGATCTCAGCCGAGATGTCTACGCATGACACGTCTAGGGCAAGAGTTTGGAAAGATCCTCCAGATGGGCTGTTTGGAAAAGTGCAGTTACCAGTGGAGCACTGAATATGTCTTGGGTAGATGACTATATTCGCCCCATTCAACCGCAGAAGTGTTGTTTCATACACCATGTAGTCACCACGCCTCATGTAGGCACGCCGCCAGGCCACATTGCCTGTCAGTGTCACCTACAAGGGCCATTATCTCAACAGTTCCAAGTCATTCAGCAAACATCTATATGAGCTCCCATCTGTCTTCGACTGGTGGCAAGCATACAGGTCTACGTGCGTGGTGTCTTGTGACTCGAAGTAATATCAACTCCCTCGTACATAAAGTCTTTGAAGAAAGATATTCGAATACCCAAGAACTTTTCGAAAGGCAGAGATGAAGATCATCGTTTTGACGATTCTGGTTGTCATCTACTGTTTAACCGCCAATGTGATCCTACGTAAGTCTGATCAATTCCAAGACGACGTCATGTTCCTCGTTGATTGACGACCCCTCAGACTACTCAGCTCTTATCAATGGGGCTCGTTCGAAAGACGGTCCTGTGGTCGGCCACGACAATGGGGAACGTTTTCTCCTCAATAGACAACTCAATCGATGCACCGGTCGTTCGAAATGCAGTGCACCCAAACGAGGTCCTGAGATCGCCAAGAGAGAGTCTCTGGCCTCCTTCCACAATTACACTGTTTATCGACGCATGATTCTACCCACTCCGCAAAACATAGATAGTTACATCGTGGAAGAAACTGGAAAAGCTCAGCCAGTCGTTTGGCCCCAGACAGATCGGAACGAGGAAAAGACCGAGTACGACATCAACACTTCAGTCTTTGACGAGTTCAAATTCTATCAGAACGACGAACTGAGTGAAATGGCTGTGAAATTGAAAGGCTGTACGATGTTGGTTATTGTCAGCCGTAGGGGTGCATGGTTAGGGCATTTTTGGGAGAACATTTCATTTGCTACAGACGATACCCATCAATTTTGGGGAAAATATAACGAAGACCAAGACAAGATTTTCGAAGAATCGGTCATCAAAGGCATGAGAAACGGTAAAGGAAGTGGCAAAAACAAAGAACAAGACTCTTTGCGGCTAGCTGCATCAAAGTTCGACGACGACCACATAAAGGCATATCTTGTTCATCCGTCTTCAAATTGGGAGGAAAATGGCGACTATCGAGAGTACTGGGATCGGATGAAGGCTGAAGCAGTCACTCACCTTCCGAAACTCAACCGTCCAGTTCGGTGGGTTGAGCATTCATACGAGCCTACAGAAGATATGGAATTACTCGAAGACACAGCAAGAGGGAGACTGCTGTTCAAGTATGATGCGAAACATAGCCTACAAACCCCACGAAATCTGGCCACTTTGTGGAGCGAGACCACGGAGTTGCACAGAGATGTCTTATAGATTGACACTATTGAGCAACTCTGCTACATACTTGGGGTTTGTGGTTTCTGATCACCTCTTCTCGGTGTGTGTCATGATGCTCAAGCAACACTTGGGTGTCAAACGCAACTCTCTGCCGCTGCTGGCAGCAGATCGCAGACCCCGCATCCGAACTGGGATGGTGATCACACTACGTTCATTTTCTTCATTTTTTGGTAGCTTTCTTTCTTATCAGTATGGCTGAATGTTTCGGAAGGGTTCATCTTCCGGTTCCAGCAAGATCCCGGCTATTGCTGGGGGCAACATCACGGTTGGGGTGGGGTCTGCGTCTGCAGTTGTGGCTTTGTAGCTGTCAGTGCCTTCCTACGCTAGGGGCTCTGGTATGGTTATGATGTTACAGTCGATGTCGAAGCAGTCCGGGCGCCCAATATCGAACCCTACATTCTCTTCAAGCAATATTAGTGGCCGGTCTCTGTTGGGACTATTCACATATGCCCTTCGAGAACGTGGGAATGTGTACAGTAACGAGATGAATTCAAATGGTCAGATGATATACAAGTCTGTGAAGACACGGCCAAGTTGATTTTACCGAGTTCTAACATTCCGAAATACACAGTAAATCAAGTTGCAATGAACGAGCTGCTTCGCGGGTGGATCTTAGCGAGCCACCCTACACAAGAGAAAACCCCAACAGGTAGAGATAAGAAGCTCTACCTTACAGCTTACATTAGCTTATAATAACAGAGATTATTAACATTAATAGTATTGTAGACTTCTAGATTCTCTATTAATTTCTATATAGCTCTAATGCAATTTATTATAGTAGGAAGAAGTACTCTGCTCTAATAAGATGTTTAGTTTCTCTCTTTTACGTAGTGGAGCAATAAAGTTGGAGCTGACGGACGACCACACCGCTTCGTCTCTGCTAGCCATGCCAGTGAAGCGATCATACGCAATGCATTTAGAATAATTAGGACTCGTTGGATGAATGAGAAGGCTGAATCGAGCGAAGCACACGTGTGGAAGATCTGACGGGGCAACTTTAGCCGCACTCGGTCGTAACGGTCGTTTTACGCAACAATCTCGGGACACTTGGCACGATTTACTAATCTGATGGTTCTTGATGAACAATCACCTCGATCTGCTAAACCAAGTGAATTATTCCCTTGGCAGCTCTTGTGCGCAAAATTGAGGCTAACATGAGCTGGCTGCGTGTGCAAATAGTCATATACATAAACAACCCTTGATTCTTCAATAATGACTGACAACTTCCAAGATCAAGGGCGTATTCTGCTTTCTCGACTTCAGTGATATTTTCTTCGCTCAAAGCTCTCCTATCGACAAGGAGTTTGTTACTCTCATCAGGGGTAGCACCAACACTACAACGTCGTGCAGAGGTACCGATAAATCCAACATGAGCTGTGGTTGGAACGCAATGCTAACAACATACCAGAATTCGACATGTCAGTTCAATCTGAACCTTGAAACGGTATGTTCACTAGATCTCCAGAACAGTACCAGAAGCTGAATTTCTTTGAGGCGGATATCGCAAACACCAGTTATGTGCGCATGATGAAGAGCGTCAAACTTCCAACTTCTGGAACAAAATACCGCTACGCCATCAACTCTCCTAGCGAGAGTGGTAAGCCATACCTCTTGTTCCTTCACGGCTTTCCAGAGTCTTCGTACAGCTGGATCAATCAGATCGAATATTTTACCAGACGTGGCTATGGCATTATAGCTCCAGATCTTCTGGGTACTGGTGGTACAGACAAGCCCGTGGAACTGGAAGCTTACAGTCTGAAGATGATGGCATCTGAAGTTGCTGGATTGCTCGATTGTGAGGGCATTGAGAACGTAGTGGCGGTTTCGCATGACCTGCAAGTAAAAGCACAGTGAAGTTATTCTTTTCCGAAAGTTTCGAACTGACTTGTCTCAGAGGATCTTTCTTACTTCCCCGACTGCACACGTATCAGTCGAGATATCTTTCAGCTCTTGTATTCATGGATATCGGCTACTTCGCCCCCGGCGTAGATGTCAATATGACCTACGTCGAGACTTACAATAACATCTCAGAAGCCGAAGTCGGTTACCCCGCTCTCGGATACTGGTACTACTATGACCAACCAGATGGACACGTCCTCATGGACGAACATGTAAGTGCATCATCACGACCCAGTTTTCATACAAGCTGACAATAGTGAAGTTGGATTCATTCTACTCTCTTATCTACTCTTTCAACACACCAACAGATTGGATCGAGCACATCGCCAAGATCGGCGCCTCCCAAGAATGGCTAGCAGCAGATAGAATGGCAGAATACGGCAACGATTACATTACCAATTCCGCTCGAGAGCGATGGAAAACCATTACCCAAGCACAGGGTGGTGTTCAGGCAGCTCAGAGATGGTACGAAGCGCTTTTGCGAGGTATCAACTCGGAAGACGAAGACGAAGTTCGATCGATGTCAGGAATAATTGAGCAACCATCACTTTTGATCGGGGCAGACAGGGATCCTGTTGGTCTTCCGGCACGGCAGCTGATGGCGACTTTACCTTATGCTCCGAGAATGCAGGTTAAGTCTGTTGATTCTAGATACTTTCTTCTCATCGAGCAGGCGGATGAAGTCAACGAGCATCTCTATAAGTTCTTGCAGAGTCTATGAGAATCTGTGTCACCCCAATGAGCGCGGTAGACACACAACGTCAAAATGTATTATAGGCGGGAATAGCGTGGATTGTAGCGAAGCCGAAGTCAAGTCAAATTCATTCTGATACGCTTCCCAATGGCAAAGCTGAGAGAAGGCGTAATCTAAGCCGTTTCTCGAAGCTGGATTGCTTAGAGAGCGGCAAGGCTAAGTACATTTGGCTATGTGTCTCTAGCCCCCTACACTTCATGCAGCTAACTATGGAGAGAAGTCAATAAGAGTCTTCCCCTTGATCGTGTAACCCTCTAACCCGGAACTTCTACCAATGATAGTGGCACCTGAAGTCCAGTTCATTTTCATTTGACCTTTCCCAATTTCACCAGTAAAGTCGCCCTCAAAGTCCTTGGGATGGTCAAGAGCGAACAATACAGGGTCAAATAACCATTCCTCGACTGGGAAGTCATCTGCAAGCTCCCCCTTAATTTTCCAGAAGGTGTTGCCATGAACGCGTCCTTGGATGTTTTTCCCGTCAAAAAAAACCCATCCTGGGATTTTCTCAGTCTATAGGTTGATATTATTAGCCCAATGATAAATAGTACGCTTCAGAAGGTTGCTTACCATCGTTGATGTAGGTTGGGTGGATATGTCCACGTGGATTTTGAGTTCAAACTCTTTACTTTCAGATGCATGAACTTGAGTTTCAATGGTCTGCAGAGTATCCTTGTGCGCAGTCTCAGGGGTTACTACGAGTTGCATATCGGCATCATTGGTTTGGTGGTAAGGGACCGCAGCGGCCAACTGAAGAACGGGAAGTAGAACTGTTGCTGAAAAATGCATCTTGGTGATAAAAAAAAATCCACTTCTTAGTGAGATTTGCTTGATTGTTTGGTGTAGATAAGAATGTCAAGCTTATTTGCTCTGTAGGAGGGAGCAGTTAAGGTACTTATACCTTTGCCATCCATTGCAGAATACTTTTTTTTAATTAGTAATAACATATTTGTAACACAAAACGGCAAGACAGGCGGTAAGGTCTGCGAGTCCCAACATGTTTACTTCTCTCTCTAGTGCGCTTGCTTAGAGACTTGCTTTTCATTTGCGTTTCGAGCGCAAGGAGATATGCAAGAATTATTCTTAGCACAACCTACTATCTGTCGTAGTAATACAGACCTATCCCCGGCTATTTCTTGTAGCGTGAAGCAAGTACTATTGCCTACAACCACCCCGTACGATGTTGCTGCTTTATAATTAGGTATCATAGTATCTCTTAATCATCTAGTGTATGTAGTGTTCGGTACGGATCGCTGCATCGCTGCAACCCCCTGCACCGCATCGGTCTTAGTCTACCGCGTTTCCATCCATCGCATTTCTACTAACCCACTATTGGCTGTCAACACTACACCTTGCGGCACACCTTCTCGATCCTGTGGCTGATCTTACGGGGAGCTGGCTATAGGGCTCGTGGACCTCTGGCCGATCGCGTGGCTGGTAGTCTTTAGTCCGCTACAGCCATAATACTGGTAAGGCCTGCAGCCGAGGACACTAATCAGAACTAATCTATCACAGATCTACTTGAGCTTGAAGGGGCCAAGCTCTCAAATAGAGGAGGTATGCTATCCTAAGGCGGTAACTTTAAGATAGCTGCTTAACTGCAACTATCCCTCCGTCCCGTCTTCGGCTAATCACCCTCAAGGAGCTCCGACCTAGCATTCGCCCTAACCACGGGTTGACCTCGACAAACTGGTTCATCGGGTGCACGGGCACTGTACCGTGTCCGTCGCGCAATGCCCGGGCGTCCTGTCGCAGATCTTGTCTCAACCTCGGCATGTATGAGCAGTACTCGCGGGATGGTCGACGAGGCACATCTTCATTTTGCACTCGAAGCTTCGGATCCAGCTTCGGATCCAGCTTCGTAAGTCGCTATGGACGTAACGATGGTCTATGCATCATTCTTCCGATTCTCTATGGAAGTATATCAAGGGTCTGGGGAGTGGTCTTATACTAGTCGAACAGACGGGCACTATTCGATGCAAATTGATGCTATTGGTTGAGCCGAGGGACGGCGATAACCAAATAGTATAGTTGAACTGACACATACAACTTGGCAAACCAGATTGAGAAATTATTAGAGAACGAAATCTGGTTCAACAAAGAGATAGCTCGCGAGCTGGGAATATTCGTCGCAAGATCTACGAGAATCCAGCTAGACAGTGGCTGCGATTGCAGTATCGTTCCTCACGATTTCCTCCAACTTATCGCACATCGCCCTAATCTGATGCGCAATACTAGCGTTATGCTTCGCAGCCTCTTCCGGATCCCTCGGCGGCGGCCCCAACACCGGAGCTTCCAGCCTCGACTTTTCAAGCCAAGCAGTAATCTTCGGCTCCTCGATCCACCTCAACCTATTCTGCATAGAAACTAGAAGCGTATTGGACCAATCCGCTGGCTTACTCATGGAAGGGAGAGGCTTGCATAATTCGTTCTTCTTTTCCTCATCATTGTTGTAGGTAGCTTCGACATGTGCAAGGAGCGCGGCGCTGAAAGTAGGCTGAACGAACTTTACCATCTGGATCGTTATGTGTCTGCCTTTCCAGATGGGAACAACAGGTCGGTATGGATAACCAGTTGCAGTACAGTCAATGTAGAGAGTATCGGGCACCGGTCTGTACGTGCCCTGCTCCAAAGTCACCTTGTCTGAATCGATGCGTTTGACTCGTCCTTGGCGTATAATGTTTTCGACTCGCTTGATCTCTTCAAGCTCTGGCTTTGAGACAATCGCTGCCTTTATCATGGCTGGCTTCACGCTCTTGTTTACACGATGCGCATGTCCGTATGTCTCCATGCGCAGAAAAAGCTCATCAGATGTTGTGGCTCCCATGAGTGCGTCGGCTCTTTCTTTCAACTGCTGTTCAGGGTTGGGTGTGCTTTCTGGTGCCTGGAGGGTACCGCGTTCGAGGAACCAAGAGTCGCGTGGCATGATCCAGGAAATCTGCTGCGGAGGGATGCCCTGAGATAATAGCCACACGCACGCGTCGACTGCGGTTTTCCCCGCCCCAACCAAAGTATAGGCGCCATAAGGTCGTTTGAGTGTTGCCAAGGCGTTAGGCGTAACGAGGTTGACCTGGTCTGAGACTTCGTAAGAAGGTGGGCCCATGGCTGGAACTGTGATCTTGGAATACGTCGCGTCCACAATTCGAGTGTTGGGCCCTACTTGGTAGCGCTTTCCCGTGGCAATCGACTCAAACTCTCCTTCGGTAGTATAGTTGTGTAGTGGGTAATACGCAACCCGACCAGATGGAAGAAAGGTACTTTTCATAACTCTGCTGTAATACGCAACAATCTCGTCGCCTGTTGCTAATTCCAAAAAGCCCTTGTTCATACCAATCTGGTCAATCTTCTCATCTCCAAGCTTTCGAGAATCCACACCATAGACCTTGGACGGCTGGTGAAGGGTGACATGTGGATAGGCGATTGTCCAGTGACCTCCTGGGCGGGAATAGTTGTCGACAATGGCTACTGTGGCTTTGATGTTGGAGGAGATCAAAGTGTCAACAAAGGCCATGCCTGCAGCACCTGCACCGACGACGAGGTAGTCGGGGAAAATAATTTCGGCCATATTGAAAAGCAGTATGCTGTGTGAGGTACAGTGGGCAGTAGAAAATCGGGTAATGTTCGACAAACCGTTGGAAAATTGTTTATGTTCTCGAGGCAATAGGATGGTGTTTCAGGAGGATAAAGGAGAGAGCACACCTATATACCTGAGCAGGTACCTTGTCCATACACCGTTCTGATATTGAATCCGTGATAGACGCGTACGACCTGTAAGCCATCATTGAACCAAGTTAAACGGACTGCTTCTTCGGCACTATTATTTCGCTGTTGATATGGCCAGCAATTCACGATACCTTGGCTTGTCCACGTAGGTTTCTAGTAAATTGCCGCCGAGCTTGGAGTTGCGACAAAAGCCGCTCCACCTGGTCGAAGGCTTTAAAAATAAGCAGACTATAACCTTGAGAATACAAGGTTATTGTTGAGGCAGCCGACTGTCAGTACCTTCGGCCCGAGATTACGGACGTAAAACATGGGAGCGAGCGACAACAATCGAGGTTCGGAGTGTCAAGGTTCTACTACGTGGCGGCAGAGTTGGCCGAAGTCCAGTTGCGGAAAGATCGGTCCAGCGCTACGGGCGTAACGAAGCAGGGTCGCACTCACTCCGGACAGGATCCTAACGTTGAAGTGGGCGCGCTAGCGTCACGACATTGCGATCCGAGCCTTGTCAATCCCGGCAATCGGTACCTTCTGCAACGACTTGCTGAGATACCTCGGGGTAAATGACTTGAAAAGTTATCGTGCTTGGATACACCAACGTTTGGTCGGCTTTTTGACAAAGTCTGCATTCTGTATTTTCCGAGCTGTATGTCCATGGGATTGGCCAGTTTTCTGAGCGCGTAGAGAGAGGTGATGATTCAGATAGCAGGTAGAGAAATCCATGATATAAAAACAAGGGAGCGAGACTGCTGCTGACTGGCACAGCTGCGCGACGTAGCGAAAGTGCTCTAACACGGAACTATAGGGTATCAACATGGGCTTACCTTCGATTTGAAGAGCACCGCGCGTAAACAGCCACGAAATTAGGATACCTGTCCATGTTGGTGTGGTGTTGGTGAATGGGGATGGGCATTTCTTGGAGTGCGGATGAGATGACTAAGAACAAGACGGCCTCGGCTGCAGATCCAAACTTTTGGTGACATCAACGTGCGCCGCGTCTCCCAAGCACGAACACCAACCCAAACGTTGAATGCCGTGATGAAGCCACAAAATACAGCCCGAGCATTACGCTCAATACGAAGAAGCCTTCTGCAACCCCCGAAAAGCCATGTAGCTGCCACACAATCGTTACTCCGGATACCACGACCCTCACGAGGCTTGTCCACCACCGCGTCACGACACCACAACCCCACCCCAAATTCCACTTCGACGGTCGATCCAACAGAAGTATCGCACTTCAACGCCCTTGCCTCATCATGGTGGGACCCCCACGGCCCTTCCCGCTTACTCCACCTCATGAACCCGCTACGCCACACCTTCATCTCCCAATGCCGCTCCTCCACCTCTGCTCCCAACCCACAGGAAAAGCTACGATACCTAGACATTGGCTGTGGCGGCGGCATCTTCGCTGAATCTGCCGCGCGCCTCCCCACGACTACATCTGTCACAGCCATCGACCCCACGCCGCAGGTCCTGTCCATTGCCGAAGCACACAAAAGGCGAGATCCCACCTTGACCTCGCCGGGAAAACTCACGTACTTGAATACATCGATCGAACAACTGCCACAGCCTGCCTCGCCCTCCGAAGCCTTCGACGTCGTGACGCTGTTCGAAGTCATCGAGCACGTCAATGCGCCCGGCCCGTTTCTCGAACACGTTTTACCACATGTGAAACCTGGTGGTTGGCTGATTATGAGCACGATTGCGAGGACGTGGACGAGCTGGGTTGTTACGAATGTCGTGGCCGAGGATGTGTTGGGGATTGTGCCCAAGGGGACACATGAGTGGAGCAAGTATGTCAACGAGGAAGAGTTGAGAGCTTGGTTTGGGAAGCAGCCTGGTTGGGGGAGCGTCAAGGTCATGGGTACGGTTTACGTGCCCGGGTTGGGGTGGAAGGAGGTGGCAGGGAGCGAGGGGTGGGGTAACTACTTTTTTGGCGTCAGGAGAGAAAGCTGAATGGTATGGGGAAAGGGAATGAGGGGTCGGCATGTGTTATGAATAGATGGGACCATATGATACCCTAATGTACAGTATATACAACATCATGAGCCGCTTGGCGGTATATATGCGACGTCTTCTGCCGAATCCTCCTGTTCCGGCACAGTAGCATCATACATGCCCAACGCCTTTCTTGTGTTCATGGCAATACAGCACCAGGTTGTCACACTGAATCATATCCTGGTCTGGATGCTCTCGACATCACCCTGTCATCGGCTTGGTATCGCATCTGTCGCAAGTTTCCTCTTCCTGTCCTCCACCTTTATCATGACTTCGTTGCAGGCCTCTCCTCAAACGGCGTTGGAATATTCCTGCCCGAATCGACCGCGCCACTTCCCGTCTCCACGATATCATGTCCACCCGCCATCTTCCACGCCCTCAGGTAGTCCTCGCCTGTAAACCGTTTCTCGTAATTCTCAACCTTGCCGGCGTCGATTTCGCGTACTTTTTCTAGACTGGCGTCGACGAAGGGTGTCAACTGTGGGGGGCATTAGTCTTGATTGAGCTTCTATCATCATTCCAGCCCGTCGCAATCTTCTTGGACTATGGAGGACGGTACGCACCTCGCTATTCTTGGTGCCGTGGATCGGGTATACGAATGTCCGTATCTTGCTCCAGTCTGGTGTGAAGTTTCCGAATCTGTTGATTGTGCCCATTGAGCCTACGCGGTTTCCCTTGTAGTATTCCTTGCCCGCCTGCTTGGGGGAGAGCGGCAGGCGCCGCAGATTGCCCTGGAGAGCGAGCGTGGGTCTCATGGCGGCGATCCGGTTGTGTGCTTTGGCTGTAGCGGGCGATGCGACGACGTCGTATAGCGATAATCAATCTTCGAGGAGTTTGCGGAGTTTGGAGCGGAGGTGCAGTGGCCCGTGCGGCAAAAAAGTGCGAACTTTCAAAGTCGAGGTTGTCGCACCGCCACAATTATCCTTTCAACCAACATCGCCCAAGATGCCGCCTCGAGTAGCACGCAGCTCGATACAGACCGGCGGCGCTTCGTCTTCCAAGGGGCAATCGAAACACCGAAACCCCAAGAAAGCGCAGAAGCGCGCCCTCGACGCCTTCTCCATTGCGCAGCACGAGAACCCAGACGATGCGAAAGTGCGCAAGAACCGGTTAGGCGAATTCGACCCTGCCTTCAATCGCAAGCGCGCGCGCGATGACGACGACGAAGAAGACGAAGAAGACGACGACGAGGACGATGGGCCTAAGAGACGCAAGAGAAGGTCCGGTGACGAGAGCTTCGATGAAGGAAGCGACTCAGAGGGCAACACTTGGCAGATGGGTCACGTAGACAACGATGACGACGACGAGAGTATTGATTCGGACGAAGCGTTTGGGGAGAGCGACGAAGAACGCTTTGAAGGCTACACGTTCAGAGGCAGCTCCAAGAACCAAAAGGGAAAAGCGAAAAAGTCGAAACGGGAACGACACATAGAGGACGAGGATGGCGATATCGACCTTGACGAGGGCGACAGCGCAGACGGAGAGGAGGAAGAGGATGACGATCTCGGCGAAGACGCCATCGATCTGGCTACCGCCTTGGATCAATACGAGGAGGACGAGGCTGAGGAGCGGAAAGAGAAAAAGAAGAAGAAACAGGCTTCCGCATTCGACGACAGCGACGAGGAACCGAGCGAGGGTGAAGATGTGGGGGCAGACGGCGCATCCGACCTTTCATCCGACGAGGAGGACGACGAGGAAGATCGCCAGACACAATTGCAGAACCTGATCTCTTCTTTGGCCTCACGGGAAGACGACAAACCCAAGGGTAGGAGAGTGGACGTCCACGAGTCCGCTGCACCAGATGAGTTTGGTGTTTCCAGGAAAGTCGATCTTCTTAGCTTCAAGCCCAAAGTTGCCGACGCAGAAAAGAAGAAGGCGCTCAAGTTGCTCCAAGACGACAAGTCGTCGAAACGTAACGATATCGCCCGGAAGCTAGACGCTCCCCTGCCGAAGCGACAACAAGACAAGCTCGACCGCGCTGCAGCGAACGCCAAAGCGAACGAGACTCTTGAGAGGTGGACGGACACCATCAAGCGTAATCGCCGCGCTGAACACCTGATGTTCCCTCTGCAAAACGCGAGTGGAGGCGAGCCGATGGGTGAGAAAACACTCCTACCTACGACAACTGCCGCGCCCACCAACGACCTCGAGAGCACCATCCAATCTATCCTCCAACAGAGTGGTCTCTCGAACGGCAAGGAAGACGAGGAGAAGATTGCGAAGTGGGAAGAGCTTCAAACAAACAAACTCCCAGTTGAGGAGGTGCTCAAGCGACGTGCCGAATTGCGTATGCAACGAGAGTTGCTGTTCCGCGAAGAGGTTCGCGCTAAGCGTATCAAGAAAATCAAGAGCAAGGCATATCGACGAGTGCACCGTAGGGAGCGTGAAAAGTTGTTGGAGAAGGAACGTGAGCAGCTCAAGGCTGATGGCGTCGATCTATCCGAAGAGGAACGCGAATACAATGATCGTCGAAGAGCAGAGGAACGCATGGGTGCTAAGCACCGAGAGAGCAAGTGGGCCAAGGGCATCAAGGCTACTGGACGAGCGAACTGGGACCAGGATGCTCTTGATGGTGTGACGGAGATGGCGAAACGGAATGAGGAGCTTCGTCGTCGTGTCGAGGGCAAGACAATCCGCGATGACGACGAGGAAGCTTCTGATGTGCCAAGTGAGGAAGAGGAGAGCGACGATGACGACGAACAATCGGACAATGACGCTTTGCAACAGTCACTTGGCAAGCTCAAGCAGAACCCCTTCTCGACCAAGGAGTCAAAGCTTGGCCAGATGGCCTTCATGCAAAAGTCAGAAGCCGCACGGCGCGCACAAAATGACGAAGCTGTCGAACAACTCAGACGCGAACTTGCTGGAGAGGACAGCGATAACGCTGAACTTGACGAGAACGCTACAAAAGCAGGTCGGAGAAAATACGGTCCTAATGCCAACGTTGCTGCTCCAGCTATACAGATGCGCAATGAGTTCGAGGAGCACGAGGGATCTGACGTAGAAAATGATGCCAACTCTGCCGATGAAGGCGAGCCTGCTGCAGATGCATCGTCGGCTCGAGCGCCTGCTCAGAAGAAGAATGGCATGAACGGTCTCTCCAACGGCGCTCGGAAAGAGCGCAAGGCTGCTGTCCCGCCACCTGAAGAGAATGGGGCGTCCAACCCTTTCTTGACCAAAGCAAAGAAGGAGAAAAAGGCCGCAAAGGAGCCTGAACTCTTCCCTGTCACAGGCGCTGCAAACTCTTCTACCCAAGAGAAGGCCGTCATTCAACCTAAGCCCACATCCAAGCCCAAGGCCCAAAAGAAATCGAAGCAAAATGTGAAACCCCAAGAGACACAAGTCGACGACTTCCTGAAGCAGCGCGTCACTGTAGCCGACGACGATGGCTGGGCGACTGTACTAGGTGGCCAGGACGACGACGAAGAAGGTATCGAAGATGAGGGTATCGATCTCGACGTCATCACGCACAACCAGTCTCTCACCGCCAAAGCCTTCGCTGGCGACGACGTAGAAGCTGATTTCGCCGCTGAGAAGAAGGCTACGATTGCGGATGAAGAGGCTACAGAAGAGGTGTCAGTCCTTCCCGGTTGGGGCTCCTGGACCGGCGACGGCATGTCCAAGGCCGAGAAGAAACGCAACGTTGGACTCAAGACCGTCGTTCAGAAACCTGGTATCGACGCCAACAAACGGAAAGACAAGAAGATGGACAAGGTCATCATCAACGAGAAGAGAATGAAGCCCACTGTCAAATACATGGCTAGTCAACTGCCATTCCCATTCGAGAACAGGGAACAGTACGAGAGGAGTTTGAGGGTGCCGAAGGGAAAGGAGTGGGTTACCAAGAAGACGCATCAGGATGTTACGAAGCCGAGGGTTATTGTTAAGCAGGGGGTTATTGCCCCATTGAGAAAACCGCTGGCGTAAGGAGGGAATCAAAGGTTTTGACTCGAGTATTTGTGTCACGTATTGGACGTGTGCGAAAATCTGTTTTAGTCATGTTTACCACATGGCGTGCGTTGACCATTGTTGGAGAAGTCGCGATGGCGGCCAAGGTGCACGTAGCATATGGCCCCCAACTGTCACAGCTTTCTCCCAAAATTACATGCTACGGCTGCTACAACACATACTCCTACTTCTTCGTCGTCTTCCTCCTTTCAACTTCATTTGTGACACTTTGTAACATTGTGCGGGACACAGCGTGGCACTGACGTTTGACCGCGCAATTGCGCAAACATCGCGGTATCGATCAAACTGTGCAGTCATCACTTCCTCACGATGAACATCACGGTAGCGGCATCGGGATCCCCATCGCCGCAAACGATATGCCACTGCTCATATTAAAGTCACAGCCCTCTTGAGCGCCCTCGATCGTATCTATAAATGAGTTATAACCACTCCTACAAGCATACACTCACTCTTAGTCAACTCCGCCACCTATACTGATAGCTGCTCCAAACCCTCTCGTACACCTCTGCGATAATACTCATGGGTCCAGCGCAGTCCCGGTTACCCATCGCTCACGCACTTTCGAAACCTACGAAGAAAGACGGCTGGCTCGGATCATTGCGCGAAACCCGTCAGGGTATCAAGAGCACACTTGGCTACAGCGCCTCCGCCGTTCCCGACGAGATACCTCCCGACAACATATTCACACCTATACAACAAGATGATATCCTTCCGCAAATTCCAATCGGACGTCATCACCCAGTGCCTAGGACGGGAGTGGAAGATGACGACAGAACCACTATGCATACCAACAGTTTCTACGCCAATGCATTCCTAGGACAACAGAACCAACCTATCTGGACACACCCTTACTCGATCTGGTGGGGTAAAGGCACACTAGACGTGGGCATGGTGCAGACATGGGGCATGTGCATAAGCCATATCGAAGAGAAGGACCTGGTGTTCGAACCTGGAGATCCAGCCAAAGGTTATATTAATCCGCTCCACAAGCAGCATCTCGTCCTCAGTGCCGTCGAGCTCGATGCGCGAACAACTCTCACTACAGACACTCATCTCCCGTTCTCCGTCAATATTAACCTCAAACCACATCCTGATGCCCAGGAACCGAAGATTACATTTCCTGCTGTGCAAGGCATGAGCTTCATTACGGCTGGCTACCGAGGTGCAACGCCCATGATACAGACAGGCGGTCGTGGCTTTGTGGACTTGGCCAGGCCAATCGTCATATCACCACGCACAGTCAAGTATCGTCTGAAAGATAAAGCTGGGCATTGCTGGATCGTGTACGTCAATCCAGTAGCAAGTCTCGACTACGATGCCACGTGCTTCGTTCGACTAAACTCCAACACACTCCTCGGCCCTCCCGCCTTCAAAGGCACAATCCAGGTAGCCAAGAATCCGCTTGGCTTAGAGGGCGAAGCAATCTACGACAGAGCCTCCGGCGCCTTTGTATGCGAAGCCAAACTCACAGCTGTAGTCCCAGACAGCAAAGGCATCTACACTTTCCGCTACACCAAAATCGGTACTTCGCCGCTACTCATGTTCGCACTGCCCCATCACGTCCAATCTCTCGACCCAGAGATGAGGAATCAGGTCACGAACCTTTGTCTACGCACCACCACCAAAGGCATGGCAACAGCCATCTGGGGTGACAAACTCACCTTCATCGAACCAAACCTCCCCTTGACCATGCACTTCTCCCCTTGGAACCCAACCATGAATGCAAACGCTAAGATCCGGTATCCCCCCGAAGTCCTCGCCTTCATCGCCGCAGTCGCAGAGCGCGACCTCCGCCGCGCAATGACCGAACGCATACCCCAAGACTCTCTGTACTTTGCCGGCAAGTCCCTAGCGAAATTCGCAACAATCGTATGGATCATCAAAGACGTCTTGAGCCACGACGCCATTGCCACCGCGGGGCTCGAAAAGCTGAAAGTCGAGTTGGCCAGATATATAGACAATGCGCAACGCCACCCTCTCTACTACGACGACAGCTGGAAAGGCGTCGTGTCCTCGGCCGGCTTCTCGGACCCAGGCGCCGATTTTGGAAATACGTATTACAACGATCATCACCTTCAATACGCGTACTTTGTTTATACGGCCTCGGTCATTGGTGCCTTGGATCCCGCGTGGCTGACGCAGGGCGATAATAAGAGCTGGACGAATATGCTTGTCAAGGACTTTGCGGAGAGCGATTATAACGGCAGAGACTACCCCTTTTCGCGCAGCTTCGATTGGTGGCATGGACATAGTTGGGCAAAAGGGCTCTTCGAAGCAGCCGATGGCAATGATATGGAGAGTACGGGGGAAGATGCGTTTGCGAGTTATGCGGTGAAGATGTGGGGGAAGGTAGTGGGCGATGTGGATATGGAGAAGAGAGGTATGTGTATGTGAGCGAAAAGCGAGCAGTTGAGACGAATGTCGGAAAAGCACAAACTAAAAATAGAGGATTCGGGAGATGTGGAGGATGGCTGACAAACCTGTTCCAACAGGAAATCTCCAACTCGCGATTCAAGCCCGCTCCTTCAATCATTACGTGTATATTCGTTCCACCAACACAAATCACCCGTTGCGATACACGCAGAACAAAGTCGCGGGGGTACTGTTTGAGAATAAAGTCGATCATGCGAGTACGTATAGCCGTCATAGTCCTTGGTCTTTGACGCAGTAAACCTGCCACAGGGATCCGCAAGGCTGTCTCTCTTTCACAACGCCAAGCCATGGCGAGATGTCAGAGGGAAACCAGAGCTGTAAACTCGAGTGCGAAGTTCAAGATAAAAACAAGATTCCCTATAGCGATACACAAGGATCGGGGGAAAGAGGTAAAGCAGGGTTTGAAAGCGAAACATCATAACTGACATGGTGAAAAAACAAATAGCCTACTTTTCTCTTGCCCCAGCTTTAATTCACGGAATCCACATCGTCCCCATCAACCCATCTACATCGCTCATCCGACCCCGCAGCTTCGTAAAAGAAGAATGGGAGACTTTCTTCACAGAGGTAAGAAAACCAAGCAAAAAAGCTCCTCTCTCTTCTTCGCCCCGCCCCAATCGCTAACCTCACCAACCTCATCATCTTAGGGCCGAGCAAATGTCGAAGGCGGCTGGCGCGGTATCCTCTACGCCAACCTCGCACTCATTGATGCAAAGGCGAGTTACACCTTCTTCAGAGATGGCATCGATGGGTTTTGGGATGAGCGATGGATTGATGGCGGGGCAAGTCGGACCTTGTATCTTGTTTGGGCGGCGGCGTTGGGCGAGTTTGCCAAAGCGGGGAGATGAAGAAACGGGAGATGAGGAAGATGGACGGTATAGCATGGGTTAATGGGTTAGTAAGATGGGAACTGATACGGGGGGAGAGAGAGTCGAGTGAAGTGAGAAATTGTACCTCTCTCTCTTTGCGTACTACTTACTCTATTCTGGGGATCAACATTGACACATATGCCACCCAGCCTTTTAGCTCACATGGAAACGAACATGTCGACTTTTTACCATTTGATTCAATTCCTACATATACAAATCTTTTCCTTTGAATTGCTCCTCTCTTACTACATGAGGTTCACCAACTGATCAAGGGATCCGAGCCCAGTCGGTGGACCTCATGTGCTTTAATGAAGTCCTAGATACATTTTTATTCAGCGTCTAAAAGCATGTTTGCAAAAGTAGAATCCTTAATAAAAACGTATTCAGGACTTCATAAAAGCGCATGAGGTCCGCTGACTAAGCTCGGACCCCTTAGATCGTCAAGCCACACTCCACTTTTCGGCTGCCGCTCGTTCCGAATGCACTGCCACAAGTAGATATAACGCCAAGCCACGCTGCACCGCCCCACAGATAGAATACTCGTACAATGGTAACCTCAACAGACACAAAGGAAATACAACAATTAAGAAAACAGATATCCTTCCCTTCTGTACCAAAAGTATATTAAGGTAAAGAATAGTTTTATACATAGGAAAATAGAACTCTCTCCCGTAGCGCCCGCTCAACGAGCGTGAATGGTTTGCACATGTGACAACTGCGCGCTTAGTTGACAGCGAAGAAACGCTTGACAACGTCGACGGTGATGTCACCAGCCGCATTGTCGGGGTAGATGTAAAACGCGAGCGCAATGATGGCGTAGATACCAATGCACATGGCGCCCTCGAGGTAGTTGCTCTTTCCGTCCTGGATCAAGTAGTTGACAATCAACACGGAGATGAAGAAGATCATAGTCTCGAAGCCCTGGAAGTGGAGAGTCATGGGTTGTCCCATGATCCAGCCGAGGATGACGAGGAAGGGAGTGACGAAGAGCGCAATCTGCAGGGAAGATCCGATGGCGACGTTGATAGCGAGGTCCATCTTGCCCTTGTATGCGACGATGACGGCGGTGACATGCTCGGCAGCATTTCCGACAATAGGGATCAGGACCAGACCGACAAATGTTTTGCTGATGTGTGCGGATTCGACAATGGAGTCGATGCTGTCGACAAGAAATTCGGCGCAGATGGCGACGAGGACGGTGACAACGACCAATGCGACACCGGCAGCGACGGGCGACAGGATCTGGGCTTCCTCCTCGTTGTCGCCACCTTCTTGGTTCTCGACATCGGCAAAAAGGCTGTGGTGCGAGTAGAGCTGGAAGTAGAGGTATAGGATGTAGAGAATGAGCAGAATGATGGCGGTGCCGTGGGAGAGAACAAGAATGTTCTTGTCAGTCTCGAGGTTGTCCTTCTTGTTGTCGCCGTGCATAACTGCGTAGAGGGTAGCAGGGACGATGAGCGAGGCGGATGCGACGGCCATGAGCGAAGACATGGTAGATGCGACGGTCTCGTTGAAACGGCTTTCGTGCTGGGTGAGGCCAGCAGCGAGGAAGCAGCATCCGAGCACCTGCTGTAGTCAGCGCGCTGGAGTGTGAGTAGTCGCGGCATCTGAACTTACGAGAAGGATGTTGGACAGGATACTGCCCAGCATACTGGCTTGGACGATTCTGATTTCGCCCTGCTTGAGCGCAACGATGGAGACCTATTGCAAGGTTAGCAAGTCACGGCGCATGCATGCAGGTGTAAGCTTACGATAAGTTCGACGGCATTTCCAAAAGTCGCGTTCATCAACCCTCCCAGAGTTTGGCCAAGTTTAGCAGAGAGCTCCTCGGTCGCAAAGCTCAAGAGTGCTGCAAGAGGGATGATGGCGATGAAGTTGAGGACGAAGACGACGGTTGGGTTCCAGTGCAATGCGCCGGCGATGATGCCGAGCGGTACAAAGACGAGGAAGACGTTGACATAGTTGCTTGCGAGTGTCGCATAGATGAGATGCAAGACGTGCTTGGGGATAGTCTTGACGCGCGACTCGTCCTCGTAGTTCTGAGTGCGGCCGATGAGCGGGGTGTGCTCATCATGGAGCCTGCCGTTGGCGGGCTGCGGCATCTCTCTCTGCTGGTTGTAGTTATAACTGCCTGCTCGACCGTGACGGTGAAAAGACTGCTTGATGTTTTCTGCCAAGCGCACAGGTTAGCTATATATCCGTAGTCGAGATGCGCGATGCGGGTTGATGATGATGTTGTGCTGCGCCCCCGGACCGTCGGCGGGCAATGGGATGTTTGGTCAGGAAAGCCGAACAACGATGGTGTTGAAAGACGATGCGCAATACCAAGACTGCGAAGCGACTACGACAAGGCCGGCTAACTGCCGCGTGCGGGAAAATGAATCAAAGGGCTACTCACTCATTGCTGTTTTGGAGAAGAGTCAGATGCGCACGGCGCGGGAGAACTAGCAGTATATTATGACCTGGGCTAGCCAAGCTCTCTGGTCTGTTAGGTAGCTGCTGAGGCAAGCTCTGCAATTGGCGGGATGCAGGCTAGAGGAATTGGCAAATGATGGGAGGGTAGAGTATCGCAGCGAGAGCCCGGCGAAAGAGGTTTAGTTATCGAGAGGGGGAGGAGGGCAGTGCTGGCTTGCTTCTCTCGTGCGTCTGGTCGAGATGACGAGGTGGTTGGTAAGGTAGGCTGTGTAGACGCCAAGCGGGACACCGCGCATGGATTAGCTCGGGAACTGCCAGGGAAGCCCAGGGGAAGTGGAGCATATCGTCACATATTTCCCTCACGTATCGCCACGCTGTCTCACGACTGCAAGATACTCGGCTTGCGAGAGCAAATCCATCTTTTCGCCGGCTCTGTATGCAGCGCGTACCGTGGCTGCTGTCTTCACAACTTGCAAAGCTGATGATGTCATCTTCCAATCGCGCCTGCCCGCCAAGTTAAATCTGAGTCTGGCGTGGTCCATGCGCGTCAAAACAACCACTTGCAGATCATCCACCGACCCGCTGCTTAATCAAACAAGGTCTTCTTGAGCGCTTCACATGTCCTAGCCTGAGGCCAACATGGACTTGCCAAGTGCGCTACGAATTTGTTCCAAGCTTGATAACAACACCACTGCGCCGCCCTCAGTGTTTTTCGCCCAGTCTTTGTTGCCCAGTCTTTGTCGCTCATCCCGAACAGCCTCACCGCATGCGCCCGGCTGCCATGTAATGAGCCCGAGTCTCACACCGTGTGCTGTTGACCGAGTACAGCGTGGCAGGGGACACTTGGCGTGTCATCTCCTGTCAACGAGGATACACCACGGAAGTACGTGGCCCCGACTCCGCCTTCGTGGCTGACTGAGCTCTCTGATCAGTCTCGGTGGCGGAGCTGTGAGCGAACTTCCTGGAAGAGCAGAGAGATTCTGTTTGAAAGAAATGCTGAGATTGCTCTTCACGAGCCTAGCTTAGGATGTGGCTTCAATAGAGTCTAAGCCTTTCTCTTGTGCCGCCACACGCTTACACAGCATCTGACGATACCTTCTACTATAGTATGTGACCTCTTCGGCGTCCAGTGTGCAATCCGCACCAGGGCATCTTCGCTCTCGTCTCTACCCGTGGTGGCTACCGCACCATTGTGGTCATATGTCAGTTCCTCCCCTGGTCGCTTGAGCAGCTCCACATGAACGGTAGGCGGGAGCGACCATGGCGGGCCACCCGCAGATGCAGGCTTGTGCGTAGGAAATTCCATGCAGACGAGGATACCGGTAGGAGAAAGTAAAGACTTTGTCCGTGCTGCCCAGCGTGGACGGAGCGAAGGCGGAAGGGCGCACAAGAACTAGACAAAATATCAGCATACGCTCTCGACTGAGCATTTCGACTTGTGGACAGCGTACCGTATGGTCATAGATGAGGTCAAATCCTTCTACACTGCCAGCTTCGCACACCCACGCACCGTCGAAATAATCACCCAGTAAACACTGCACGCTACCCTGCCCAATTTTCTCGTCCTTGACACTATACTCTCCTTCTGACACTCTTTCCCTCGAATGCTTTAAATACGCATTCGCCTCGTCAACCGCATGCTTTGAGATCTCCAAACCATACGCGTCGTAACCCCAACTCGCCAACAGCGCTACATCGTACCCCGTCCCACATCCAGGTACCAGCGCCTTCCGCCTAGTACCATCCTCTTTGACCGGTACCGGCAATCGTATCTCCTCTGTGTGTTCATAAACACCGGGTTCCGGCGCACCAGGCGTAGGGTTGGTGTCGGGTGAAATTGGAGGGTCAGACGGGGCGCGCAGAAAATCAATGAATGCAGGATTAGAGCCTCCGCGATCCCAGGTTGTATTTTTGTCTACCCAGAGAGAGTCCCAGTCTGGCGCTTGAGAACTTGGCGGCAGAGGGGAAGATTGGTTCGAAGTCGCCATTGGACGTTTTAGATTTAGTGATATGACTTTAAAACTTGACGGCCGAGTGTGTAGAAATGGGGAAATGGAGACATGAGACGTCGAAATGTAGGGTTGAGAAAGCACGTTGGCGATTATGTGCTGCAAGCGACTATTTGAGCTTCGCTGTGTGGTTACCTGGCCGAGTAAGCAATTCCTGCTAAGCAACAATTATAGCTGTTGAAGAGTGCTGGAGAATCTGAAAAATGGCCAGATGGGTATGCATGTGACCTGCCACTTGGGATACTCGCTGATTACTAACCACAGTCCAGGTTATGAAACAATGGCTCGCTGAGCGAACTAACTTGCTTGATTGAGCGTGGCTTAACGCCCCAAACGCGAACTAGCTCGTTACGCGCGTAAGGCACTCAAGGCAACTATTGCAGACCTTCCAAATTCGACGTGGCTTCCACTTACTTCTCTAATCGCACTTCATAAGTATAGGACGGACATTATTTACGGTAGAACGCCCTCGCAAAACGAGCCGAGCCTTGATTCTCAATGATAGCGGTCCCACACCCTCGGATCGGCACTAAAGCGATTATATTGCACCTGGATTAAAATGACGGATGGATGAGTACAACGCGCACTATTGCAGATACTGTTACGAGTGAAGCGTTAGGTATGCGAGAGCACGGATAGACTGAGTACTGAAAACTACAGCTCTGAGCTAGCGCTACCTCTTGGCATACTGTGGCAGATACACTTGAACAAGTTTCAAGTTCAATTACCTAAGCACGAAGATATACAAAGACAGGCTGCATGCAGGTGCAGTCTCGTGCTGCTCTAAATGCTGCACTGAGCTTCGAAAAGCTCAGCGATGGATCTTCACTCAGTCATTGAGAGGGTACCTGGTGCCCTTCTCTTACCATTGCTTTGCTTGTTATGGACACCTACAGAAATCGAAGTTTCGTTCGACTATTCCGGCAAGCGTCTCGCTCCGGCTTCAAATGAGTGTTGCAACAAACCCTGTAGCAACAATGCTCAACAGGCGTACAATGTTACTCGTTCACTTAGTCCAAACCTGCCGCAATACCACAGCGATTTGACGAGGGCTCGTCCTGCGCAGGACGCGGCTCTACAACACATCACCAAACTCACGTTAGAGTAACCCGTGACCTGTCGCGCCTGCTGGAGAGTTCTAATGGAGAATGCGAGGCCAAGGAGGGTTGTGATAATGGCATGGAGACCGTTGCGAGATTCGCCACCTAGTGGCTTCAAGCAGCGAGTGCACTGCGTCGTCTATACTTCACGAACAAAGGAACTGATATACCTAGCTGGTTGTATGTTTCGACCGATTCCACGACAAGAGCCTTCTCAGTAGTGCAATGCTTTTGTACCTGAAAACATGTTTGATGCCAACAGTTTCTGGTTGAGCCACCACCACTTTTGTTTCTAGGAGCCGTTCATCGATAGGGCGTCTGCCTCAAGACGCTCGAGGGCCATAGTGACTCGATTAACTCAGTTTGCATTCAGGTGCTGATATATCCTACGGGTCCTTCATTTCGAATATACAAGGCTCACAGCCTATTCTTATACAACCTCGGGAGCATCCACAACCCAGTCACATCGTGGTACCTCCGTATGGTCGGCACCGTTTCACGTTACGCATACATCAGTTTCAGCTCTAGATTGATAACATGGCCGAATCGATAGTTTCATACACAGGACCGTCGTCACCAGAATCCGACCCCGCTCAGTCATATCCTACAAAGGCGTCATTGGTAAATTCCTTCATGAGTTCGGCCAAGGGGTCCACGGGGGCAAGAATCGGACCGAAGCTCGAACATGTCGTTATAGAGCAAGGTGCTTCGGAGAAGAGGGAAGTCATCGGCGACTGGGTACTTTCGAGATCCGAAGAGTTGAAGAATTGCCCACCGTCGTCCGAAGATAAGAAGCCTAACGTATTAGACGGGACGTAAACCCTGCCATACGAGGCGATTTCCGGGCCTGGTGGATTCTTGGTTCCGGCGAGCGACAGGTCGCTTTGGAGAACGGTGGGAAGATTACCGGTACCTGACATTCCGGCATTTTCGTACTGTCCCATGGGCCGATCCATCGCACTGAAGTCGGTGGTCTGCCGACGGACGTCTCCGGCCTTCAGTTGAGTCTTCCGAGCCTGGAGCTTTTCGAACAGTTGCCAACCCAGGTACACCTCCACGTCAGCGACCGGACTGTCGCCCTCCCAAATGAGCATATCAACAGACATCGGTGGGATTGCAGGATTCAAGGCTTTCATGGTCAACTCGACAAACCTCTGGGGGTTGACGATGATGCCAGCAGGGGTTGGATACCCTTGGCCCTGTCGCTGCGGTGGAGTCGTCTGTCGAATTTCCAGGTTGGGATGAATTTCCGTTAGGCAATCTACACCCCGCGCAGTCATGCATGAGTATTTGGCCATGCCGTCGAGGATAGCGCAAAATGGCTCAGTCGGTAAGTCAGCCCCAAGATCGACTGCGACCATCCTTCGTCCGGAAGGTCGGCTTGGGGACGTGTCGGAAGTCATGGGTATCGCTCTGCCCAAGCTAGTATCCATGTTCTGCGTTGAGGCAGAGGGATTGGAAGCGTTCCAAGCAGGTAAACTTTGATTCGGAAACGAAGCGGTGCTGTTGTCGTTCCTGATCCCTCCCGGTTCCTCTGACGTTGGCCCATATCCCGAGGGCTTCATGAAAACCACATTCTGTAAGGCATCATGTGCGAAACCCGGATGACGACCAAGACCCGGGTCGTGAGGAATGATAGCAATGGAGCCCGACATGACTGCCATCACTAGGACATCTTCAAGAGCCATGTTGGAAGGAACACTGACAATGGAGCCCGGAGCGACCAATTGCGCGATTCTCTCCGCGATCGTTTCCGGTGGCATTTTCTGAGTCTGAGGTATGCTTGCCTGCCCCTGAGTTCGGGGCAGTATTGGCGCGAACGGCCCCGTCTTGAGTGGAACCTGCCTGGGCTGCTTGGAAGTTTTCGGCATGATAGCTGCGTTGCTGTTATGGAATTAGGTCTAAGACTGCGAACCTTCTCTCTCTGTATAGACCTTGAGAAGAACCCGAGGATAATGATAGGTTGGAACCAGCTCGCAGCATCGTGGTGGGGTGGCTTAAACAATAGGCTGCGAATGCACGTTGCTCAAGCCCTCGTATTACCATTGGCTAGGATTTAAGCTGAGCATACGCCACCATGTAACCATTGGCTGGGATTGAAGCTGCCATCAAGCCACTACAAAATCATTGGCTATGATCGAACCCCCTGATCGCGGCCGTTGTGTTGGATTCCACAACGGCCATATTATCTTCGCAGAGCCGCATTTCTCACCACTTCCTCGCTGGACCATGACTTGTCTGGATGATCAAACCGCACCCTCTTCTTGACATCTTCATAGTGATATTAAGCTCTACATCGCAACCCGGCTACAGCAATGCATCTTTTGCGATACAGTGACACCGGCGATCTCAGTCTCATTCCGTTTCGCGATGAGCCTATTCCTACGTATGCGAGTCTTTCGCATACATGGGGAGCGGACACCGAGGAGGTCACCTTCGAAGACCTGATGACTGGCACTGGTAAGGATAAGTCTGGCTACGAAGAGATTCGCTTCCGGGGAGAACAAGCTTCAAGTGCAGCTCCACCTCTTGACCAGACTGGTGATGGCTCCAAGATTGCACCGAAAGAGACGGCCGGCCTTCGAGACATGCTTCACCTTGGCATCGAGAGCGTCCAGAGCTTGATAAAGTTTCAGAAAGAGAAGGTACTAAGTGGATATACCGATGACAAGACATACCTTATGGAGGGCCTTCTCCGGACCGCTGCCGCATTACCTAACGGGCCAAAGACAAGAGAGGCAGTGACGGGTCAGTTTCTGACTCAGCTATGGGTTGACTTACAGCAACCGCCGCAGTCATATACTGCCGCATTACCCAACGGGCAAAAGATCGATACTTGCTGCATCGACAAAGAAACCCAGGCTGGAAGCTCGCTGGCCGTTACCTCTATGGCTCACTGGTATCGGAACGCGAAACACTGCTACGTCTATCCATTGGGTCTTTCGACTACTGAGCAGACTGTAAGCGGCCAGTCCACTTGGGAGTCCGATTTCCAGGGAAGCAAATGGTTTGCCAAAAAGCTTGTTCCCGCCCCTTATTCGGTTGAATACAAAAGATCAAGAGAGAGTTTCGGGCTCGAGCTCGAGGTTCTGAGGAAGATGAGCCATCGCCATGTGGTCCGACTCCTCGGCTCGTATATCCATAAGGAATCCGTCGGGCTGTCATCGCACCAAGTAGTGGTCTGCGACCTCGGCACCTTCTTTGAAAATGCCGAGGCATTAATTTCCCAAAAAGTTCAGAAAGTCGAACATCTGAAGGCTGAGTTCAAGCCGAAATACATGCTGGAATATCAGCTGCACATGTTTGGAGGGAACGCGACCAAATGCGACGAGATCGGTGCAAATTGTGGACTCAGCTGTCAACATATCCGGATCCAAGGTCTCTGCAATATCCAACATGATAGAGCAGACTCGTCAGAGATATACCAACACCCTTCGTATTCGGCGCCTCGGTACGCATGTCAAGCACCGCAGCTACCACTACCCCATCCGTTTCATATTGCACCGACATGGGGATGTATAGGACACATGCTGTTCGTCCCGGGAGCAGAAGAGCAATGCGTGGCTGATTCCAACGTTACCTGTTCGACCGCTCTATCTGATAAGACGAGCGTGTTCTCTAAGCCATCAGAGAACGACCCAGTGGCCGGCACGGAGATCTCAAACCACTACAATCCTTCACCGAGCATGTCGCAATCCTGGCAAGAGGTTCCGCTGCTCCGAATGGACCAAATCTTGCCAGCAAATGCCTACGAATCTTGCAAGCCCGAGCTGCAGAACAATGGACCAGTGACTCCTGGCTTTGAGCATCCACGCCTGAGCGCAGACGGCCGAGAAGATAGTGGGTATGGTGACCAAGAACTCCCAACTCTTGGCAAGGATACAGCACACTCGGAAGAGGCCATTCTTGCAAACTATGAGACTTCTGCTCTCCGCGACTTCGTGGACGATCCCGGTCACCAGTATTGGACCTGGTGCAAGGAGCACCAGAACTGGTGGCATAAAGATGAGAAAACCAACGCCATGATCTGGGCACCGCTTGACTTCGACTAAAGGGTGAGATAAGGATAGGTGTTTTTCAAGGGACAGCACGGCCAAGATTTGGGATGCGAGCAGCGGCGACTGCCTGCAGACGTTTGAAGGGCACAGCTATCCGGTCAATTTCGTGGCCTCTTCGCCCGACTCGAATAGGCTGGCGTCGGGGTTACAATATTGACCATCATGCTCATTGGAACATTCATATTCATTACTGACTGTCATAATTATCGTTGCAGAACGCGCCCTCCAGAATACTTCCTCGGGATGCTCATTTCGAGCATTCTCCACACACAGACTTGGTAATCTGTTTTGTACGCACTAGCAAGAGGAATGCTTCTTAAGTAAGTACACTCTTGCGGTACTTAAAATACAATGATCTATCTCGTATTCATTCCTATGCTCCTTGACTTGCAGCTGCATTACAACGGCGGATAGATAGTTACAACGCGCACTATTGCAGATACTATTGCGACCGAAGCACTAAGTATATAGGAGCATGGAGAGAATAAGCATTAAAGTTGACAACCGTGATACCACGCTAAGGTCTGTGCAAACGCAACCTAATTCATAGCTAGGCATACTATATTTATTCACCGGCGTAAGTAGCGTCGTGTTTTGAATCTGAACCATGATCCTTCCAGGTCCCAAAATAACGACTTCCATGTATCGAATGAGCTAAACAGCATTAACCAATCGTACCATCTCCATATGACATCTACACCGTGATCCGATTCAAGTCTTTTTATCAACCGGACTCTGCGAGATTGGAAGCCAGCGACGAATGCCCATAGCACTACAGCAGATGCACACATTGCAAATGCTGTGATTACAAAGGCTCTGATCGAATGACCGGTACCGTTTATCTGCTGCACGTTCTGGAAGTATGGCTGGTTAGAATATATGCCAGAAGGTGACAAAGTGGTCTTACCATTCCATACACCGAAGAAGCAAGCGAGATTGGTAGGAAAATGAATGCTAAGGCTGTTACTTTGATCCAATCAGCAGAAACAATAAGATAGGTAGTCCTGGTAACATACATAGCAAGACTCTTTTGCTCTCGCGGATGCTCATCTCTGCCGTCCGAATACTCTTATCTATACCCTTAGTCGCTAGTTGATCTCTGAGCTGTAATTCAACCTGTTCGAAATCTTGTACTCGAAGCTTGAAGCGTTCCCTAATCTCTTTAAATGCTGCTTGAAGATCTTTGTTCCTGTAATCGAGGTGTCTCTTGAAGAAGCGAGTCATCCATCGCAGTGTATGACGCTGATAGTCGAGCTCCATTCTTAACCGGCTACACCCCATATCTGGATAATCACTAACAGGAAGGGGTTCATTGGTCATGGCTCAGCGACTGTTGTAGTACCTACGCATCAAAACCTGGTGTTCATCCAAAATTCTGGATTGAAAAACACTAGTGGGCGCAGTAGAGAGATGAAGCTCTAGCAAAGCAGCTAGACAGACATAAAGAAAATTACCGGGTCCGAATTGGGTTGTCGTCTCTGTCGCTTCAGTAATAAATCGTTCAATGAGCGATTTGCGATAGTAACGAGGACGGTCATCAAAATTCTGATTGGGTCTCTCCCGCATTTGTGACGGTCTCTTGGATGAGAACATCGTGGAGCCGAGAGTGTTTCGTGGTAGCAGTTCAGGCAGACCGTTGTCTCTCAGAAATATGATCGCTGTACACATGGTTAGCGATTCAAATTTCAGAGGTTGTATCTTCGCGTGTACCAGTCTTGGATTTTCTCTCTAGTGTTTTCTCCAAGATGCACAGAACATTACTGCCTATACGTAAAGCAGACGCATCTCTGAACCACGGTAGAGGGAACTCGTCCTTTCGTATGTGTTCTGTGGGCCCTGCGGTACTCTTTGCGTAATGAAAAATCACCAGCTCTAGATCTAGGCCAAGGCCGAGAATGTCTTCTATCATAAGAGAAGGTACTGCACAATGCCCCACCGCTATGACTATCATGTAAGGCACGTTCTCGTCTGTTTTTTGCAATAAGGCTCTAAAGTCTGAAGAGGACAGGACTGTAGTGTCAGGCCTGATGCCTTCCACGTCTACGGGTGGCAGACCCCTTGACACGATGTCATCTCGAAGGATGCAAGTGTACCGTTTGATGTAGCGACCGTCCTCGGTGAAGCTTGCTAGCCACAGTTGTTCCTCAGAACCCCGGTAGCGGGGCTGGAAAGGTGACCGATCCAGACGCGCCAGATACTCTGCGTATGACTGGAATCTCGTGGCGGGCTCAGCCTGTGCAGAAGGATGTGAGCCGCTTGGAAGGCTTTCGTAAGAGCTGTTATTGTCCGGCATCGTACGGGTTATTCTCTTCTGGGACCGGGAAGGCGGACAACTCTCATCGCAGAGAAGCCATGTACAGCAGCGCTTTACGTTGGACAAGAGCTATATAGGCAAATCTCCATGCGGGAAGCTGCAGGCTAAGCCCGTTTGCAATCAGGCTCCTGTGGCGTCGCTATCTGCACAGCCTGACGCATGGGTTGACCTAGCTGACATGCAGACGCGCTTTTCATTCGCCCCCTTCAAATCGCTTTACGCGAGCTGAGAACACCGAAAGTAATATCATGCGTCATTTGACGGGCTATCTTATAGTGGTACGCACAGGATATAGCCACTGATAGCGAGGCGCATTCAACGTTATCTATGAGCCTCGCAGCCTCGAGCATATAGCGAGTGTCTCAAGTGCTGTGAGATTGGTCGTCCTGTGTCGCGATGGCAGTTCGCGCGGGTGTGTCCCGCCAGAAGAACGCGACAACAAACACATTGAGCCATTACGAAGACCTGGCGAGCCGCGAAAGCAGACTGCACGACTCATGGCAGCCTTGCCCACGATATGCGTCAAGTAAACTTCTGGAATTACGCAACGGGGAATGGAAGTGATCTAATTGTTGCAGTCGTTGCGGCATGGCGGTTTTTATGTATTCGCAGCCGCTCTGTGAGCACAATGCCGCAAGATGCAAGGCAGCGATTTCGCTGATCGCGATAATCGGTATGGATTCGAATGATAAAATAGGAGGCTGGGAAGGTACGTGTTTGGATTACTGAACCTCCAATGATCAATGATGCTGGCGCTCGCCCGTATGACGTCCTCAACACACCTCAAAACTCCAACGTGGCTTCGCTGCGCATTGTTGCGACAAGCACTAACGCTCAATATGTGGCTATGTGGCTGTACAGCGCTTATGCCGAGTGCTCCAGGACACCCGAAGACTGGTTGGGACCGGGGGCAGGGCGAGGCGAAAGGCCCTGGTGTATAGATCCTGTCAACGAACACACTCCGCATCGAAACCGCAATCACCTTCCGAGGCAGCCGTCATACGACTTCGAGACATCGTGAAATGTATGGCTATACCTAGCGCGAGCGCTCCATGCCTCAGAGAGAAAGTGTCGCACCGCCCTACAGTTTCGCGAACCCGCCGTTGATCCCTTCGTCCGACCCACCACGTCCTCGTACTTCTCAAGCACGTCGCAACCGATAGAGCCTAATCTGTCAGCGTACTTCTTATTCCAACCATCATTCGAGCTAAAGGACATCTGCAATATGGACACTTGTGGTATCGGTCGGAGCCTGGTACAGAGCGTGGGCTGTCGCAATGAAACCTTGTATTCTACTCTCCCTGAATCGGGGGTCATACGGCTGATGAAGATTCTTTCTGGAGATTGGGACGGGGAAATAGTTTGCGACATCTTCGAAACTTCATTGGGGACAATAATGCCTTACAAAGCCCTTTCATATGCGTGGCGTTTGGGCCAGAACGAACCTGATGCAACGATATTATGCAATGGTGTGGATGTAGAGATCAGCGCCAATCTTTTTGATGCTCTAAGGCAGTTGCGGAATGTCCAAATTCCGGTCGTTATCTGGGTTGACTTTCTGTGCATAAATCAGCAAGATGTCATGGAACGATCATTACAAGTTGCCATGATGAGGGAAATTTATGAGAAGAGCCGCGAAGTCATCATCTGGCTGGGAAAAGGCAGCAAGTATGACCGATTCGAAGGACGGGGGCGGGGTCAGCAACCAGCGCAGCTCACGAAAAGAGCTCGCGTTATAGAGTGGTACGATGATGATAGGGATTCAGCAAAGGTAGATTCATATTCTCAGGCGTTCGAAAACACCTCTTTGTTTTCGTCTACCAGTGAGAGAGAAGTATATGGTGCCTTCTGTACCATCTCCCTTTTATCGCGGGGCGTGCCACTAAGAAACATACACTTCCTAATTACCTATCTCTAGCAACAGACACTGTGTCAGGACTCAAGGCGTTGATGAGTGAAACGTGGGTAAGGAGTATTTCTCTCAATTTCTATGCATCTTACTCTTCGCTGATAATCTATGAGTTTCGCTAACAGGTTGTCGCCACATCTAGTGGCACAGAACCTGGGTGGTACAGGAAACAGTGGTTGCGCAAAAGGCAACAATCCGCTACGGCAACATCTCAGCGCCTTGGACAATGTTTTCGCATGCTGCCAAAAACTACAGTCGGAGTCAACTTATTGACAATCTCGACTCTACAACGATTCACCATACTCGGGACCCGTTAGCGAAATTCTATCGCATCGTTACCAGCATTGATTCTACGAGGCAGGAGTGGCTACAGTGCCAGCCAATTCCGCTTCTTAGCCTTTTGCGCAAGTTTCGCTCCAGAAACGCATCAGACGAGAGAGATAAAGTATTCGCGCTACTAAACCTTGTTCGCCACTGGGGACTGAATGGACCATTACGACCCGATTATAGCCTCCAGCCAGGAGAAGTCTGGTTCCGAGTTACTAAGGATATAATCATAAGTTCAGGCTGTTTGGATGTTCTCGCCGGGACTCATCAAGCCACTAAGGACGTAAAGAGATACTCATCTTGGATTACGGATTGGAAAGCCTCACCACAACCTCATGAGTCCGAAAGACTGTCTCGACTTCGATTTTATGGTGCCTCGGGTCGCTCGCGAGGTCTTGTCCGGTTACACAGCAGATCAATATTGGAGGTTCAGGGGTTTTGCATCGATCAAATCAAGTGGCATGATGAGAATTCGTTAGAAGGCCCAATTAGCCGTATGCGTGCTACAACATTCAATTGGAGACGACAAGTCGGAGTGCATACAACTGGGGACTACATATCAGGCGGGAGCCGACTGGGCGCATTTTGGAGGACGCTTTGTGCCGATATACTCTACTCGCCGCAAGACGAGGCAGGAAGAACCTTTCAAAGACCCACATCTGCAGGAAAATCAAGCTATGTGAACTGGTGCGATCCGGAGCTTGATATCTGGCACCGCACTACCATGAGTGGGGGTCTGCGAGAAACCTTCCAGATGGGCGAGCGGAATGAGGACAAAAACGCCTTTCACTATGCTGTCGAATGCGCGAGTGAGGGTAGGAAATTTTTCATTACTTCTGAGGGTTATATGGGGATTGGACCCGGCTCGCTCACCAATGGGGATTGGGTCTTTGTTTTTCTGGGAAGCAGAGTGCCTCTGGTCCTTCGGCGAGCAGCAAAAACCAGTGTCTGTCACCGTGAAGAGCTTGAGATACTTGTGTCGACGGGACACGAGACGGAAAATGAGACGCGATGCTTTAGCAACCATCGAACCTTTGAACTACTTGGAGACGCATATGTTCATGGCATTATGGACTACCAAATTGGAATGAGGAAAGACCCCTTGTGGGAGAAAATTTTTCTTACTTGATCTCTGAGGCTATATGTCAGTAATCGTCACAGGCGTGTGCGGAAACGAGCCCTGGCTTGAAGTCAGCTTCTTGAGTGTTTGATCCCATCAGATGTCCTGGGAGGGATAATGAAGATGGATGGTTGTGTTGCACGTCACTGTGGCCAGACAGCTCGGAACGGATATCGTGGCGGCTTTGCGCTCGTTTGTGGTGTAGTAGGAGGCAGTAACATGATTGATGGACTCTACAACATGAAATTAGCGCACTTGCGTTGTCTTAACATTGGGCCGCCACTTTGATGACGGGGCTAGCGCTTCTCGCAGTCTGGAAAGTTACTTCGTTTCGTTATCTGCACTCAGCACGCCTGGTTCGAGATTCGATCGACGTCCAAGGATGAGAAACATAGCAGAAAGCTCAACCTACCCGTACATACTACTACGTCATGGTACAGCCTATGTCGATGAACACTGCATCACTAATCCCGGAGTGAAGCGACCACTGAACTTGCAACCAAATGCAGCCCACCTTTTCCCTCGGCATGGAAACCATCAAAGCGAGTGGTGTTGCACGCTCGTGTATCCGGAAATGTCGGCTGTCTTTTGACCTCTAGATACTACAATATCAACGCTAGGCGTCGTTTACAGTCTCCGGATCTATAATGGTCCCTTTCGCCAGGCCATTGCTGTGGTGACGGTCCGACGACCAGTCCAGGAACGTGTATCGTCCCGGAGCAACCTCTTGAGTGGTAACAATCGTCGCCAACTCCTCGACTGTGCGTGCCTGTCCAATTAACCCCAGTCAGGCGTCCGGGATGAAGCCGAACCTGGTTGCAGTCTGCATCCACTCGAACACACCATCGAAAAAGCCGGATACGTTGAATACAACCACCGGTTTCGCATGAATACCCAGCTGACTCCATGTCGTCATCTCGAGTAACTCCTCAAGCATTCTGAAACCACCAGGTAATGCCACGAAGGCACCTGCCTCCTCTGCCATCATCCGCTTCCATTCGTGCATGCTAGCCACCACCGTTGTGTGCCCAAATTGATCAAACGCCGGCGCCGATCCGCCTTGTAGAAGCGCCCGTGGGATAGTGCCATGCACCGCATCAGGCCCCTGCAAGGCCACTACCTCTCCAGCAAGTACTCCCATCAGCCCCATGGTCCCGCCCCCGTACACTAGTGACCATGATCTCTTCGCCATCATGTTCGCTAGCGCTCTCGCAGCCTCGCGGAACCTGGGGTCGTTTCCTTCACTCGATCCTGACGTCGATCAGTATGCGTTCACTCCTACGTGCTTATAGGGACATACCACAAAACACACATAGTGTGAATGGTTTTGAACCCGTGCCATTTGATGGTTCTGTGTATACTTGCGCCACTCCCATGGTTTACTGATTCTTGTTTGAGTACCGAGGTAGTCCTGAGCAGAACAAGAGATAGGATGGTCGAGCCGTAAGATAGTTGAGTGATGATGTCGTCTTTTGGAGTTCGTCTTGCATTATTTATACATGTTTTACTAAGCACATTATCGTAGCAATTTCTCTCCATAAGCTGAAGGACAACAAGGGTGATCTACTAGTGAAACTGCACCCCATGAGGTACTGTCTTACACATCTTCCCTTTTTGACCTAGGTTCTGTGCTACCCCTCGCTAAAGTTAGGCTTCCCTGCCAATAAGCTACTCCAGTACTAGGAAAATGATGTGCCTTGGCACCATCGTGCCAATTCATGCCAAGTATAAACCTGAAGCTGTGAACAAGGTTCGGCTTTACGGGTAAACGGTTTATATCAACGCTCGCCGCTGCCAACAAGACGTTGCAAGCCCGAAACAGGGGGCTTGGGCAATGCTTCATGATCGCCGGATTGTTCTTCTCTGACGGCAGATCGTGCTATTCGGTTGTTAAAAGCTTTCCATATCCCGGCAACACCGATATCTCGGTAGCGCTACTGTGTATCTCAGTCTCCAAGTAGGAGGTCATCGCATTCCTGTAGTACCTCTCGGCCCACTGGCCTAGCCGTAATCAAAGCGAGATGCTAATCGGTCTCTTCTTCAAGCTTCTTTTGCCTCTTGGAGTTAGGCATGAAACAACAGTACTCAGGTATTGCTGGGATCTGCCTTAAACAGATCTCACCCTGAGCTCTGTAGGTGACGTAGTATTTGCTTTGCGCAAGACGAAACAATGCTAAGTTTTAGTATCACATCTTCACGGGGCGACAAGAGAGTTGACTCTATCCTGAGAAGGATTCGCCTGGCAAGGGAGATCCACGACAATACCTCAAGCATAGCATCCAGGTAAGCGGCTTCAGCGATAGTCTTTTGATGAATGCAGCTACATATAGACAACATAGGGTATTTGGGAAATGAAACAGCAGTCAGATCATCATATTGAGGTACTTAACGGCGTTATGTTGCCCTGCCTCAGCATCAACACCTTGCTACCTGAGTTAACTTTATCTTGAAAGTGATCCATAAGACATATGCTACGTAACATGAGTCTAGAATCGTTTGTGCATGCATATTCCTGGCCCGATCTGTGACATCACCTCGAGCCACCTTGTCTGCACTCCATGAGTAACAGCTCCTCTATTTAAGAAACTCCCTTATCGCGCTTCATCATCTTAATTACTTCATAACCGTCAAACTCTCTCTCCTTAACAACATCTACCACATCACACACATCTTAACCAATCTTTCTTCATATAAACTATCTATACAATGGCAGGCAGACCCATCATTGCGATTGTCGGTCCCTCAGGCGTTGGAAAGACGAAGCTTGGAACTGCACTCGCCAAAGCCGTGAACGGCGAGGTCATCTCCGTGGACAGTCTGCAAACATACCGACATGGAGGTATTATAACCGCAAAGCCTACTATCCAGGAAATGGATGGTGTCAAGCACCATCTGATAGACTATCTGCAGCCCGACCAAGAACTATCTGCCTTTGTCGGCCTTGCTATCTCAAGAATCCAGCAAATCCAGGATGGCGGCAAGAACCCTCTGCTGGTCGGTGGATCCATCTCGTTAACTAAGCCCCTCCTCTCGCACCCTTTCATCCAACGCAGCGATTGATCGGTCATCTTTCTCGATTCTGACATGTCACTTTTGAAACCTCGGCTGGACAAACGGGTAGATCAGATGGTGGAGGAAGGTCTTATCGAAGAAATACGCGAACTTTACGGACTGGAACAGAGCATGCTGGGCTGCCCAGACTTCTCGAGAGGTGTCTGGAAAGCGATCGGATACCCAGAACTGCGAGCAGCCGTTGCGGAGTGCGATGAAAGCAGCACACAGGTTCATCTCAAAAATGGAATAGTGGAGATGAAGAAACACACGGCTTCGTATGTGCAAGACCGGATCAACAGGATACGGTGTAGGCTTATACCGGCAGTTTATGTATGAGACATCAATTTTATGGTCCTCTTTGTAAATGACGAGATGACGTACGAGAAACGCGTTATCCAGCCTTCCATGTCAGCATGCCTTGGCTGACTCCCTGAAAATAAAAGAAGGACAGGTAGCGATTGAAGATAGATCACGCACCTGGCGAAGCGAGACCGGACTCTGTAGTCAGACTGTGTGAAGCTGGGTTGGATGTTTCTCGTCGCTGGTTGTGGGAACACTTGCGTAGTACGTAAGACTCGCTTCATGTTCATGAGACTAACAGTTCCCTTAATGTCTCCCGTGAATCGTAAAGCTATTTACCACCACGTGAAATTCTCGAATTCCTCCCAGGTTTCATCCCCGCATTTGAAAGTATCGCATCGTTGTCGAGTCGCACAACCGAACCATTTCATCTTCATACATGAGATATCCAAACGTAGAAGTATCATTCGTCGTCAGCTCCACAGTTTCTAGCCTCACCCAACTATACCACGTTACGTTTCTCACATTCACGTGACGTTCACAAGTTTATGGTTCAGCTGCCTGCCCACTATGGGTACCAGCCCCGGTTCACAGCACAATTGCTCTATGGTAGATTCCTCGCTTAATAAAAGAGGTTTAAAAGATTATCCTTCATTGGTTCATGGATTGCAACTGAACTGTGGGAAGAGAAACGGGTTATTCTCTGTACGCACCATATGTATAAAACGATTTCCATCTCCGGTGGTGAAATTGAATATCTATTGGAATTCCCATCCCGCATCTGACGGTTCCGGCTCAAGGTCCTCACGACTTTACATCCTGACTACATTTCCCAAGCTGAATTTTACCTCTGCTACCCGCACGCCTACCTCACTCACACTCTCGAGGAAATGACCTACTTCGGTTTACATATGCCTTATATGACATCCGTGTTGTCAAATTTCCACCTTCGCGGTCCCCTATCAGGATCTGGGCTCATCGGAGGCGATGCAACTGATCCTGATACCGATCAGGATGCCATACGTTTACAGAATTATCATGCCTCTCAAAGAACCGCGATAAAAGGTATCATGAACAAAATCGACGCTCGCGTATCACAGGGTGAGCTCTCAACGCCGTTCGAGGAGCATTACCCAGAACCACCAGACTACTTTAGCCAGGAAGACTTTCATGCGGCCTACGACCATGAGGGTTTCTTAGAGATGCTTACCAAATTGCCGAAAAAGGACGTCGAAAGGTACTTCGAGAACCTGAAACGAAGAGAAAAGTGGGACTTGAGAGAAAAGGCGTCCAAGACGGGAAAGTTCTGGCGGCAGCATCCTGGTTCTCGCGCCCGCTATTTTCCCAATGCTGGGTCGAGCATCGAACAATATATCAGCTGTTTGCTTTTCGAGACGTTCAGCGACTGTCCATCGCACATGTCACAGGAGGAATCCGTGACGCAAACCGAGCTGTGGCCTGACTTCGCAGAAGGTAGATCTTCAAGGCAGGATACAAAGCTCTGTACACCCGTTGAAGTCGGTCCGGTTGGCACGCATACAGATTTCCTGAATGCTGGGGTATACTACAATTCTTATGATGCTGATCTACCCCTCTACGAACCGAAGCCGCAGCGCAATCATAACATAGCTACTGATCTCGAAGAACTAGTCAGACCTTCTACCGTCGATGAACCAACAACTACTGCCAGATATGAAACGTCTGGCGTAATCTGGACACAACAAGATATCTGCCAGTACCAGCAGAACCAGCAGAATACTTGGCAGATCTCCGCTCATGACTACCAACGTCAGTACATGGAGGACCATTACGCACCGCGCTACCGGAGACTGCCCCAAACTCAAGCACTGCCGTGGCACCAGGAGCAACAAGTTCTTGAGTTTTGTATCCCTGAGCTGTATCCTCTGTATGGAGGACTTTATTCGGAGCAGTACGTACAGCTTCCGGGACACGCATCCAATGAGGCGCCTTCTCGATCACCTCCGACACCATATCTGCGTCCAATACAGCTTTTCTGCAACGGGGCAGACATTTTGAGTGACTGGAGATTGTGACATTCGGGTCGAACACCATGGCCTTGACAAAAGAATGTTTTCAAGAGTCGTTTGAGGGTTGTGTGCTGGACCGTGAAGAAACGAGTGTGCGCGAGAAGGGGTGAGAGAAGATGCAAGAGTAGTTTGAGAGTGATGCAATCAGGGCTGTGGATACAAAGTTACAAGGGAAAGATCACGGCTTGGTGTTTGGAACTTATGGCGTACGCGTCTATGTAGAGTCGCAGAATAGTTGGTAATGGTCTTGAGGAACAGAGACGAAGTTTGAACATGGCGATGGCCATACTAGAACAGAAATAGGGTGATAATAACGATGGAAATTCGATATCTCGCCCTCTGCATACTGTCAACACAAGCCAATGCCTTGCCCCGTACACTCTCACAAACCCAACGCTTCACTAATCCCCGCAGTAAGATTTCCCAGAATATTCGACCCACCAGCCACAGCAATAAACACATCCTTGTACGAGTCCGCCACAATCTTCACTCCCTCGGGCAGAGGCTCCGGGCTGCTCGCCTGCAACTCCACAATCATGGCACCCAAACTAGGCAGCGTAATAGGCAGAACACTCGGCCTCCACCCAAGCTCAAACGGCAACTTCTCCTTCTCAAACAAGCTCCTCACATACTCTACCTTGGCTTTTCCCGACAACGGATCAGACCCCATAGTCTGCAGATAAAGCGCATTCTCGCCATAACTAAACACCGCCTCTCGCAACCCATACACAAATTCTGGATTCCGCTTCTGACTATCCTGCGTCCTGGTGTACTTTGCCTTGGCGGCCGTAGGCAAATCTGTCTGGTCCTTGCCAGCAAAAAAGGAAATGTACTGCTGCCAGTTTGGGTTGTAAAATGGCTGTGGGTTACCCAATGCGGCGTCTTGACGCGACATACTGGCGTCGTGCTCAATGGGGAAGTTATGCTGGCTCAAGTCATCGAGGTCGAAGGAGCCGCCGAGCGGATTGGGAGAGGAGAGCAGACCGGCGCCGCTGATGGCAGTGGTGAAGTCGGCGCCGATGTTGAGGCCTGCAGCGAGACCGGAGATCAGGTGTGGAATGGTCATGTTGCGGCCGTCGCGGTGGATGAAGCCGTGGTTTGCGAGGCTGTTTAGGGCTGGGCAGGGGGAGCGTACTGTTGGGGGTCAGGATGATTAGTGACTTGGGTGGAGGATGTGGATAGCAGGGGTGCATATACCATCGCTGCTTCCTGCTGGATGCCAGTCTGTCCACCGAGGGTCCGTTGGAGGTGCTGGGCCGAGCGAAGAAAGTAAACCGGCGATGTCGAGTGAAAGATCTAGAAGGCCTTTTGCTGATACAACAACTCCAGCAAGCAGTGAGATGGCGAATGTAGAACGCATTTTGAAGAACGAGCGTATATTTTCCTTTCACTCAGATAACAACAATGTCTTGAGCGGGAAACCGAGATGCAAGTCCACAACCCACCACCAAAGGGTGCAACCATCCTGTCCTTAAAACATTCCAAGGTTTTGGCACCAATGATCCAATAACCATCGCCCGAAACTCGCTGACCCCTCTCTCCTCCCCTAGTTCTGGAGAAAGATGCCTCGGAGCCTTTTTCATAGCGTCACGTTGCTCGCGTAGTCACAACATAGTCCTGCGTAGTCGACGTGGTCCAACGACGGAAGAGGCTGCGACTCATGATGATCAGCCACTACTTGAACGAATGACACCAGATCGACAGCCTCTAGACCCACGCGGGACGATCATTGACGCACAACTCGGCAGGGGCAGTATTTCTGCCGGTATTTGTCAAAAGCTGGGGAAATCCGGCGTAGAGAGATGCGCCTTGCTATGTCTTCGATGGTGGTAGTTGTGATCGTAGTGTTGTCTAGATTGTGAGAAGTGTTGGCGGGTTGGTGGACTGAAGCTGTGACGTCATGGTCGGAAGTGGTTCCGAGGATGAAGCCTGGTACACTGGTTACGCTGCATTCGGTGATATGCAATCGATGGCCAGTGTAAAAGTTACTAAATATGGTATTTTCCGTCTGCAGCTCGCTGGACTGGCTACCTCCGGGCTTGTGTGTTACACTAGACACTAGACACTAGAACGACTTCCTTTGTGCCCCTCATGACTATTGTTGTTAAAGAGTGTTACTTTGGGTGGATGCAAGTGAGTACTGGAGGCGTGGCAGACTTGCAGGTTCGTCTGGATATCTCTGACATGAGTTTAGTAGCCCATCCAACGATTTGGGGACGTCACTTGGTGGTGTAGCATGGAGATTACATGTGATGGGATAAGAATAGAACAGCTCTGCCTACAACTCAACAAGAAAGAGCTCCTTAGTCCACAACAGGTCCTAGCTCAACACCAACCATCCAATCGCCCACCACCTCTGTCCCATACTGCTCAAAGTCATCCCAAGTTTTCGCATTTATCTCTTCCTCGATTTTGCCATTTTGTAGACGCCAGCAACCAATCTCACATGTACATGACGGCGGATAGTGATTTCTCGGCATCCACGCCTCGTCCTCCTCATCCTCCTCGCCATCATCAGTCATACCAATCATCTCCAACTCTATAGGATCAGGCTCATGTACAGCGAAGATACCAACATGCTCTCCCGGATGCGCTTCAACGTAACCAGCGTGCCGTCGAAAGATATCATACCACTTCTCCTTGACCCATCCCTGCACATCCCCGCTCAACTTAATATCCCGTATACGTTGAAGGTACCCAGCATACCACGCATACTCGAGTATCCAGTCGACAACCATGCCGCTATCGCAGACATTCGGGCGGAGTCTAGCCTCGACGTAGGACCAAGCTGGATTTGGGGCGCACCATGCGGGTTCCGTGACGTTGTACCAGGGGCTGCTGGACTTGTAGGCTGAACCGAAATGCAGCTCGAGGGCGTGTGTGTGCGCGAGGAAGAGGCCGGCGGAGTGGCAGTGGTCGTCGCGGTAGAGGTTGTCGCCCGTAACGGTGTCGTCGCGGTAGTGGAATGGCGGTACTTGCACGTCGAAGAGCGCAAAGGACTGTTCAGCTGTGGAGTCTAGTTTTATCTTCTCGAAGCCGTGAGCAGGGGGTAGGCAAGGGAAAAGTATGTTTCGGAGCTTGTCAATGTTGTTGATGGGGAAGGTCGTTGTGAGTGTGAGGTTAGGATCCTGTGATATGAGGCTTAGAGAATGGCAGAATAGGTCGTAGGAGGCTAGACGGTTGTCTGGCATTTTCAAGGATGTCAGGAGATGGCTTAGGTAGAAGGTTGGTGGGTCGTCAAATTCCTTGGTGTCTGTCGTCCAGGCATGAATTCTTTGGCGGATATAATCTCTGAGAAGGGGTTTGGGGATGATGAAAAGGAGGCTAGGGTTGTCGGGGTTGCTGTAGGACAAGGTATAATCCAAACTACCAATATTGCCTACCACGACACGCTGCGCACCAATCCATTCCTTCAGTACCATGAGGAGGAGTTCTATGGGTAGGTGTGCGGCAACCAGCTGAAAAGTCATCTGGGCTGATGGAATAAGTGCCATGGAGTTAGAAATCGATGAGGGAACCAGTTCGTTGTGAGCGTTGGGGTGGTACATGTCGTCTTCATGCTGCGAAAGGAATACCATAATTTGGAATAATGGACCTGAAGTCAACTCTGAATAAGCTTTGCAAAGGGGTGTGACAAAGCACAAGCGAGCACAGCATGTCCGACATTGTGCGCGCCATGATCGTTAGTCGTTCTTCGCAACCAAGGTACTGCAATCACGATGCTGACGGTGAACCACACGCTGTTGGTCAGACTTGAATATACACATATGGTTTGCTGATGTTTGCCAGTATTGAAACAAGTATTCGTACAGTCACTATTTCTTCATCATCGTCAACGTCGTTTGGCTGGCGCAGGGCTCCAACCTTGGGGTTGCCACTCTTGACTCTGAGCCGCCTGCTTCCATGGCGAGTCCTTGGGCTCCTTCTTCATTCTCTTCTTCGCTGTAAAGGCAGACGCGTCGTCTTGGGCGGCCGGTGCTGGTGGGTCGCGTGGCATCTGCTGAGGCTCTGCAGGTTGCTCGGGCTCTACTGGCGCTGGTCTTGCAGCTTCCTGGACGAGTGGGCGAGGCGGTTCTATGCTGTCCCTTATCTCTTGGTCGGCATTCATCTGCGTGACGCCGCTGTCCGGGTCTCTCGACTGCAGCATCTGCACAGGTTGTTGCTTATCCGGCGCATCCAGCGCTGACGGCTTTTCTGCCCATCTCGCATCCGCCTGCGCGGCAAGCTGCTTCATGCGCTCTATCCTCATCATGTCCTGGTGTTGTTCGGCGACAGTGGGCGGTTCGTAGCGCGTGTGCCGCAGCCATTGCATCCATGACGCTGCCACAGTCAGTTTCCATGCACGACGACATATGGAAGGCACAAACGCGATATCTGCACGTCGCCATAATGTGTGCTACGGCTGTATTTTGCTATTCGCCGGTTGCGCAGTGCGTGCAGTGCGTCCTTGAACTCCCAGAAGGTGTTGCCCTGGAGATCGAAGCCTGTGATGTTGTTAGAGGCGTGAAGCAAGGATACGCCAGAGACCTATGTCGAGCCTGTGTCGAGGCCGGCACTCACCCACAAGCCACTTCTTGCGCCATGGGAAGCGCTTCATCTTCCATTGGTACCATGCTTTTCGAATTGGGCCTACTGCGCCCGCCATGCTGAGTCTCGTGTTGCCACAGGATAATTTCCAGAAGAGAGACTTTTGCTTGGAGGCGACTCTGACGCGCAGCGGTGACGTTGGCCGCGGGTGGCTGGTGCGTAAGCACATGTGCAAGCCAGCAAGCATTCCCCCACCACCACAAGTCTTCTCCACACACACACACACACATGCCTCGACAACACAACAACACATAGCAGTCGAGATTGTTACATAGCGATATATACATTATCATATCACATCCTACTGCAACTCGTGCACCTTCCATCCACAGTAACAACGACACCCACCCTCGTGCCCAACCCAAACAAACCTGATTTGCGCCCAAACCGCCTGCCATGGCGTCTGTAACGTCTCTAGA